CATGATCATGATGCCACTTGCAAGGTATTCTGTATGCTGCAAGCGAAGACTCCTGCGAGCTCTCCTGTCGCTAAGCAGCCGGAACAGCTGTTACCCTGCGCGGTCCTCGGGTTGTGCACAAAAAAAAAGTAAAACCCAGCTGAGAAGAGGTGGATTTGGATGGAAAGCACGGTTCACGACCTGTCTGCTTTTTTCAGGACTTTTGAGTGGGAGGAAAAGGCATGGTCGGCAAGTTCCCATCAGTCAGATTTGCTCCAGCGAGCACTTTCCACTTGCACCGATGGATCTCGGTGCTCATATGCTCTGTTCTGTCATGCCTGGGAGAACGGCAGTCAAACGTTGTCACCCGTCACCCGCTGCCGAAAACCCAAATTAGAAACGGGGCTACACACGAAAGTGGCTGCCTTGTTTACGACTCTTGGGCGCTCTGCCGACCGTGACGTACCTTTCAAGCCCGTCTTTATCTCCTGTCTGGCCGACCGGGCTGTCCACCTATCGATAGGCAAGACACCCATCGATACCACGTTCACCTTAAACTCCGAGGGTTTGTTGAGCCCAGGAGCCTGGAGGTTATGAGGGGGGTTGTCTTTATCGTCATTGCCCACTCCATCTCCTCTACTATCTTCATGATCATGTCCTTCGCCTGTGATTTAAAATACATGGGTTGAGCCCACACGCCTCGCATCGTCACTGTCCCACGTGGGGCCATGAGACATCGAGCCGCAAGCAGACGAGATCAGATCCTGCTTGTTTTGACGTCGGTGACCCAAGCAGTTCTCCAGCCGGAGCCGGCCAGTGACACTGCAGACGCCTCGACTCAATTTTATGGATGGACTGCTGGTTTTATTTTGTTCCTCATCTCCAGGATTCTGGGAGCTTATGCGCCATGCAGCCATGCAATGCGTCAATCAATCAATCAACGACTGGATGAAATCAATGATTCAGTGAGTAGTGTAAGATGGGCCAGTCAATCAATACCTGGCCCCGCGGAAGCCCACAACCCACGCTGCCGACTCGGACGAATCCAACACGCAGTCAATAACCTGAATCAATATCTCCACTACACACACCGCATCCTAACGTTCAGGCCTTACGTACAGATTGCCTATCCTGCGCGCTGCTGCATGCACGATTACCGCGTAGAAGTCAGTGCACATCCATTATGCTTTGGGGACATGGTAAGCAGGAGAGAGAGGGGGCTGAGTTATAGCTTGGCTGTATGCACTGTATCCATGCTCGCTTGCGGCCCTGGGCCCAATCACAGCAGACACGATTGCTGGACGTGCAGCACCGGCAAGCAGGAAGCAAGGAATATTGCACCAAGGGTCGCCACTGACCACATCCGCCGTGGCGCCATCAAGCTTAACAAGCGAGCCAACGAGCACCATTCGGGATGGAGAAAAACCATGGAGCCCATGCCAGTCATGGCGGCTATTGCGGGCTGATGATGCTTGATTTGAGTTGTAGCTCTTTTTCTCTCGCTCTCAAGATGCGGTCTCGACATCGCGGTCCTAGGTCCAGCGGCACAACAACCGCGCTGCGTGCTGGATCCACGAAATCAACGGCTTACATATCGCTACGACCGCACGAAGTATTGGGTTTTTTTTTTTTTTTTTTTACCGTCGTGGGTGTGCATGTACCGAGTCTTGCTCTGCCGTGCCACCACGCTCACCAGTGAAAGGTCGTTAAGGTCGTCAAGGTCGTCATCCATGGCTGACAGCGGTGTTAAATTAAGCTCGATTCGCGGATTTGGCATCGCTGAGCTGGGTGTGGGCAAGGAAAGGAAAGGGCAGCAAAAGCTGGCTTGCCAGCCGGCAGACGGCCAAGGGCCTTCGGAGTCGTGGAACGAGAGCGGGCCCAGCGTCCCAAACCCCTTGTTCCTTTTCGGGAATGTCGTTACTCGGCGCCGTTTTCCCACCTCCGCATTCCTGCCCTTTGCCCTGTGGCTACTGGCCAGTCAGCCCGGATGGGATGCTGGAAGCTTGTGAGGCGCGTCTGGGCTTGAGCTGCGCTACGACCGGATCGGGCATGGCAGCCCCGGCGCCCCAGCTCCCGCGGGCTCCGGTACGATGCCCTTTCTCATCGTCAATCGAGCGTTGGGCTGGGTCCTGATCGAAGCCCTACGGATTACGGTTTATCGATCCGTCGCTATCTACCCTGCCGCAGTACAAGGTCTTGCTCCGGCGACAGCAACAGCCGGAGTCTGGAGAGATTCCTGCGTCTTGCTGCATCGACGTTGATCAGGATCATGCCACCACGATTTCAGCCTGGGCGTTGTTGCCCCTCATCAGCCTCAGGCTGCTCTCGTCTGTGAAGTACGGGACATTACCTCGCCACCTGGAAACGCCTCAGTCACTTCTCGCGTTTCGGCCGCTCGTATCTTCTCCCCGGGTTATCGCAGAGACCGTATCGCAGAGATGATGTGGATTCCCATTCTCGGTCGGCCTCTTTCAGCCTGCCCTTGTGTGTCCTTCCTCCTTCAGAGCAAGCAGGCGTCGAGTCTTGAGACTTGCCTCGGTTCACAGCGGCCCTGACTGCCTCTTCTGCACCTGTGTTTGAACACATGGCTCGGACCATATTCTCGATTTCATTACACTTGTGTTTTGCGGAGCGGTGATTTCGTTTAGACGCCTGTACCAATCGTGAGACACAGAGCTCATCTATAACGGCCGTGATATTGCTGCAGTTTTTCCCCTCTGTGGACGAACCGGTGCCGGCAGCGGTGGCCCGTGGGCCCCTCCCATCACGATGTGTGATGCGTGATCCGGCCCAGGCCAGCCCAGGGTGGGGGGACAAGACAAGGGCTGGGGGGCAGCGGCCAGAAACCAGCAGAGAGCAGACAGCGGATTGTGGACTGCACACCAGCCGAAAAAAAGTCGACTGTCACAAGGGCCAAGGCCGCTTACTTGGCAAAGAACAAGGATCCACCTCCCACCGCCCATTGTTTTTTTTTTTTCCCTTGGCTTGGACCCTCCCCCTCCCCCCCTCCCCCCGGTCGAGGACAATATCGTGAACCAACTTTGCTCAGCCCTCTCGTGCAGGGGATGCAGGCGCCAGCCATTCCTTTTGGAGGTCAGCGGCGGCGCCCCTTCGCTGCCTTTACCAACGGTTTTCTAGAAAAGTGCGGGTCATCTCCTGTTCGCCAGCCCGTGCCTGCACAAGACATGTTTGGAGGATTCTCGCGCAAATCAGATGGCTCTGTTTTCCTCGGCCAAGCATGGAAGTATGGCGGTCATCCAATGTCCATTCCCATGATGCCTGCATGCGATACAGGATTGGACGGACGAGGGGCCGAGGAGTCGAGGGGTCGAGGGTCGTCGATGGCGGCGTTATTGCCGTTCTCTCCGCCCCCTGTCAAACGCTGGCTGGGCTTGGCCAGATGGCTCCCCCCTCAACCTGTTTGCTCCTCCGCTGTCCATTCACTTCGCTCACTTTCCCATCAATCCCCCATCCCCACAATGTTTTTTTTTTCCCACACTTCTCACGTCTGGCCTAGCCTGCCCTCGATTTTCGCTCGATTTGTTGAACATGAGGAGAATACTACTTTTGAGGCCGTTGAGAATGTTCCTTCCCGCTCGTCAGAAAGCTAGATGATTTCTCTACGGATTAACCAGCTTGTAGTTTCAAAGTCTCATCGCCAGACCTTCCGTGTACCCGCACCTACACAACGGTTTTACATTACTCCCCTACCTAATCCGTACCTACCTACACTACAACACCACACCAAACACACACCCCTCTTTTTCCGTTCCCCCACAAACCCCTTATCTTATCGTGTTTCCTCGGTATCCATACGCTGCGCTACAAAGTACGCTGCTACCTGCTCTACGTCCTGTAGGTAGCCTGCTTTACCTGTGTACCTACACTGCCTACACTGCCCGGATGGGGTACCGTCAGTATGGCGTGGAGACAAAGCGCATATTCCTCAATAGCTTCTCTATCTGGGAAATGAGCACAGAGGCCGCTGCCGGGCATAAGCATTCATGGAAATCCCTTCTCGAGCAGAGATTAAAGGAGAGGCCGTCGTATGCTGAAAGTTAGAGAGAGAGGCCTTGTTTTGCCATTCACAAACCCGCCCCCCCCCCCGGCCATAGCCCAGGCCCATGTCCCATAACGAAACTAAACGTTAGCAACCAGTACTAGCGTAAAACGGCACAGTGGGTGCAAATGACCCACATCCTTGCGGAACCGCAAACCCCTGGGCGTCCACGGTATCTTGTCGGCCCATCTCAACTAGCACGGGGCTTCGGGGACTGCCAGATCGCCCCTACGGCGGGCCCCCAGGCCCTCCGTTACTCAATCCTCCTTCCCGACAGGGTTGGAACGTTGCTGCATCGGCCCTCGTCTGCAAGCGCAAAAGCGCAAAGCGGTGCAGGCGGTCTTCTGAGTAGCCCGCAATCGACCCCATCAACCCACCCTTGTTGGCCTTGGGCCTTGCCTTCATGGCCTTGCGGCAAGCAGCCTCTCCCTCCGGAGAGACTGCCGAACGCTCGAGCTTCCCATAATAAAAACGGCCTTGCCGGCCAACTGTCATGGTCTTGGCCCACGCTTACATACAAAAAGACATTCGCGCCCTCATGCCTTTTGTGTGTCTGTGTGCTTTTCCCGTCTTTCATATTCGTTTTCTCTTCCCCGTCCCTCTCTCCCTCGTCATCGAGGACCGATTTGATATCGCGACATCCCTTGCCCCTCCTTATCCTACCACACCCGGAACCGGAGCACTTGCTCGAGTGATAAGCAGCAACCCGATCGGGCCAGTCAAGTTTGTGAAGAGAGCGAAAGAGAAGGAAGAGGGGAAGAGAGAGGCCAAACGATAGGAAGAAAGGTGGCTAGAAAACCGAGAGTGGACACGGTCATCGTAATCGTGAACTGGTTCGGTCGACAACCTGGGTGAAGGATCCCGTAGCGAACCACGATCACAAAAGCCAACGACAGAGAGAGAACTCCCCTCCCCCGGGGAAGAGGAAAGTTTTCCCATGACCGCCACGGCGACATATACGATGGCAGACCTCAGGGCTGAGTCGCAACACGGCAGCCTATGGCCCAGCTATGGCAACCCCGTGCACATGACCAGCCGCTTCAACCCCTCAGATCCCTCGGCATCAGTCCCGCCGCCGCCGACATCGTCGCATCTCGTGAGGGACAGGAGTCGCCATGATATGGACTACCCGCCCTACCCGGCCGGCCGGCCCAGCCAGACCGAGAGTGAATATGATCACCGATACCCGCCGCACCCGCCAGTGATGAACATGCCGCCGCCGCCGCCGCCGCCGCCGCCGCCCATCAACAACTTGAAGCGGCCCTATTCGCAGGTGGAGGGGTATGAGATGGTCCACGATCTCCGGGAGGACTACAAGCCGCCAAATCACGACCAGAAGCTACTGTCCTTCCGCAAGCTTGGCGACAAGCACACGATCGTCGATGCCAAGGGCAGAATCCACGAGATTGAGGTCGAGGCGCAGTTGCACGGCATGTTCTTTCTGTCCGAGTTCCCAACGACGACACCTGACGGCCAGATGGTGAACGCGGAGCTGACGTGCTACCGGCGCAACCTGTTCCAGATCAGCGGCAGCCTGTGCTTCCCGCAGATCCCGCTCTCGGTCTTGCTGGAGTCGGGCGAAACCAGCCGGATCAAGAATATGGAGGTCAGCATTTCAGCTATCGAGTCTGTTGATGGACACCCGGTCCGTCTGATTGTCATCCCCTGGAAGACGCCCCCGCCGAACGCTCCCGAGATCAACAATGCGCCCGATCAGGAGCCGCCCGTCTTGCCGCTGGTCCCCTGGGCAGACGTTGAGGAGGAGCCCGAAGGCGACCAATACTGCATCTACCCCATCGGTTGGAGGAGGTTGCAGTTTAGGATGTGAGTGTTTTTTTTTCTTTTTTTTTTCCCTCCTCCATCCGAGCTAGGTAATTTCATCTTGTATTTTCGTTCGTTTTTACTAACATCAAGCAGAGCGACTGCGAATAACGGAAGGAGGAAGGAGCTTCAGCAACACTTCGTCCTGCATCTGAAGCTCCACGGAACCTTGGAGAACGGACAGAAGCTGGTCCTGTCAGAGCTCGTGACAGCCCCGATCGTGGTGCGTGGTAGGAGCCCGCGAAACTTCCAAGCGAGAAAGGAGATCCCGCTTCTCGGGTCGAGCGCTGGCTCAAGGGGTCAAACTTTGGTCGAGACTGGCCATGGCATCGTGGCCCAGGCTGTTGTTCTCAACAAGCCCCCATACGACTCGAGACCTCGTATTTCGAGCCTGGCGACCGGCGTGCCGCGGGGCGAGTTTACCTTCACTGCTCCGAAGCAGTTACCACAGGGTCCTATGCAAATGCGGTCAAAGTAAGTCCTCTCGATCAGCCAGGGAGAGAATAGCCAACAGCAGCGGAATGAAGGGAATTTTTTTTTTTCTGTTCTAACGAGAAACAATCAGCTACCCAACGACTTGGAATCCGAGCAATCCGGTCTCGATGCCGCACACGCCGGCATCAGCCACATACCCATCCTCGACAATGCCGCCAGAGTCCTATCCGAAGATGCCCCTGTCGGGAGCTCCCGGTTTCACAACTGAGGCGCAGGAGATGCCCATGCAGCCGACATCAATGCCCTCGGTCCAGATGCCCATTGTTGCGCAGGATCAGCAGCAACCGCCTATACGGACCCCCTATGCGCCCTACGTTCAAAACACCTCTGCTTCTTCGCACCTCTCTCTGCCGACCACGGCTGCTGAGAGCTCGCTTGCCATTCCGCGTTATGTAGACACAAACCCTCGCCCGACCAAGAGCCCACGTCACGCCAGCCATCAGTCCATTGGTAGCTCCATCTCCAACGACACCACTTCAGGCGAGTATCGTTATGGGCCTCCGCCTACGCAAGGGACAGGCTCCGTCTATGCTCCGAGCGGCCCCGCTCCGACTGGTACTGGCCCGGATGTGCTCAGCCCTCATTCTCAACAACATCCTCATCTCCCTCCTCCGACTGGGACAGCCCACTCGCACCCTCAAGCTGGGGGAGCCCCGGGCACGACCAGTAGCTACCCTCCGCCGCCGCAAGATAGTGGTGCGTCGACAGGAACGACAGGGACCAGCGCGCCATCGACACAGACGACAGCGCCGCAGCCGCCGCCGCCGCCGAGAGATTACTTCCCTCCCTCACAGTCGTGGACCACCACGGCTGGCGAGGCCCCTCCCTCGACTTATGCGAACGGCCCTGCCGCGCCGGCCGGCAGCACGACCGCTACGGGTAGCAGCACTGCTCCCTCGGTCGGCAGTGCTAGCGGTGCGGGCAACGGAAGTGCCAACGCCAGCACGGGCGGTGCTACGGGTGCGCCGGGTGCGGACAGGCCTTATGCGTTCCCAGCCTCAGCTGGTGGCCCGGCCACGGCGGCTGGCCCGCACGTCAAGGATCCTGCCGCGACCGCTGCAGTGTCAGGATATGCTGGGGTTACGGGGTACACCTGGAGTGCGGCTTAATTCCTTGATTGTGTGAGAAGTCAAAATTCGGTCTATGCCTTCAACATGGGGACTTTTTTTTGATCAGCCGTGTGCGTGGAGAGGAAAGATACGCCAGTTTATTTTGCTGTTGACACAGGGGTCTGTCAACAAAACATCCCAAAAAGGGGCCTGGCTATCTGCATAAAAGATGGAAGCGGTTGTACATTTTTTTTTTTGCCAAGGAGAAAGGAGTATACAAACATAAGGATGAAAAAGGGTGGCAGTGTGTGTCTACCTATATATATCTGGGGTTGATTTCCAATTGGTATCTATTGAATACTTTTCTGTGTTTATTTTTTCCCCCTTCCCTATGTCTACACTTTCTGATTTCTTCGGATTGGTTTTGGTTTGGTCTCCTTTCTTTCCTCTTTGCCCTGTCTAACATAACTTGTGTTCGATTTTTGTCCATTGTGGAGTTGCATCAGTTTTTGCATATACCACTACGGTCGTTATACCTGATACCATTCATGTCTCCCATTAACCTGGTTATATATACTAAGGGATTCTATACTGTGGTTCTGGGGGGAGGGTTTGGTTATGGTGGTGACCGGAAGGGAGGTGGGGGGATAAGGTGTTGGCCGGGTGTCTGGTAATATAGTTGGTTGGCTGGACAATGTGATATTCAAGATTTGGCTTATTATTCATGGTGCATGTTCCATGGGACTTTGTTCGGACTATTCTAGCTACTGATGGTAAGGTTGGTGATGGCTGGTTCTACTTTTGTCTCTCACTTCACAATGCACACAGTAATGTTGGTGAATGCTGGAACAGATGGCATGTCAGAAATCTTCAGAGCGATGAAGCGGATGTACTGGGAAAATATGAAGGTAATCAATGCTGATCAGGTTGTCTGAGGCTAGCAGAGCGTAAATTGATGATTGGTTCTTATCCACAAGGGCGTGCTTGATAAAGCTTTAAGATTCGGGATCTGTTTGTATAGTAAGTGTCGACGTACTTGTCTGTGACATTGCCAATACTCACTGCTGCCATTTATCATCGAGAGAGATGCGCATGGGGAAAAAAAAGAAGATTAAAATTTACTAAAGTATTGCACAAGATTTCGTGCTGTGTTGATATGTGTGCTCGGCAGCGATGGGGGAGAAAGGGGGCAATGGTCACATCTAAAACCCTAACCCTGTTGAAAAACAGTAACTGCGGGGCACCGAAAAATCATCCATCGTCCATCAAATAAAATCTAGGCTCTATGAGTGCTTCACAAGCAGCCGAACCATCAACAACCCGCTAACCTGCCACGCACTTTGTCATTAATTGGCGCAGGAGCCTTAACTGAAATCCATTTCAAAACATATAGAGGGCAGATTCCTCAAAAATGGAGGACTTGGACATGCTTTTTGAGCTCCCCAATGCTAAACGGTCTGTCTACTCACCATTCACTTTCATCGCTCATATCTCGGCCATCAAGTGACTGACCAACCAGGCAGTGTGCGGAGGGAAGAGCTCTACGACTCAGACAGACCTTCCAGCCCTGAAGTAGATGGGTTGGAAGCAGAGCTGCTGCGTGCCCAGCTCAATGCTCGCCTATCAGGCGTCTTATCATTCCGCGTCCCAACACCATCACCACCACCACCTCCTCCGCCACCTGCTCCTACTGCCAACGAAACCCAGCATTCAAAGCGTCAACAACAACAACAACAACAACAACAACAAGAAGAAGAAGAAGAAGAAGAAGAAGAAGGAGAAGAAGGAGAAGATAATGATGATGATGATGCATCATCATCATCATCATTCCCCTCATCTCCCTTAGACTCAAATCCCCAGCCCCCTCCTCAACCCCCCCAACGCCGAGACTCCTCTCTCGAAATTTTCTCCTTCCGCCTCTTCTCGTCCGCGCCCCCACAAAAAGTCGTCCTCCCGGCCGACGACGACCCAGCAGCGGGCTACACCGGCCCGCCCATCAAACCCCGCCCCCTGTCATACTACATACGCGGCGAGCTGACCCCGGAGCAAAAGGCTCAAATCCAGCACGCCGCCGTGTCCGGACGGGATGTCTTAACTGCCGCGCGCCAGCGCGCTTGGGGATTAGAATTGCCCTGGAGGGTGACGACAATCAGGGTGGCAGTTGGTGGGACGCCGGGTAAGGCGGGGACTACTTCTACGTCGCGTGGAGCGGCACAGACAATAGCCGCTGTTGAAGAAGGCGAGGGTGACGGGCAGGAGAAGAAAAAGAAGAAAAAATGTCGCCCGGGGAAGAAGACGCGGATTGCGCTGCGCAAGCGCGACCAGAAGCGTCGAGTGGAGGAGGCTAAGAAGTTGAGTAAGGAGGAGTATCTGCGAGAGAAGAAGAAGCGGTTGAATCGGGAGAAGAAGTTGAAGAGGAGGGCGAAGGAGAAGGAGAAGAAGAGGTTACAGCGGGAGAAGGCGCAACAGCAAGGGGAGGGGACGATAAATGGGGGAAGTGTCAACGGGGGTAGTGTAAAGGATGGGGGAGGGAGCGATATGGGAAGTAGCAGCGGGGAGGAATGAGCCGAGTTGAAGGGGGTCATGACAGCCCAAGAAGTTTCCCTGGAGACTTTCCCCATGGAATCTCCACAGGAATTTCCCGGCAATATTCCTAATTCATAGCATTTTAATAGTGAAGGGATGTGGCATGTTCCAAGAAAGGAGTGACATGGTGTACCTAATGGAGCAGTTTGCACAGTTCATGCGACGACAGATAGGTAGTAGGGGGGGGGGAGGAGGAGCAAGTGATGCTTTTTGTTAGAATGAGAGATCTATCTGACATAGGAAACCCTAAACCAGGAGTCTACTTCTACCTGTAGAGTTCACCGAGGACTCAACTGAACGCCGGCTAACGATGCTGAGAGGCAGATAGGAAATGACTATGAAATGATAGCACAGCAAGAGCAGGATGCAAGAGTCTGACCGAAGCAAGTCGCTCTTCAATCTTCGTGTCCAAGGTGGTAGTAAGTAAAGCAAATTGGGGGGGGGGGTATCAAACAGATGCGTATGTACGCGGATCCCGTAGGTATCAGTCACCTTCTCCCGTCCTGTGCTCCTTTGCAACGCCCAACATCTATCCCTCCAACTACGCCAGATCCAGATTCAGATTCAGTCCAGTCCAGTCCAGTCCAGTCCAGTCCAGTCCAGTTCCGTCCCGTCCCGTCCATACCGGTTCCCTTTTTTTTTTCCGTGACCTGACTTGTCCTGACCTGACCTGACCTGTCCTGTACTCCACTCTCCCTTTCCCTCCAAAATAAAACACAAACCACAGACCTGATGATGGTTATGACGATGATAATGATGCTGTTCGTAATGATGCTGAAACCGAACGCTGTTAAACCCAACCAAAAAAAAAAAAACCGAAACCCATACGCCGTCCGTTTGTGTGATCGATCTCCACAAACCCAAAACAGTAGGAAGAGGAACGTGCGTAAGATAAGATTGAAAAAAAAAAAGAAAAGAAGACAAACAGAATCAACCCTGCTTCTTAAAAAGCCTCTTTGTTCCACCAACTTTGCCCATCTCTCGTAGAGTAAAACCTTCCATCAAGCCGCCCTCTCCACCAAGGGGCTGTTGCTTCTTGTCCGCAGCACTCGGTAAGCCACCAGAGCTTGCGACACGAACCTTCTCCTTCACCGTCTCAACCCAAGCCCGTCCCTCTTCGCTCAACATATCAAGCTGCTTTGCCTTCGGGCCCGCCATGCCAAGCGGCACAGGCTCTCCCTCCTCGGCTAGATCATCGGAGAGCCAGGGCATGCGCATAGTGGCATTTCCAGCGCTGACAGCGCGGGCTCCAGCGCGAGATCCAGGCCGGGAACGAGGGCCACGCGGCGCTGAAGAGCATGACGATGAGAACGACTGGCTAACGGAGCAGGTATCGGAGGGTGGAGGGGTCGTAATCGCGGCATCAACACCGGCAACCGGAGTCTTGGGCCGACAGGCCGACTCGTCAGTTCGTTGACGGGTCTTGCGTAGGCGCAGCGGGCTGGTAGGTGAGGTACCGAGGGAAGAAGACGGTCGGCTCGGCGGGGTGGAGTCAGGGCCCGGACGAGACGACGTACTGGCACGACGGCTGTTGGAAGCATTGACGGGACCATTCTTCGGGACGTCCTTGACCTCGATCTTGCTTGGCTCGCTAGCAGCTCCGGAGCGGCGCAGATGATGCGCAGCATACTCCTTCAGATACTCGCCCAAGTCGGCCCAGCCGCCACCCACACGAACCATGACGCGCTCGCCGTGCTCGCCGACGCAGCGGATGAACAGCTTGATCGGGGCTTCGCCGTTAGACCGCGAGAGGTGATACAGCTTAATCTCGGGGTTGTAGTTCCGATTGCGCGAGCGCGACGGGCGCGACGTGAAAGCTGGTGCCAAGGTAAACGAGGGAGTAGCTGAACGCGAGGAGTAAGCGGACCGCAGCGACATGTTGGAGTGACTGCGTGACATGGGGTCCGGCTTGGAGCTCTTCCGCGCGGTCGGCATCTTGAAGTCGGGCGGGTTGAGATTGATGTTGGGTGGTGCCTGAGTCAGGCGAATCTTTGCCGGGACGGACTGCAGAATCTCGCTTATCTTCTTCTGCAGCTTCTCGTCGGCAGGGGGCAGAATGCACTCTGTCGGGGTGTTGGGCTCAGTCGCCATGTCGTCGTCAGACATATTATCGTCGGACTTGGCCGGGGTGCCCGGCGGGCTCGGGAAGCTGTCGAACTCGGTGACGGTAGGCTTGTCATTGAAGCTGACCGACATCGACCGCCGACCCGACCGCGCCGGAGGCGGAGGGAAGGACGAACTGAGCTCGCAGGGAGGGCAGGCCGGTTCAGGGTACTCGGCCTCGGGCTCCTCGCTCGAAAAGGAGTCCATGTCGGTCTGAGGATCGTGGATCACGGTCGACTCGGTCATGCCGCTGCTCCGTCTCGAATCAGCAGACGGCCGGGCGCGGGATCGTGAGCTGCGGCCCTCAGCATCCGAGAGCTCGCAATCTGTGTCGGGGATAGAATCGCTGTCCAGTGCGTCCTGGGACCCATCTAGGCCTTTGCCCTCTTCGGTCGGGTGGATCTTGATGATGACGGGGTGGTTGTCGGTGTTCTTCTTGGGGCTCTCGGACGGAGCGTCAGAGCCACTGTTCTCAACACTCTTCCGCTCCACCACCTTCAGGGCCGCCAACTCGAGCTCCTTCAGCTTCTTCTCGCATGCAACCGTCCAAGTCCCGTATTCCCGTTCGAGGTTGTCCATACGGTCGATCCAGTCCTCCGGGAGCGTGTCGGGCTGACCCTCGAGCATATCAAGCATGGCATCCAGGTCGCGGCCGGCCTTGGCAACTTTGCGTTCTAGGACGCCCTTCATGACGTCGTACTCGGCTCGTGTCAGGGGAGAAGACGAGCCGTCGGGCAGGTGGCGGGCGCCAGCACGCTCGACTGCGTGCCAAGCGGACTGCAGGGCAGTCTCGGCATCGGCGAGCGAGTCCAGGAAAATGGGCACGCGACGGAGGACCATCAGGCGCAAGCTCCAGCATTCCATCAAGCGCGTGAGCTTGTAAAGGTTCGGCAACGCCTGGACGGTCGTGGCCGTAATAACGGCGGTGAGGTCGTCCATGCGGGCAATGGCGGAGAGCGAGGACATCTGGGTGCGAGCAGCACCCAGGTTCGGAGTGCCGGGTCTCGACAACGGCATGATATGGTTGTTGAGGACCTGGCGCTTGATCTCTTCCATGTCGATCTCGTCCAGGGCCTGAGAGATCTCGTCAATGCGCTTTTCGTATTTTGCGATGTCAACAGTCGGCAGGGACCCGGTATATTCTTCAGCATCGGAGGTGCCGGTGCCGGACGGCGAAAGCTTCCGTCGTTTGGCGGCAGGCACCTCAAAGCCGGCGGAGCCGCCGGATGAGGGCCATGGCCAAGAGGAGAGCTCTTCGAGCCACTGAGCAATGTTGCTGGAAGCAATTGCAACCCTCAGGGCGAAGGCCTGCTCGGCGGGGGATGCCCTCTCGATGCAGGCCTTAAGAGAGCCGGTCGGGGTTCGGAAGGCGTCGACGACGGTGCGCGGGGTCAGATTCGCCAGAAGATCGTCGTTAATGCGGGGACGCAGGGGCGGCGATGGGTCCGAGGGGGGAGCAAGATGGCCCACGGTCTCCCGCGGCGGCGGTATTTCGTTCATTGCGAGTGTCGTCGGTGTTTCGGTCGTATATTAAACGAGCGTGGAAAGTGTTGAGAATCCAAGGGGGGGGGGGGGAAAATGAGTGTGGTGACGACGTCGTCGACGACGACGACGATCGGCGGTAATATCGATGATGTTAAATGACAGTTGTAGCGTGTGTAGAATATCGTCGGCGGCGTCGGGGGCACCAAGGGCCACACGACATAATGAGGAGATTGACTACGAGCCGGGTGAGATGAAAGCCAGAATCTTCTCGGCAGTGCCCATAGTCGGTGGAAGAAAAAGAGTTGCAGAGACGGGGAGGAGGGCGACTCGCAGCGAACCAGCGGCGTCTTGTCACGAGCGTTGGGTTCGCGGAATCGCAGCCGGAGTATCCCCCGTTTGGTGTCTCTCTGGACCAAGGCCCACAGCTGGCAGGCCAAGCTGATTCGCTGGCGTGAAGATGGGAGGTTGGTAGAGCGCGCTGGGCGGACGGACGCTGACAAAAAGAAAAGTTCAGGGCGGTTGTCTGTCGTCTGGCTGCGTAGTCTGTTGGCTGGATTGAGGCAGTTAGACAAGAGTAGACACAACAGGACAGCAGAGCCAGCAAAGCCAGCAAAGCCAGCAAAAAAGCCAGCGAGAACACCCAGAATACCACAGAAAGAAACAAGGCAGGGCAGGGCAGGGGCAGGGCGGATGTGCGGCTCGGCCGTCGGCTAGATGCAGGTGCCGCAGGTTGCCACAGATGCCTGAGTAGTAGGTACCTGAGGTTGGGGTTGGGCTGAGGCGATGCCAGCACGATGCGATGCGATGCGATGAGCTGCGCTGCGCTGCGATGGGCTGCTGCGATGAATGCGGCAAACTACGCTGGGTTGCGACGGGGTCGCGAATGGCCGAATCGGCTGAATTGGATGCGTTTAGTGCGATGCCGCTGACAGGCGTGTCGATGTCCAACGAGAGATCGCAGGCGCAGGGCCAGTAACCACCGAGACCACGTGTAGGCCGCGGAGTGTATGGAGGTAAGCTGTTGCTGCAGAGCGCTGCAGTGGATTGTGGATAACCTGGAATAACCGGGGCGGTAAGACCAGGGTTAGGGGGAGCGAGCGATTGGGGGAAGATTGGGAGTGCTGAGGAGTCTGGGCCAACGCGCGCGCGGTTGGCGGCAAATCAGTGCCGACGCAGGCGACGTAGGTAGATGCAGATGACACGAAGGGTTAGGTAGGCGGGCAGGTAGGTGAGGTAGGTAATTCGTGGGTAAGCAAGAAAGGCAGCGTATGCGTACGCGTACGGAGTGTATAAGGTAGCAAGGTAATAAGTAGTTGGGTAATGGAAGTATGCTGATTGATGATGGTTGGCCGATGAGCGCGCGATGGCAACGGCCGATTGGGCGATGGGAGAGTTGACGCTTGTGAAGCTTGTGACAATGGACACACAACGGATGGGTCGCTTTCTCAAACGAGCGTCTGCCGCAGAACCACGGCAAAGAAAATGAAACGAGCGTCTGGAAAGCCGAAATGTCCCGGAGGGGGAAAAAAAAAAAGAAGAGATCAAAAGAGATCAATGGGGTAGTATAGAGTACAGCTGGTGACAGTATAGAAATTGGAGAGCACAAAACGAAGGAAAGAAAGAAGAGAGAAAGGAAGGCACACGTGTGTTTCCCTCCCAAATGAGGACCCGGCCGTGTTAAATTGCGAGATGGAGCGTGATGGGCATCTCTAGCCCGTGAGCGAGCATCCAGAGAGCATCTGCCCACCACAACGTCCACGGATCGTCGGGCAATGGTCCATCCATGGTGATCCATTGGCCGTGTGGGCGCGAGATTGGGATCTCGAAAAGACGCCAACACTAACCCGATCTGGCGTCTTGGCATCAGGGTTGTGCCCCCCCCCCCAAACAGGGGGACGCGTGCTAACGCGATGCCTAAGAGGTTATGTGGCTGGTTGTTAAGAAGCTCTGGATTTTTGAAGGGAGGAGGGTGTGAAAGAATTACAAGGGCCCACACCAATCGCGCAAATGACGTGCAGGGCAGGAAGGAGCTTTTTTGGAGCTGGGGCACTCCGTGTCTGGAAGCTGGGGAAACTCGAATCACCACAAGAAAAAAAAATTCCACTTTTGTTTTGCACAAACCGGACCGGGGGATCACCAAGATCCACGTCCCCCAAGGGGTATCATCCCCCGATGATGCCTGCTGCCCGGGCAACTGCCCTTGTCGACGATGATGGTTTGAAGATCCCTTCCCCGTTGCTGGGGAGAAACAGCTGAAGCAGACCAGGCCAGCAAACAAAGAGCTGGACCGTGAAAGGACGAGAGAATAGAAGATGAAAAGAGAATGTGCAGAAGCTCGTTATCTTGGCATTACCACGTGTCTTGCAAAGGACCTTTGGTTACTTTAAACTGGCTCACAAGTCAACAATATACAATACGATTGGCTCTCAAATGAGAGAAACGGACGACTTGTCCGCCTTATTAGTAGATACATGGCCTTGCATTCATCCAACAAATTGGTATCGAAAAAACTTGGTATTTGCGTTTGGTATTTGCATGGGCATTCTGGGTAAGGTTAAGTACTCAAGTCTACATAGTGCAGTCCAATCCTTTTCCATCCATCACCATTTTCATCTTTTTTTTGTTGCCTCATGTTTCATCCCGTCCTGAATGATCAAACACCATTAACTAGGTAAGGATTCATCATTGGTCATCCCAAGCCGCCCAGCTCACCCAAACAGACCAAAAAGTCATCATGACAAATGAAACAATAAAAATCTTTCAAACATTTTCCACTAGAGTGACCATGAATGAGAGAAAAAGGAAAAATAAAAAAAAAAAGAGAACCAGCCCCAACTCCAACCGGTTGACCGCCCATCCTTCCCACGAGTAATCCAACAAAACTCCCAGAACCAACGCCTCTCTCAAAGTCAACCGCCCCTACCAGTAGGCCTCTTACAAAATTACATACTCAATAACCAACCCCATCGCTTGTCCATTCAAAACACTTGGACTCAATCCCCATCATCCAGTCACCTTCCATGCCCACTCCTGCCGTCCCCGCGCCCCCCAAACATACCTCCCGATAGGAACATGTCTCCATCGTTGCCAGTCTGTCCGCCCAGACCACCGCCGCCCTCAGCAGGGAACTGCAGCCACTGATCGAAATCGAATCCGTTGCTCCCAGACGGATTGGCGTTCGCGGCAGTAGTCGCATCGAGGAAGGAAATGGAGCTGAAGTCGAGGGGGTCATGCTCGTGGCTATGGCCGTGAGCATGGTCGTGATGGTCTCCCCGAAGAGCACGCGTGGTGCTGGTGGCTGCTAGAGACCTGCTTGTGCTGCTCGGCGTCGTGAGCATCTGCCATAAACACATCGCCGTCGCCGCCGTCGTTGCTGCTTGGGGGTGTGGCGCCTGCTGTGGGGGCGATGCTACCGACGCCGAAACCGACTCCGAAAACGCCGTTCTCGCTGTTGCTGTTGTCGCTGCTGACGCCGTTGTCGTTGCCCGCAGCATCCTCGCCGTCCGTCATGGGCGGCGTCGCGCCCCTCGAGACAGCCAGGTTGCCTAGACCCTGCGAGCCGGCGCTCGCAGCCGCCATGGCAATCGCAATCGTGCCCTCGGCCGTTGTCGACGTGGACGGTTGCGTAAAGGCCGCCTGCGCGGGCTGGTTGGAGTGGAAGAGCGACACTTCCTGAGGGTTGAGGTACGGCGCGTTCTCTGGCGGCGGGGTTGAAGGACGGTGGTTCATATTCGTGAAGGTCGGCGCGCCGACAGTGCGCAGCTTGGGAGAAAGTTGAGTCAAAGGAAGAGCCGGGGCGAGCGGTCGAGCTATCGACTTCTGAGCAGGGTTCGTGGCAGTACGGAGGATGGGAGGGGCATGCTGCTGTTGCTGCTGTTGCTGTTGCTGTTGCTGTTGCTGCTGTTGCTGCTGTTGGGCCTGGGCTTGAGCAGCCGGGTTTGTGGTACCCAGGAAGCTGCGCAGAGCTGCATCCAGGAAGCCGGTGGCGAAATCGGCCGACGCGTAGATGCTGCGTAGGTTGCTCATGACCGTCAGACACTCCTTCAGGCCCTGGGCAGCCTTTTGGCGCGCCTGCGGATCAGTGTTCTTCATGTCGAGCATATGAATGATGGTTGCCGGCAAGATGACGGTCACACCGACGGTCGGCAGGTACCTCTCGAGGCTATAGCGGCGCATCTCAGCTACCATGCGAGTGATATGCTCAGCGGCCTCGCGGACGCGCTGCCGGGCAGTCTCCTGCACCTCGGTCGGCGGGCTGGGCTCTTGGGACGGGTTCGCAGGCAGGAACAACGGCCTGTGTAGCGCCGAGATGGTGGTATGGTACACCATGTGCAGCAAATTGCGTTGAACGGCGATGGCCTTGTTGGCATCTGTGATGGTGCAGCTGTCGAGGGAACGGTACCGACAACACTCGGGCTGCTCAGCGAGCCAATCGCGCAGGCGGCGGTCGACCTCTTCAACCTCCTGCATGTTGTCCGGGTTCTTGTTGGGCAAGAGCATGTGCGTGCTCTTGGTCGTGTGTTCGGGACGAACGCCGGCGCGGCCCAGCACGCTGTACTGGACCTGGAGCACGTCGCCGATCAGCCGGCACAGCTTGGCCTTCTCGATGCACATCAGGGCCAGCTCGCGCTGCATCGTCACGTTGTGGATCAGCTCGCACTCGGGGCCCAACACCGTGTTGTCATCGGGCAGGGCCTCGATCTCGAAGTCGCCCTCGACGAGCTCGGGCACGTCGAAGTCGCCCGTCTTGATGCGTGTTGGCCGACGCATGCCCAGGGCCACCAGGCGATCGCGCATGAAGCATGACCACCACACCCGCTTCCACAGCTTCTGCTTGCGTGGGTTCATCGGCGTCTTGGCTGGGTTGCGGTGCAGACCGATCGTGTGGCCCAGAGAGATGGCGATGCCCATCCAGTGCCAGGTGTCCTTGCTGTCATCTGGTGTCTCGTACCAGTAGGTCATGAGCAGCAGGCCCTGCACGAGGATGAGCCGGTCGGTCTCGTAGTCGAAGTCATAGAGAAGCTGCGGCATTGCGAGTCAGCACGTCCCGCTCTGCTACGTAACAAGACAAAAAAAAATCGATATCAACGGCCCAGCAAACTCACCCTTGTCCTGGAGAAGAACACTCTCCTGGCTTCTCTGCGGCTCGCATACCCCGCCTCTTTCAACAGCGTCTCGTCCACGAACGCCGTGGCGCTGAACATCACCGCATGGTACAAGAACAGGCTGACCTTGCCGGATGCTCCGGTCCGGTCGTTGATTGCTTTGAGGAACTCATGCAGCTCCAGCAAGGGCATGTACGGATACACATACTCGACAAACGCCCTCAGGAGAGCGTTCTGCAGCCGCACATGAGGCATCACAAAGACGCCCTTCTGCAGCAGATACACCCTGTCCTCGGCCGAAATGCGGTCAGGGATCGGCTTGATGAAGGCCGGCCACTCACGCTCAAGCTTGAGCAGTGGGTTGAGCAGCGGAGTGCATCCAGCCAGCGCAGCCGCAGTAACGGCGGCCGCCGCGGCGGTCGTCGGATTGCCCGGGGCCAGGGGGTTGAAGCCGGACAGGCCGGCACCGGAAAGACCGGAAAGGTCCCCGGCGCCCGTAAGAGGTGCAAAGTCGCTGACAGTGGAGGCAACTGTGCGTGCGGGAACTCTGTTAGCGAACTCGGAGCAAAAAAAAAAAAATTCTAGAAACGACGGTGTGTCGGGTGTTGTTTTTCACATGAAAAATGCCCAGACGCAGTGATTAACCTGGAAGGGGGGAAAATTTTTTTTTTGGTGTCTGTCGAGGCCCTTGTTCGTGCATGTGATCATGCCCAAAACAAGAAACTCTCCGATTGGGAGAACAGTGTTATCAAGGTTCTCGACTGGTGGGTTTGGGGGAAGGGGGGAGGGCCGCCGAGACTAGCTGGAGCATTTCTGCGTATCCAAAGGGCGTATCGGGGGGGGGGCTCGTTTGCGGAGGGTTACAGCAACAACAAAACTTACAGGATAAGCGGTGGGCGGCGGCGGCCTGTTCCCCGGTCAGGGGCATGGAAAAGGGACCGGCATGAGGAACAAAGCCCGGCTTCGCAAGATTGGCCGTCAGAAGGGGCGGTGCGGCGCCGATGCTCTTTGAACGCAGAACCTCGGCACCTCCAGACCGGGACCCCACTGATGGCGGTCCGCAGCTGTAGGGAAGATGTTTTCTGGATTGGCGAGAGATGCGCACGTCAGCCACTGCATGTCCCTGTTTGGATACGCTGGTGAAAATGACGCAGCCTGGGTGGTGGAGAGGAGAGACTGGAAAGAAAGGTCCAAGGGGAGCAAACACTGAGACTTACTTCCGCCTCCGGCTCTCCTGGACGATGCACTCGACGCTGTCCCAGCGGCAATTGTTACACGGGACACCCTCAACGACATCGCAGCGCACCTTGCGGGCTCGACATGACGCGCAGGCCCTGGCTGCTCTCCTCTTGGTGACCTTGCCTTCCGGGCCTACCGAGTTGCGCTTTTTAGGGGGGGACGTCGTTGATGTAGGTGCTGTTCCTGTTGTCGCTGATGTCGACGCTGTCGCTGCTGTGGATGCCGAGGCTGTTGCTGTCACTGTTGTCGCTGCGGCCGGAGCTGCGGTTGCTGAATTCTGTTCAGGAGCTGAAGGGACTTGAGGCGAAATTGATTGGGCTGGTGCCACAGACGTGGGCGAGGGCGCGTCTCCGTTGTCTGACATGGCGATCTTTCTGATTTCTGGGCCGGATTATAACCGTTTTCTCATGAAATGGCGAAAAGAGGTACCGTAAGCTCCCAGCCGAGGACGACGTCCAGCGTCAAAAAAAAAAGCCTTGACGAGACTCCAGTATGTTGTTTGCGTAATGTTGGCCGTTCGTAAGTAACCCGTCCTGGTGGTTCATACACGGTCCAAGATCCAATGTCAGCCAAGTAGGGTTTTCGTGGGCGTCTTTTAACACTTGTCCAATGGCGTTAGGAGCTATGTGATGTGATGTCGACAAGATCTCTTGTTGGCTGTCGACGATGCTGATGAGTCTATACTGTACAAAAACCAACAACACACAAAGATGACTGAGCGGAGAGGGCTTTGAGGGGCGTGGTTCAGGGCCGGGATACCACGAGGCACGGTTGGAGCTGGAGATTACGCGCCGACACAGTAGCTACAACAAGAATGAAGACTTCGGGATCCGGGACATGGTGGGGGAGGGGGGAGGGGGAAGGAGCCGTTATATCTCGCCGTTGAAAAACCTCAGGACAATCGCGGACGCGAGACTGCCCCTCAGCCCCCGGCTGGAGCGGACTAGGCCTGGGACGAACCCTGGGGATACCCCCGGGCAGTCCTGGAAGCCTGGGGGAGTGGACACTGGGGGGGGGGGAAAGAGACACTAGGAACACTGGGGTCGATGGACCCGACGACTAGGTAGGGAGGGATGCTATGTACAGTACCTAACCTACACCACTGCCTACTACTTCCCCCTCCAAGCAGGCAGTTGAAGACGACTGCGCTAGCATTGTATGTTCGTTCACCCGCTTGTTACTTTTACTGTGTTGTCTAGCCTACCACGTACTGTACGCTGCATGTATGTGATTCCTCTTTGGGAATGTGGGGGGAAAGGTACATGTACATGATAGACTTTCCACCAGCAGGATGATGGCATCGAGAATTGTTGGCTGTCAGTGGCCAGCCAGTTCGACTTTTTGCTGACTCCCGTTCGCGCTGGTGGCGAGAAAATCTAAGCCTATCCAACCTTTTTTTTTTAATTTTGCGTTCTTACATGCTTGCTGCTGGTTTTTGCTTCTCACACAGGAAAAAAGTTTCAACGGCAAACCGATAACCGTTCCTAGGTGTTCCATCGCCAAGAGGACGAGAGAAAACAAGCGAGATGCCTGTACCCATCCCACATCCCACATCACACATCACGAGGACGAGCATGAAATCAGTCCAGCGCTGGCAACCTGGAGCGCGCTGATTGTTCCGTTACAGGAACATGGAAGCAGCAGCGTTCAGGCCGTCGAAGACGACATGCTGTCACCTGGCCCAGCCAAGCTCCGGCAGCCCTGGTGGTGAAGTCTCAGCCAACCCTGAGTCGCCAAACCCTGCAGCTGTCCCGAATTGAGCCCTTCATCCGACCCCGGGTCCCAGGACGGGACCCACTGCGACCTTGCAGACCACACCAGGGCCCCGCATGGCTTCTCCATTCTCTCTCCACATATTCCATGGAATCAATCAGGAAAGAAAACGCCTCTTGTGGAGCAACCAACCACAGCCTGCGCGGTGGGACCACCGGAGAACCACCCACAAGTGGCAGCGAGCCGCAGCAGCAGAAAAGGACCACACAGCATGCAACAACACGACCTGGCGTCCTGCTGATAGCGTGTGTAAAGAAAAAAATGTTTTTTGGTGTGAATTCTCCAGCGCTTTTATTTACTGGATCTCTGCCACGCCGCGGGGCCACTTGGAGCATTGAGAGATCCATCAAGCAACGGGGTAACGAGGGGGCGGTACTGGGGGGCGGCTCCAGCAGCGGCCGACAGATCGTGTGCGTGCGTGCGTGCGTGTGTGTGTGTGTGTGGATGTCTTGAGTCAGGAACTCGGGGCAAATGGGGTCGGTTGTCGGTCAGGGCCGAGGAGTTCACCTTGGGAGGCCTGGTCCTAAATTCTCTCTCTCTTGCACGAAGCCATCAGAGGACTCAAAAAGGGAGGGACTGCTCGTGCTCGCGAACGACAATGTGATGCGACTGACGAACTAAAGGACCTGATGAGCCAACGTTCAATTTGTCCGATATTTGCAAGCTCGCATGGCGGCCAGGGGCTCGGCGCGGGTGGTGGAAAAGCAGTGACGTAAAGGTGTGCGCCCTCGCCCACCGGTTCATTCCATCACCAATTTCCAAAAAGCAAGGCATTTGGCGAGAGAAGGATGCAGATCAAAAGACAGAGCATAGAGACTATCTCGTGTAGGACACAGCGCTATCTATCTGCTATGTATTATGTCTGCAGCGGCCAACAGAGCCGGCAGACGGCTGATGTTGTCGGTGCTGTCACCGGCGCACTGAGTCTCCTCGGTGACGGCGGGAAAGGTCGAGCTTCCTCTCGTCCTTGGAGTCGAGGCGAAAGACGCGATCCAGCGAATCAGATCGCACGCCGTTTGTCCGAACCAAGAACGCTGTTAGCCGGCGTGGCGCTCTGGATGTTGCCGAGTGAGCAGGCTTGGCAGCTCTGGCATTGCAGCCATGCTCTCTCTCTGACACCACCAACAACCGCCTCTTTTGCCCATTTTGATCGTCCCCAATATTTCGCTGCGTTTCTATCCTGCGCCAGTGCCATGCTGATGAATAATGAGCTCAGATTCTGCAGTCCGGTCTGAGAAGCAACGGCAGTAAAAAGAGCGAGCCGCAACTCGACAAAACGTGGTTCCCTAATAAGGAAGGGCCTCGGCAAGATTCGGAGCTGCATGTCGGGCCCGACGCTGCAGGCGCAGCGTCACCAGAGACACCTCGAGCGACGGGAAGGCTGCGTCGCGTGCAGGATTTTTCTTTCTAGATCCAATGGTTCTTATCGATAAGCCGCTGTAAGGGCACCACACACAGTGGGACACCTAGTGTGAGCCCCACCAGCACAGTGTCAATTTGCGGAGATACGGCGAGCTTCCGATCCATTCGATCGACCTGACATCGATCTCGAGAACCGCTGATATCGTCACCATCCATTCAAGCTGCCATTGCGACTCCGCCATATCGCTTACCATCCTCGAAATGTGTCAATTACCGCTGCGCAATCACATTTTCTTATCTCGCAACCTTTTATTTTTTCTTCGAGTCAGTTGAGGACAGTGTCGTCGAGAATTTTGTGGCTTGGTCCTTCGAAACACCTTGTCTCTAACATCCCCAAGACCCACTCAAAATGCTGATCCATGGATCCATAGCACCATAGTCAACAAATCCACCTCCACAGTCCACAACAACATCCACATCTCATCCGCGTTCATTCCAGCAATTCCCACAGCCCACAGGACGTGCTCCTCCGCCATCTCCGGATCAGGCTCCATCCTCCGACTGCAGCTGCTGGCCTAGGTCTGGATCTGCTCACCGTCACCGCCGGTCGATGTTCCCTTTGTAAGCAAGCGATGAAAGGTGAAACGAAAACTTTGTATCCTCAGGCTCTCTTACCCGTCTTTTTGCGCTGATAAAACACAATGCGACCCTTCCTGCCCGCAGAGGCAGCTCGAAGCGCCTGCAGTTGCGCTTCCATGCATGTCGTGTCTCTGCTAGGCGCAGCACGGCATATGTCCCCTTCTTGACGTCAAGCTTAGGTGTTTTAAGAGGCCCGTCTGACCATCAGGGTCCTCGCTTGCATTGACAATGTACGTACAGGTAGGTACATGCACGTCTCATCTCTCACCTTGAGTCATCCACCAACACCGGGTTCGCCATTGCTCGTTCCTTTCATCCTCCGTTTACTCCGTAAATCTGTCAACCTGGGAATGTCCTTCAAGCAAGGTTTCCATCCATCCAGTCCCCTATTCAATGAGACTTGGGGATTTGGACATGTTCTCGCCAGTAATGTCAGCAAAAAAGTAAAGTGTCTATGGCCCCAAAGACCAACCTGAAGAGGTTCTCTGTTACATCTTAGTTTCCCCGCCCTGTCCCAGTTGTCAAACCCCACAGTAACAATGTGCAACCCCTCTTTTTGTCTTTTTTTTTTTTTCCACAGCAGCCCACCTCCGCACTCTGCCCACCAATTGTCGTCGTCCATCCATCGTGTCGCTGTCTTGTGTGACTTCGTTTCCACCGCCTTCCCCAGAAATGTCAAAACCTGGAGAAGCTTCGCAGCCAGGGCATCGCCTGTCTCCGTACTTTCCCGGCCATCACGATCCGAATTAGGATCGGATCCTACGTACTTCTGCCTGGTCGTTGAGGTGCCTGTGTGATGGTTCGCTTTGCGATTGGTGAGAGCCTCACAACGGCGTATGCCAGCTGATCGGGGCTGACAGATGATAGAGACACGCCATGGTGACCTAGACGTCGCACGAAAGTTTAAAGCAAGTTGGCAAGTTAAAGGAGCTTTGATTGAACAGGCCACGGCAAAAAGCACATGTGTGGCGATCAGTCGCCAGCAGTTTAGATTCAGCTAGGGTAGGCCCTAGATGGATCATCATAGCCATGAACCTTTCTCCGTAGTGGCAAAGAATGTTTTAGATGAGGAGAGTCACAGGGCTCACCTTAAGGTTCTGGCTCCCTTGTCCAACACACGTCTGTACATACAGGGAAATCCTTACAGGCAGATAACGATCCTTCAAGGGAGGGGGGCGTATGTGTTTCTCGACTTTAGAGGTACTCCCTTGATGACCAACGAACGGGGAGATCCGCTTACCACCTTCTCCCAGCTGATCAGATGCTGATCAGTCATGGAGACAATAGCGGCAGTAGAATCTAGATTTTCTATAGGCATGGTCTCTTCGAGATCAGAATGTTAAACAGTGTGCTAGCGCCTATGCTCGCACAGCCATTCGGCACATGCCCTCTCATTGCTTACCAGCACCACAACAGAGGAGGTACCTCCCCGACAAAGATTCTTCCAGAATTCATTGTAAAAGTTTGAAAAGAGAGAAAAGAAAAAGCGAGGTGTGTTCGATACGATACCTGCCAAAAACCATCACTTGCAGCTGCCATTATGGAGTCCGCTGGCCGCGCCGTCCGTAGCCTATCCGGGATCCTTTTGATTCACGCTCTCTGCCGCTCTCAAGAAACGCTCAATTGGGTCAAATCCCCGATCGAGGCATCTTCTTGGCACGAATAAAATGCTAGTCTGTTGGGATTTTTTTTTCTTCTTTACGCCTCAATGACTTCAATTTGTGCATTTTTCTTCCAAGTTTTTTTTTTCGAATTTTTAGGTGTTAAGTGTGTGTGATGAATGCGAGTGTGATGCACAAATGTCGAAGGATCGGTGAGCTCGGCACTCGCGATTTAGCTTCTTGCTGACTGACAAAGTACTTGCAGTGTTGGAAAAGACTTCGCCTACTTTTAAGAGACTTGGCTCCGAGAGAAAATGCTTCGAGAAATTGTCCCCCCCCCCCCAAAAAAAAAACAAAAGAGTGCTTTGGTCTTGAATGACATGTTTCACGTGGATTGAGAGTTGAACTTCTCCACATTGATAATTTCCTTGGTTTTGTGACTTAGCCTACAGAGCTTGTGTCCTGTGAGAGCTTTCTCCAAACTCAGCTCCTTGAGAACTTTCGCCCATGCCCAATTGTCCCCCAATGTTTTGTTGGTTTTGGCCAAAACAACACAGCCGATGGGGTCTCTAACCCCATCTCCACCCACGGAGCAAGGATACTGCTCCCTTTTCCGAGCGGCTTCCCCTCACCCAATCCTCTCTGGGTTTGGGCCCTGTGTGTCTCCAATCAGCCGCTGATGTGCTACCTAAGTATGTATCTTCTTCCGCCAGGCGCTCTAGACTAACTGAACCAACCCCATCATGGGCTGGTCGTGTTGATATTTGACAGGTCACCCGCACTTTCGGCCGTACACTACCGCGCGCTAGTCGCAGCTCTTGGGCTCCAGCTCCCCGCTCTTGGGCTCGGGGCTCTTCTGTGAGCACACGGCGTTTTACCTAGGTATGTGGCATAAGCTCTGTCCAGTCTCGGTGATTCGGTCAAAATAGTCGGTCGAGTCGGGCATTGGGCGTCTTGGCTTTGGGGAGTGGTAGTGTGGCCAGATGGTCGAGGAGGGAAAAGAAAAAGTTTTTGTTGTTCAGGAAGAGGGTGACTTGCCTATCGTAGTCCGCCACATCAACTAGCCGCCAGCACTTCGCCATGATGAGAAGTCGGTGTTGCTGTCCACGCTAAAATAACCTCCTATTGCGCAAGTTAAATTTTTGTCCAGCTACATAAGCTACCACTCAGTCCCGGACCCGGACCCTGCTCGGTCGGACCCGGGCTTGCATCGATCGGGGTTGGGTCGGATCGGGACAACATCGGAAGCCCCGGGGGGGGGGTTGTCCAGGGATCAACGAGCCTCTTTTGAGGTTGGGGGCGTTGCTCCATCCTTCGGTCGAGGCTAGTCGTTCTAGACTGGACTTTTTTTGGTGCCCAAGCCCCAACAAACTCCGCCGGAAACAACCCATCGCGAGATCTTGATTGAGTGTGAAATGGAATGCTGCGTCTCTTATCTATGAAGCCACACAGGGCATTCCACGAGGCACAAGGCACGAGACACGGTAGAGAGAGTACGGGGTCTGGGGTCTGGGGTATGGGGTATGGGGTCTGGGGATAAGCATTGAAAGATTGGATCGTGTTCAAATCAAAAAAAAAAACAAAAAACAAAAAAAAAACAAAATGGAATGCCAAACGGTGTTTCTCGCGAGATGATGGTCTGCAAGATGGAGCAACGCGGAGATGGATCCATGACACGCGCTGTCGTAGATGGCGTCGATATTGATCGTCGTTGATCTCGACGACGGTGACATGAATTAGGCAGGTAAGACATCGATCTGATGTAGGTAGTGTAAAAGTAAAGTGATCTCAAAAACCTGGGGGCCCGCCGGGCCGAGGGGTGGGGGGAAGGGGGGAGAGAGGGTGTTCGGCAATGGAAAGGGTGAGCGGATCAGGTCGATCACTGCAGAGTTGGTAGGCTGTTTGTTGACAGGCTTCCCAATAAAGGAATTTTGTTTCCGTTGAGAATCGGCCCGGAATGGTGCAGCAGAGTCCTGCACAGCATCATACGTGATGACGGCATGGCTAGGGGTCAGCCAAGCTGCTAAAAGGCTTGAGCATGGAAGAGAATGTGCGTTTTTGTATTCAATCGCGCGTGGGAAGAATTGTTTGCCCACGATCGTAATATGTGTGTGTCATGATAGCTCGGGCGTTTCAAACATGGTGATCACATCATTCGGCTGGCTAGCGCCGATAGTTCCTGCACCCTTCCAAAAAAGCATCACTAGAGAGACACAATAAATAAAACACCCAAGGGGGAGGAGAGGGGGGGAGGGTCACAACATCGTCAACCAAAATAACAACAGATCTTGACGGTTCAAAGGGCATGTATCCCTCTTTTGATATTGTCATGGGACCACTTAATAGTGGAAATGCGATAGCGTTAGAAAGTTAGCTAGGATGAATCTGTCTTAATCCCAAGCATTGCCACACACATTTGCAATATATCCCTTACGATTCCGACGGAAATTATCGTTACGTATCCTGTATACATACGAGAAAGATATCCAATAGAAAAAAAAAAAGTGGGGGTCAGAAGCAAAGCCCAGTCCACATCATCTCGTCAATAGATCCAACATATACTCCAACCAAAACTCAAGCTTGCACCTCATAGACGCTCAGTCTGTTACCAGCGCCGCAGAGTTGCGAAGTGTCTCCCGCGCACGGCATGCTGCAGTCACCATCGCTTACTTCAACCGACCCGGTATTGAGGACGTTTCCGCAGTAACACTCACGAGAGTATTCCGTGCCGAAGAACTGGTAACCATTGCAGAACTCGGCGCACATCTCAAGCGTGAGGTTGTCTGAGGCAAGGGTCTGCTCGCTCAGAGCGCGCATGCCGGTCGCTTCAGTGTAGCAGCCCTTGCTAGACCAGGTGGCCTGGGCGGTGGGTGCGATGACGGTAGAGGGCTGGGTTGGGGTTGACGGCGTCGAGGTTGAGGAGGGGGTGGTTGGGGCGATGACATCCTCGTTCTCGTAGAGATCCAGACGGCTCGGGCCACCGCAGTACTGGGACGGGTTGCCGGAGCAGAGCATGTTGCAGTCATTGAGGGAGGGCGCTTCCGAGGAAGTTGGGTTGATCGTGTTGCCGCAGTAGCACTCGGACGAGTACTCGACGCCGAAGTACTTGTAGCCGTCACAAAAAGCGGCGCACGACTCAACAGTCATGTCACCCGAGGCAAAGGTCTTGTCTGACAGGGTGCGTCCAGTCGTGCCCTCGGTCCAGCAGCCGACGAAGGCGAAAGGAGAAGCCGTCGGCTGGTGAGAAGGAGCGGCAGTCGTGGTAGGGTTGGCGGTCACTGTTCCTAAATGTGTCAGTCAAAACTTCAATTCAAATCTTCAATGCTCGAAAAGAAATAAAAAAAATAAAATCTCACCAGAAGTTGTGGCATGGTCGCTTGCTGGTGAGGATGTCGAAGCTGCCGATGAAGTTGGAGACTGACCTGTCGGAGCATTGGCCAAGACGTAGAGATCAAGACGGTTGCCGGCACCGCAGTACTCAAACTGATCGCCAGCGCAGACCATGTTGCACTCAGACAGCGGAGCCTCGGTGCTTCCGGCGTTGAGGGAGTTGCCGCAGTAGCACTCACGGCCGTACTCGGTACCGAAGTAGATGAAGCCGCTGCAGAGCGAAGCGCACAGCTCCAGAGTCATCGAATCGTCGGCATGGGCGGCACCCGAGAGAGCACGGCCGCCAGAAGCCTCTGTCTGGCAACCGACGAAGACGTAGTCGCCAACAGCAGGCTTGTGGGCAAGAGCGCCGGTAGGAGTCGGGGTAGCGGTCGTTGTCCGAGTGGCAGTCGTCGAGTAGAGCTCGAGGCGATTGCCAGCACCGCAGTACTCGGTCGCGTCACCGCTGCAAGGCATGTTGCAATCCTCAAGCGGCGCCTCTGAGCTAGTGGAATGCAAGCTGTTGCCGCAATAGCACTCGCGGCCATACTCGGTACCCCAGTAGTCAAAGCCGGTGCAGTTTGCCATGCAGGACTCCAGAGTCATGCCATCGTAGGCGAATGCAGCGCCACCGAGAGCGCGAGCACCAATGCCCTCGGTCCAGCAGCCGACAAGCTGGTAGCCTTCGATGGTCGACTTGTGAGCAGGAGTCGGGCTAGCTGTCGCGGTGTCGCTAGTGCTGCTGCTCGCGCTTGTAACAGGAACACTGGTGGACGAAGCAATCGAGGAGGTGCTGGTCGCCGGCTCAGGCTCGGTGACGTTGCCGCAAGCAAGGCCCCCGGAGAAAGTTGCGCAGCTGCCGCCCAAATCGCTACCCTTAATGAACGTATCGGCATGCTCGCCGGCAGACACGCTGACGCGGGCGTTGTAGCTCATACCGCCCGGAATAGCGAAGGTGGCCTCATAAAACGTATACAGGCCTGCGCAATCACCCTCAGTCATGGGAATGGTTTCCTTGCTGAGGATTGGAACCGGGTTCGTGCCCGTAGTACGCGGAGTCAGGTACTCGACGTCGAGATTGACGGGGACGTCAGCGATGTCGTTGCGAACGAGGGCACGGACAGTGAGAGAGCCAGAAGTCTGGAGCAAGCAGCTCTGGGGAATCTGCAGGATGATGGCATCATCGACGGGGTACGAGTGACCGTTGTTATCGTAGCTCTGGCTCGTGCCGTCATTGAAGTTGACAACCAAGGTGAAGGACGAGATGCCGTACGCCGCTGGAATAGCCACGTCGATAGGGAAGAAGCCGAAGTTGTCATCAAGACCGCTAGCAACGCCACGCAGGGTGAGAGTAGTTGAGCAGCCGCTTGAGCCGCAGTTGCTGCCACCCCAGCGGTCCTTCCAGGTGAGGACGACATTGCTGACGTCACTCATGGCGAAGCCGTTAGCCCTGAGGCGGATATAGCCGGTCAGCTGGAGGGTGCTGGCACCGTTGTTCAGCTTCAACTTGATATCGACGGGCTTGACGTTGTAGGGCTCGACAGGATCGGTGAGAGTCACGCCGGGAGGGACGACCTCGATCATCTTCTGAAGGACAGTGCGGCAGATCTCGCGATAGGCATTCGGGTCGGCCATGGCGCTGATGGTCGCATTACCATCCGAGTTGAAAACCTTGAAGTCCGAATGACGGTTGAGGCCAACAGCCGGGCCAACCACCAGAGGATTGGTCGTAGTGCCGTCTAGGTACTCCGTGACGACCTTATTGTCATAGACATGGTTGCTCGAGTCGAGGCCGATCTGCCCGACAGAGGCATTGACAATGTTGGGGAACTCGGCGCTGTGGACAGAGCCAAGAGTATGTCCGCAGGCGACCAGCTGAATCATTTCACTGCTGGTGAAGCCCATACGATCGAACTGCTGGCGGAAGGTGACCACCGAGTTCTGCGGCTGAGGCACACCGAGCGGGCCTGCTGCGGTAGCGTCTTTGCGGCCAACACGGAGCGGGACGACAGGGCCGCCACACGACCGGACAGACGCATAGACACCAGCGGCAATCAAGTCGGCCATGCTGGAGCGGCTGGTTAGGTAGTTGGCATAGAACTCGAGCGAGGTCCGGTGGCCAGGCCCCGTATTCTCGCCGTTGTTGAGCTCGAACTGAATCGACGCGTCCAGACCACCGACACCAGTATATTTGTTGTGTGTGGACATATCACTACGGGTGTGTTAGGAAATCCAGCGTATGAACAAGCACAAGGACGGAGAGCACACATACTGGAAGGCCACGCGCAGCCACTCGCTGGCGGTGATACGGCCAGGACCGGCCGCTTCGTTGTCGCATGGCCTGATAGCATCGTTGAACAAACTGCCCTTGAAGCCCTGGAGCTGGTACACGATGAATTCCATGTGGTCAACTTCGGAAGGCCATGTCGGGTCAGCTTTGGCAGCCACCGCTGCCAGCGAGAGCAGGCCTGCGTAAAGTGTTTCGGTTCTCATGTTGCAAAGAGACCGAGATTCAAAACATTAGATTACGATTAGAAATGTAGGAAAATCTGAGAGCGGTAAAAACAGATCGGAAGGCGCTCCGAGGTGAGCGAGGAGTCACGCCGCGAAGAGGGAAAGAAAAAAAGAAAAAAAAAAAAGCTGGAGCGACTCAACGAGCGGAGCCAGGAAGAAGCGAGAGTCGGTGACCGCAACGGCCGTCGGGTAAAGATCCTGGAGTCTTGATGTCCTGATGTTCTTCCTGTCACCTGCACGCTGGGACGAGAGGACTGGCGATGCGACAAACAGAGGTAGATAAATGATGGACAATCGCAAAACGTCCCCCGGTCACTGGAAGCAGGAACAGAAGTCGAGAAATGTCAAGACGAACGACTCAGCCATGGGGTGCTCCGGTGATTTTCTCTTCTCCTGTTGTGCCCGAAAGCCGGGCACCGCCCACTTCCCAGCTCAGACTCCCTGGGAAAAGACTAAGTCGACAGGGAGGAGCCCGTGGACCTGGATGGAGACGGCGATGCCACCCTTCTCGTGCAGGAAAAATTGAAGCGCCAAGCGCTGGTATCCGATCTTGTCCGGTCTTATTGGTCAGTCCCGCCCATCATCGAGCTGCGTCACCCCGGTTCTCAGCCGCACTAAAACCGAACCGGTCATGCAGTTCTTCCGCTGTGCGCCATGGAATATCGGTCTTCAGGTTCAAACTCGCCAGCGCTACCTACATACATCCCAACGCTCTGGACGTGCAGGGGAACTTCCTTTCCGAGCGCAGTACAAGCAGCAGCCACACCGCTGATCGATAAGTTTCACCTCTTGTCGAATTTGACATTTCACTTTTTGTCAATTGGCTGAGTGTCTGCTTGCTGGTAGAACGTGCTCAAGGATCGGCAATCAGCAACACTCTTTTGCGATCCACACAACACGTGTGATCGCGCCGTTCCGTCTGTTCACTGGAGGTTGCGTGCTTCCAGGTACAGCTACTATTGCCGTGGGGTCCAGTAATCCCGGAATAGCGAAGAGTGGAGCTCCAAGGTGAGAGAGAGGCGGATTTGTGGCGTACAGATAGGGCTGCGTCCCCACTAAGACTATCAGACCATTGGCTGCTATTGGCTGTACCTAGCTACCTAGCTATGTAGCTTTCAGTGGTTGACGGCCCTTGCGCATGGTCCGATCTTTGGAGTGGACCCTGGACGTCACATCCGTCGTGGATTGGCAGCTGGGGAACGGAAGAAAGCGACCCAAACAAACGGATCGTTACCGAAGATCGAGCATGCCATCATCATCCATCATTGATCCCACCTCTTGCCCATTCGCCAAAAGCCTACAAATCCAACGTTGGAGACACGAAGCGGCTTCCATGTTCTGTTCATGACTTGCTATATCCTCTCTTCATCGGTAATGGCCGATAACTAATCACACCAAGTACATCCGGGTATCCCCAAGGACAAGGAATTAAAAAAAAAAAACAAGAAATTGCGCGTTGCCCACTCTGTCTGCAGTCTTAGAAGTCTGCAAGCGGGTAATATGTAGTTACTATATCGGTACAACAAAGATGAGGATGGAGTAGACTACATATGAAGCAAGCTAAGCAAGTGATGAAACCACAAAAGACGAGCTCAACATGCCTTTATCCCAGCTGCACAACTTTGACGGGCAAGAAACGGTCCGCCTCACAGCCCTAGAAAATCTAGCATGCTCCGGCTCGCCGCGGAACTACTGACACGATAGTGTCGATAGGAGACTCTCGATGAGGGACCCGTTGCACCCATCACTGAGGGTCCGTATTCACATCAGTTGGAAAACTCCAATATGTATCCTGAGATTTTTGGTCCCAAAAAAAACTGGAAATGTATTATGAAGGATTCAGCATGGATGGTACCTACCAGGCTGAGCTTGAAAAAAAAAATTGCACCGAATTTTGTCTGGCCAACATCACTACTTTCACACAAAGGAAATCAACACGAGATGGCTCAAAACGCATCGACACAGTGCTGGAGCTGCAGACCTCATAACCTTATTTTATTGGCTTGGTTTGTTGCACAATACAAACCACCAGGCTGCTCACCAGGCCCTCCGAAAAAAACCGTATAGCCCCTTATGTCAGAGAGATGGCCGCTGGTCAAGGCTCAGCATGTGCAATTCTCACAGCAGGTCATGGACCCCACAAGGTATATCAGGAGAATAAGGTAGGATCAGGCACAGAGGGCCGAGAAAGACGCGGCTAACGCAGGTCCAAAACGACCAATAAGGACCAAGAGGCACCAACGAAAGGTCGGAAAAGCCAAAAATCACTGGCGAAGAAGAGCCTTTGGTAGTAGAAACAAGAACGGATCATCTGTATGGAAGGTATATAGACTCCTCACGAGAGAAGGGGAAGAAGGACTTCCCAGTCAGCACTACAAACAGTTGTTCAGAACAACTGGTGACCGCAGGGATCCTGAACCCTGTGTGAGGGCTCTTGTCTCGGATCCTTAAGCCTTGAACCGCCGAACCCATCTCCAGAAGGCTAGTTGCATCGTCACACAGCATTTATAAAGGGTTTGAGCGGTCATACCACTTCGCCTGTATCAAAAAGCGACTATACAGAACGCGACGATCCAGCTAGACTTCCTTCAAATGGGTTCTAGGTTGGTCCAAGGCTTATTTATGGATCTGAGAGACAGGAGTTTCCACACACATTCAGAAGCGCTGCGGTCACCAGTTGTTTTGGGCAACTATTTGGATCGCTGACTGAGGAACTCTTCGTCCCCTTCTACCTACGAGGTATCCATCTACCTTATATACTCAAGCCTTTCTTCATTCCTTAAGCGTCTTTTGGTCTTTTGTCAGTGATTCTTGGACTGACTACCTTTCGGGGCCGCGTGAGTCGTGTTTATTGGTCCTTTGTGCCTGGCCCCACTTTTCCCCGTGTGACAACCTTGTTGATAAAACATCATGTGATCCATGAGCAGCAAACACTGGGCAAGTCTAACAAGTGGCTCTTTTTTTCACGCTACTTCTTTATCAAAGAGAGGAGAAACTGCAGTGTACATTTTCCCGATTTTCCCTTCTAGAGCTTTTATTAACTTATTTTAGACTAATTTTAAACAATTGAAAAATATAGTAATCGAGTTAATATGAGCAGACTTGGCCTAAGATAGTGCCGCCAAAGTTCTATGAAACTTGCTCTAATGTCATGACCAACAAAGGCTCTATCTGGAAGAGTGGGCCCCGCGCAGCCGACTGATCAGAGTAAAAGGGAGTTATGACCCATCAAACCCAGATATCTGTTCTCAACGACCCCATGCATTGTGTGGACGATTCCACAACTTCCTAAGATGGGTTCGAAGGTATTGGCCAGATTGTAGAACCCGAGGAACTGGGGTCCTCACACAGTAGGGTATGAAATTCACTGCGGTTACCAGTTGTTGGTTGACAACTACTTCTATTGCCGACTGGAGAGTCCTCGTCATGGCTCTGGGAATGGGTGATTCTATATACATATTTATATTCGAAGCCGTCAGTCTGCCCGTCCTTCTGTCATTACCTGTTTTGGTAATGTTGAGGAGTTTCTCGCAGTTATCGCAGCGTATCGCAGCGCGAGGACTGTAATGTTTGCGCTTCTCCATCTGATTGGTCCGCCTCTTGACCCCATTAGAAACCCTCCTATTGGTCGCCTCCTAAGCCATCTGTGGGACAGCGGCCGAGCCCATTACCAGCCGTAACACATTGGGCAGGCGTTCCTCAACGCCCAAGGATGTTGACCCTCAACGGGCCTGTGCCATTGAGGGGAAAGGAGCAGAGGAAGCCACAGGGGTGTATAAGACGCAGATAGACTCCAGGCATGGTCATCAGGCCGAAGAAGCTCCCCAGTCAACAACACAAACAATCATCCATCTGTTCAACTGGTGATCACAGCGATCTGATTCTATTCGATTCCAGTTTTCGACCGGCTCACCTCTGAGGGTGCTAAGTCGTGCCCACGGCGTTGGCGGGAAATAACTATCTAGATAGAACTATACACAGGTAACGTCGGGATAAAAACCGCCCAAGGGAAAACCGACGTGGACTCAAGGGGATGGGAAGTAGCGTGCCATGGGCCGGGGGGGGGAGTCTTACGGTCGAACGATCCTAGGGATGAGGATCTTCAGACTTGACACCGAGTTCTCTGAGTCGGAGCCTGGCTAATCGGCTCCCTAAGCTTGGAAGCAGGCAGGTAAGGGGGAAGGGGGACCGCAAGGTCGAGACAGGTTGCCCCGTAGCGACGTCCCAAGCTTGCCCCTAGAGCTCGATCTGGGAGGCCCTGACCTTGAACAGTTGGAAGGAGGACCACAAGGCCCTCGGGGTCAACCTACCGGTGAGCTGGTTGTTGAAAGTGGTGAGGGGGCAGGAAACGAAGTGGCCTCTGGTCACCACCCTCCCACAGGGGCACACTCATTAATGTCCTCCAGGGGGTGATTGAATTGCACGTGGTACTCCAGGAAGTCGCCGTGGCCCGAGGCCTCCCCCAGCCAGCGGGAAAGGCATTGTCGGGAGAAGTTTTCGAGGAACAGTTTGGTCGAGTGCCCGTCCCAAAGGGCCCAGGGGGGTTTGTTAGTTTCCCACCACCCACGTATGTCCGGGGGGGGGGTAGCTCGGCGTCTCTTAGGGGGACCGGGGAGGAGGCCAAGCCACAACCTGACGCCCGGACGTTTTTGCTCCCATTGAGGCCTCGCCCCGAGGCCAGAGGCCGTCTGGTGCAAGCGGGACGAGCCGCGGTAAGGGGGTCAGGTAAGCCTAGCTCACAGGGGGTGGTTGGCCGGCAACATCTCGGCACGGTTCCTCCACCATGCCCGCTCACTGTCCAGCAGATGCTCGAGGTGCAGGCTAGCTAGCCACCAGAGCCACGGGGTCGGTATTGTCCTCTACACCGGAAATATCACTCTCGGTGCCGCATTCGCGACTTTTGTGACAGACAACCAGACCGACGTTAGCCCAAATGGGGACTAGGTAGCCATTAACCCAGCTCTGTTTTGGACTCGTGTCGAGTTGAACCATACCGTACAGGAGAGAGTGGATGACGACCGCATTGAAATGTTGGGGCCAGCCGAGCGGGGAAAATCCCGAACCATCGTGTTGGACAGGCATTTAATTTGACCAGGCCTACCACCGAGGCCGTTGCCGACGCCCCAGCAGCCGCCTGAGTCGCGAGGTTGAGCTTAAGGCCCAGCAGGACGTCTGATCATTTGACAGGTTTGCTGGTGTATCTTTTGTTGGGGGGGGGGGGAAGGGGAGGGCGTCCCCTCGATTTGGGTCGAGATCCTTACAGGGTCTATCCTATTACGCCTCTCCCAACCCCTTGCCGAATGTCGACAGGAGGGTAATGGGCTGCCAGCCTTTGTATAACCGGGGGTCCCTACCCGGCTTTGATAGGGTGACCACAGTCACTTGTTTGAAAGCCCTAGGGAAGACCCCGAGCGCGATGCAGCCTTCGGCAATAGCCCGGGCAGCCGGGCGTATGAACCCCCAGGCGTGCCTCACGAATGCTAGTGGCACCCCATCTGGGCCTGGAGTGTTGGAGGCGGCTCCAAGAAAGGCGTCCTTGAGCTCCACGTCGTCGGGCGGCGCAGCGAGCCTCGCCGCCCACCCAGGAGGAAGGTGGGGACCGAGCCAGGCCGGGCGGGAGCCTTCTTGCGCCCTAGCAAGACGGAAGACTTGGATGGCCAAGTACGCGGTCACCTGCTCCGTATCTGAAACCACCCTCCCGTCGAAGACCGTTACCGTTGGGCGATCATCCGTTAGTACCCTGCCACACTCCGCCGGGGATGAGGGCGAGGCGGCCCTCTATCTGTAGAAGTTCACCCTGACCTCCTTGCAAAGCTTGCGGCAGAAGACGGGCTTCATCTCTCTGACAGTGGTTAATACCTCTGACCGCCAGGGAGCGCTGTTTGTGTGCTTGTCGGGGCGGGTTAGAGGAGCGGCCCATGACCCCGGAGAGGACGTCGAAGACGGACCAGACAAAAGTGTTCGAGCTCTTCCCGGTCGGCAAGTTGGCCGGGGCTGGGGGGGAGCAAGGATTGGAGTAGCCGGGTAACCTTCCTCGAAGCGGGACCTGGGGAGGCACCTTGGCGGGAGCAGGCGGCTGGGGGGCGGCCGGGCACTGAGACCACCTTCGCGCGGTGGTCTCAGGCCCAATGGGCGAACTCCACGAAAACCCTGGCTGGGCCAGGGGCGAGATCAATAGTCCCACCGCCGCGGTGTGTCGGGCCCTCAAAGCTAAGGATGTGAAGGGCCTCGCCGCTATCCAGGCCCTGATCATGTCCACCTTGGGGCTAGGGCGGGCGCGGGGGCCCCAGTCGGGATGGTGGGTATTGAAGTCTCCTACAACAATGTAGGACCCGGGGGTCGATCTGGAGTAATCGGAGGATGCGCCAAGTATCAATGGCAACGTCAAAGTTGGGATGTAGGTACACGTTGACAATAGCGAGTCCTTGAAGCGAGATGGAGACTATGCCATGTTTGGGGGCGGTTGGGGTAGAGGCCGTGAGCCGCGGTCCACGTAGATGGTGGCTCTGGTTACCCCGTCATCGATGGCGTAAAGGGTAAAGCTAGGGTGCCGTCTCACTCTGCAGAATATGACTAGAAGCACTTGGGCGCATACCACTTGGTGTCAGTGTCTCGCGGCCCGCTGAAGAATACCGTCGATGTTGGCCAGGGACCTCGGAACGTTGTCTGAGATAATGTTACAGGTCCGAGTCATCGTCGGATTCTAAGCCGGTCCTAACGACGATGCGGTTCTCCGTGTAATCTCTCGGCCGACGTCGCCCTAGGCGGCGGGGGCACGAATATCGGGGAGATGAAAGGAGGGTTGTTGGCGCCGGTGGTCCTAACCGGCCCTCTAATCCTGACTTTGGTTCTCTTGGCTAGCTCCATTTTCTTCTCCTTCTGGAGTGCTAATCACCACTTCTCTACCAGGAAGCGCGCTGTTTCGCTTCCTCAGAAAGCCTCTGGGGGTAGCTGGGTTGAAGCAGTGCGGTTTCCCAGAGGCGAGAGCCAGAGCTTAGGAATTTAATAAGTTGGGTAAAGTCACAGCATTTCTTGTTCGAGATCTCCAATGTCTCCTCAAACAGGAGCTCGGCGGGCTATCTTGACATCGCTAGGATGAAGGCCTTGCGGAGGATTTCGCGGACTTATCCCTAGGGATGTTGGTGTCCCGGCCGCTCGCTGCGCCGAGGGCCGGGTGGAGAATCGGGCGGGGAAGTGGGGTTTGTCTGGTCCTCGGGCCGGATGGGGCCGGCCGTGGAGTTTTGTACTTGTGGTGGCTCCGAAGCTCTCTCTGCTGGGGGGTTGGGGGTCGTCATGGAGGACCTCTCGTCGCCTGCCGCGGGGTATGTGGAATCAAACATTTGAGGTTGTAGCTTTAATTTTGCTGTGTTTCCCATCCTATGCCAGATGCCTTACGATTTTAGGATTTTGCTAGCAGAAAAACACGCAATTTTTTTTGAAGAATAAAGATTTCTAGAATACATAGACTGAAAAATAAATCTCTTCAACTCATTGTTTATCTTGCTTCTAATTTAACAGGGTGCAGCCGAAACTGCCTCGCACATGAGAGCTCGCATACTCCGTTAATAATCACCAAACCAAGAATGATAATCGACTACACAGGCGTGAGAGTCACCTAGGAAACAATGATAATAACCATGGGAGAATGATCAAGATCGTGTTTGTAAGGATGTAGCTCGCTATCCGCTCGATGATATCCATGAGAACTCCATAGTAAGCAATATAAACAGCTACTTACCCTAATAGATGACCGCAGTGTTGAGCATTCTGTGCGAGAACTTCTGTCTCTCAGATTCCGTAGCCTGGTCACTATCCTTGAGTCTATCTCAGGAGGCTGTGAATCGTTGCAACTAGCATTCTATTTTATCGAGATCTCAGCCCAGCTCACTGGAAAAATGCTTTCAGTTCATACTTCGCTCAGAGCCAGCCAGCTTTCGTTTAGAAAAATCACGAAATATCCTTAGACTACTAACACTGAAGTAATATATAGCAAACGATATAGTTCATAAACTTGTATATGAGAATTCATGCAAGGTTTTCGATATGACTTTCCCTTATACACAACCAAACATCCCACTGACCTAACTCGGCTATCGGATAGCAGAGTTATAACAACCTCCGTATGGCCATTCCTTGCAGCCCAACTCAGCAGCGTTCTGTCTCTCTTATCTTGTTGCTCTGGATCCATTCGGCTACCAGATGACAGACCTTATAACAACCTCTGTATGGCCCATCGATGCAGACAAGCTCAGTGGCGTTCGGCCAGAGTCGGCTTGCAAGTTTGGATAAACTCGGTTATCAGGTAACAGAGTTTTAACCACCTCCGTATGGCCTCTCACTGCAGCTCAACTCAGCGGCGTTCGGCCATAGATGTCTTGTCGGTTTGGATCAACATCCTGGGCACGCTCAAGGAGTGCCTTAACTGAACTCTTGAGCCTATAGATACCAACAATGTGAAATGCATTCTGAGATGGCCGCAAATCATCTAAAGAAAGCCAAGACCGCTTTCTGACCGCCCCCCAAAGGTGTCACAAAGTTATACCACCATCTTGACCCATTCCTGAATTGTCAGTAGTTCAAATCAGTTGAGGAGGGAAGGGGGAACATGCAGATGTATGATGTCCCCAGTAGTCAACAGCAATAGGTGAAGAGAGGCTCATCAAGTCGTTCACGCGCCTCCTCATACGTCTTGACAGGGCCTGAAAAATCTTTGAACGAAAGATACGGCATGCAGGTATTTGCGATATCGAAGTTGGCGTTCAGAAACCACCGAGTCAAAACATCCCTGGAAGTATTCCTGAATTGTGAAGTAAAAAAAAGTCGAATGATATCACTCTCTTTGAAATTGACAACGAGCCCGCAACATGCCGAAAGCATATCTTCAGCATCAAGAATCGCAGTCTCATCAAACTTGTCTCCTAATGGACAGGGGAGAAAGCCCGGTGGAAGAGTCGCGTAGAGATGTTGCCAGCCGACTATCCCCTTCAAACCAAGCTTCACCGACCCCCCTACCAAGCCTGGTCCCGCTCACACCAGGCGGCTGCGGGTCTCGGAGCTCAGCCCCGATGGGAGCCTCGTCTCCAGGGGCCAAGGACGTGGCTTGGTCTCCCTCCAAACCCCCGAAAAACGGCGCCGGGTGCCTCCCCAAAACATGAGAGGCTGGTGCGCGCCAATAAGCCCTCGTCGGCCCGCTGGGACGGGCACACAGTCAAGCCCTTCCTGGAGAAGTTCTCCCGGTAGTGCCCCACGCGATGGCTTGCGGAGGTATCAGGCCACGGCGATTTTTCTAGAGTACACGTACGGTTCAAACCCCACCCCCCCGGCAGGCGATCAAAGAGCGCCCCTGCGGCCGAGTGGTGTCTAGAGGCCATTTCTTCTCCTATCCTCCTCACTACCTTCAACAACCTGCTGGCAGGGAGGGTACGATTACAACGGGCCCCTAGTCTGACAGCCAACTGCTGAAGCTCAACGTTTTCCCACCAAAAAGCCCTTGTGGCGTCAAAGCAACAATCAGGTTCGGGCTATTCGAACGATTCATGCTTCTCGACACGCTCAAAGAGGACGTTATTCTCCTCTGACAGTCACAACATAAGCATAATTCCGACAGCGAAGAAGAATCTTGAGTATAGAGATGAGTTTTCATTGGGGTACCCTGCCGACCTAGAGTATGTACTCAGCTCCACAGAAAAAGAAAACTCAGCCAGAATATATCTGTCACCAACAATCGGCAGGTACTCGCACCTGGAGGGGGCAATCGATAGCAATACCGTTGGCCAGGTTGATGACCCATACGGTGTTCTGGCTGACAGAGTCAAAAGACAGAAGACGACTTTCAATACCACAGAGACTGTAATGAGCAGCAGCGCTCCGGTAAACCGCTCGCACATCGCAATCGGAACCCCAGAACCAACAGAAGCCGCAACAACAGCAAGCGAGGGAACAAAAGCACGTGAACACTTGTATTTACTTACAATAATCATGCAACATGGTAAATTGGATAGCCTGAAGTAGGTTACGATAAAGAGCATGTCGGCTGCTTGGCTTTGAGAAAGACGGCATGGTTGCAGAAGGCCAATTCTAATTTCCGTCACGCCTGCCAGCAGGCCAGATGATCGAGATTTGGAAGATTTCCGAGTAACCAGAGCGCAACCACTTTTATAAGGGGGGGGGGGTTGCTATGAAGTATGATGTAGGTACGTAGGGACGTTGGCAGTGGCTAGTTGTGCAGATGTTCACCATTGGGAGGTGTTGAGAACGGAGTCTATGGTATGAAGAGATAGCGACTACCTTTGTCAAGACGTTCAGGATCCAACAGAAGGCATCTCGGGACGAGTAGAAAGGTTGCTTGAGGGTAGTGTCTTTGTGCCGAGGCCACTTTGTGCATTTGTGAAGCTATGGACTATGGACAGATAGATAGTGCCCAGATCCTCTCACATACGAAACCTGATAATCTCCGCGTTCCAGGTCTCCATTTCTCACTTTTGAGACCCTTTTGATATTAAACAATGAGGGGTCATAAGGTAAGGGAGAGAATGAAGTGGACGTTCGGTTGGCTGACACAAAGTTTTGAGAAGTCGAGCTCTGGAACGAAGAAATGCCTTTCTGTGCAGCATAATCATGTCTTTGGATATTGAACAAGCATCCAACTATGTACCCAAATATATACAATGAAACTTGGTCATACATCCCATGCGTCGTCAGGCCATATTAATCATGTCATTTTGTATCCAAAAGCTCCTCCACACCATATCCTCAACAAGTCAAACAACTGTCCATCTGATCAAGGCTCCAAGCCCTCCAGGTTCAGGTTCTCCACATATGCTTTGTCCATCTCGGCAAACCTATTCACTAATGCCTCAAGCTCAGGATCGCTCAACTCGCGCTCCTTGACCGCACGCCAAGGTGTGTAGCCAAGGGAGCAGCCCTGGTGATTCTGAAAGTACCACCCGTGCAGGTCCATGTTGAAGCCCGATGTGGCAGCGTTGCAGTTGACATTGGCATAGCCCTCGCAGATCTGGAACTCATCGACTGTCACAACGCCATCCTCGCCCTCGTCAAACCAGTACTCGGGGCTTGTGTGGCGGTAGTTGAAGATGATGGGGGGCAGACGCGGGATGGGATCGGCGCTGTGGGTTAAGCGGTACTCGCCGCCAGCCTGATTGGTGACAAACTCGGCAAAGGCCTTGTTGCCGACGCGCGGCGAGCCGTAAGTATACAGCTCAATGGGAATACCGGCCTTGCGGAGGGTGGCGGCTGCAAGGGTGGCGACGGCGGCGCCGAGGGAGTGCCCGGTTGTGACGAGTTTGTAGTTGGGGTGAGCAGCCTTGGCAGCCTTGACAGCATCGATCACAGAGTTCTTGATCTCGAGCCAGGAAGCATAAAAACCAGCGTGGACGAGGCACCCGGGAGTGAGATCGCAGGGTGTCTGGACGAAGATGGCACTGGAGCAGTTGTGTTAACAATCAAGCTAATGTCTTAAGACAGGCACCGGCTTACTCGGCGATCCAGTTTCTCCAGGAGGTAGAGCCCCTGAAGGACAGAACGATGTTCTTGTCAACATCATCGATGCCCAGGAAGCCTCTCATGTCGAGGATAGAGCCACTGACGGCGCATGTTAGTCAAACTGTGTGTGTCCGGAAACAATAACTGCACACATACATGAAGGTGGCAGCCACCGTAGCATTGTGGCTTTGGAACATGGAGCATTGGTTGTCAGTGCAAGTGACAACCGACCCGATAGGAGCTTCGTTGGCACAGTGTGAGGCGCTTGACCACTGCATATACAGCTTGAAGTTATTGAGTTGTTGAGCAGTGACAGGAGCTGCACGCTGGCTGTTAGCATCCAGAAAAGTCATTTCGCAAGCTAATCATCCAGCACGGACATATCACTGACCTGTTTTTTGCTGCTGGGTGCGGCAACGGCCAAGGCCGCGAGGGAAGCTAGGAGAAAGCCTTTCATGTTGGTGATTGATGAGACCGCAGCAGTCTTTGGTTGGGAGAGATGCAGGAGGGCTCAAGACAACTCCTCAGGAGATACAGCACCCTCGTTGTCGACCTTGGAGAAGCTGTGTGAAGCATAGAGAGCGAGTATGGCCATGGTGATAGGGGTAGCCGTTTATATAAACTTGCTAGTCTTCACCTGGCGTCATCTCACATAGAGGAGTCCAGCGACGATGCCCCACAGGCATTGCAGACTGGTTCCGCCAACCCCTTGCGCAAAATGGTACCGAAACGGCGTCTTCCATCGCGTCCCCCGCGATCCAGGCCCAGCACCATGGCTTTCATTGTGGACGTGGCGTGGCCAGCACAAACCCACACCCATGGTTGGCCCTATGTTGACCCCCCGTAGACGCCTTGACCCGAAACGAGCCAAGGTAACAGTTCCTCGATACGTCGATAGGCGAAACAACACCACTGCGCCGGCAAGGAGCCGCAGTTCGGAAACTTCCTAAAGGGGAGCGCAACGCCGGGTTTGCAGCAGTCATGGTGGTGTGGAGCTTTGCTGGCTGGCGAAGAGCTCTCCTAAACTGCACAGAAGCGCCGACGAGCTCGAGCACTGGCCGGTCCGAAGAGAAACCGTGTAAGTGCCTAGTATATTGGAGTTCTACTTACGCAGGCTGGAGCGTCGCAGAAAACAATAATGTCTGTATCCGTAGTTTCTGACCTTAGTGAGAAGTTGAGGGCTTGTCATCGGCTCCCAGTGGGTTGACGAGATCCTCCGAGCAACAAGATTGGGGCCCAACAACGATGCCTTGCCCAGGTGTTTCCGAAAATACCGAGAACACCGTATACGTGCAAACCCACGCCTCAGGCTGTTAAGGACGCCTCTGCATGACGTAAACGGCAATCCGAACAGGCGATCCGCGATCTCGCCCATCTCGTCCGTCCACGGGGCGTCCCGCGCATGAATTCTTCGATGCAGGTTCCAGGGTCGCCCGAAGCGTGTGAGTGCCAAGCGACGCTCGCAGAGCCAAGAAACTGGGGAGCAGGCTGCGATCGGGAAACCTCCTCGTGCATTTTCCCATGTGGCTCGTGGATGCTTCCATTAATTGCTGGCCGGGCTTGGTGTAACTATCCGTAGCCAGGTTAGCTCCCGCCGCAGACGATTGCGAACAGACGTGGCCAGAGACCGTAGCATAGGTAACGACACTATCTGCAGATCGGCATTCAGTCCAATCCTGCATATAATGCCGACTGGCGTTACACCGAAGTCTAACTCCAATGCTGCCTACTCGTGGAGGTGCAAGCGGTCGGGGTCATGGGAGCGTCGACCTTACACAACATTTCTATCCACCTATCCACTTCGCCACGCAAACAGCGACCGTTGACGACAAAAACTGCGGGGGAATGGCAGGGTGATGTAGACGGAAGCCGGAAGACGGCTTCTACCCCGCAACATCAAGGCGCTGTTCTTGCGAACCTGCCTTTTCAAGCAGCTCTTCGCGTGCGTGATGGCTTCTGTGCGCAGTCAGGGGAGCGCATCTGCTGTGTCGTTGATCGTCGTCTTCCTTCTTCCTCTTCCCGCGCTATGATTGGTCTTTGATAGCTGGGGATAGGTTTGTGTTTGTGTAACGCTTCGCTTGCTGCTTCCGCTTGTTCCTGGAAATCGAAATTCAGGGACCGATCTTGGCTGCACGGACGCTGCGGGAGAATCTTCTATCGATGCTGAGGTTGGCCGGAGCGTGCTTGGCTCGCTGCGCCTCGCTTCCAAGCGGAAGCCCGTTGCTGTGATTGGTCCAAGTCCTCAGCTACGGGGCACGGAGTTTATCTGTCTCCGATCCAGGGGTAGATCGACGCGTCCCTCTCAACCTCAGTATATGATGAAGGAGAGGCGCATGCTTGATAAGAAAACTGGCATGTTCGAGAGCTTTCTTAAAATAGGAGTTTCGCTGACTTTGAGCGTAGTTGTCACCAACTTCTGGGACCAGTGCCCTGAGGTAGTCGACAAATCGATTTCCCGGGAAACCCTTTGCAAGGGTTAAGGCGCACTAAGGGTTCAGTCAACCACTCCAAGTCACGTAGCAGCATTGAAGTTGTCAAGATCCAATGAGCCCTTGTCGGCCGTCCCATTTCCACGGTTCGTGTCCTTGCAGGGTCCTGTCTATGGACACGCGAGATTCCCTTTGAATTTATCCCCTTTTCAACTAAATATTCCGAAGGCTTTTCCTATGGAAACTTATCGGCAACCGGATCGGTGTGACGCCGCATGAGAAGATCTTACTAGGGCTTTGATTATCAAATATTCGCGAGATCAGACAAGTATCGCACTTATTTAGGACATCCGGTTGGTCAGAAGCTCAGCGATTCTACGTACTTTAGCTTCTATCTTCTTCCTGGCTCTGTCAATATGTGAATTTGGAAGTCTGAGGAATATCTTCAGCCACTGGGTATGGGCGACAAACCCGTCGCTTGTTGCCATCCCCCGTCTTGGCGGATGAGACGACTTCCAGATTACACAACACGTGCTCCCGATTGGACCTTTACGTTACAACTCCCGCCGTCAAATACAACGTCCCGCCCAATCGTAATCGATATGCCCATGGTCATTTCACATCTCTTGCTCTGCCTGCCCTTTTTGATGCCTGCTCCAAAGTCCTTTGCTTCTCCAATCCTTCTCCCAATGCACCCTCGTGGACAACCCCGCCCCGTCCTCGGCGGGTACTTCGCTGCCTTTGTGTTTTACAAGCCTCGGGACTCCAGCTACCTGCCAGACAGTTAATGATCCAGACTGGATCAAGCCAGAATGGCACAAGTTCTCTCTGTTCGTGCCACTCCTCTAAACTTGCAGGCTGTATTTCTGGGGCTCTTGTTTTCTAGGAGCACTTGCTGCCATTGATTACCTCCTGGCCAGCTTTCCTTGACTCGAGCCTTCGCCTCGAAATCACACAGCGTAGTCTCGCTATGGTTCTCCACGGCGCGAAACTCTGGGGCTCAATAGCCCTGGGTTTGTTGTCGTCCGGCTCCGTCGCTCGCAGTATAGGACCTAGAGATCCGGTACCGGCTGGATACCGTGCTGCGCCCTACTACCCGACTCCCTATGGCGGCTGGCTCGCTTCCTGGAGTGAGGCTTACGCAAAGGCCCAAGCTCTCGTTTCGAGGATGACTCTAGCCGAAAAGACAAACATCACGTCCGGAGTTGGCATGTGGATGGGTAAGACCCTTCTCCTAAGTCATACCCCGTTTCTGATGTGGCGTTGTAACTGACATGTGAACAGGGTAAGTCTTGGAATTACTGCGCGCATCACTGCGCAAACCTCCCTCATTGGGGATTGCCGGTCGCTGACTGTCTAGACCATGTGTGGGAAATTCTGGAAGCGCCGACCGTCTTGGCTTTCCCCAACTCTGTCTCCAGGACTCGGCCCTGGGAGTTGCCTCTGCCGACAATGTCACAGCCTTTCCCGCGGGCATCACTACGGGAGCAACATGGGACAAGTCTCTGATGTATGCGCGAGGCGTGGCCCTGGGTGAGGAGTTCCGTGGTAAAGGAACCAACATCCATCTCGGCCCCGCGGTTGGACCCATGGGTCGCAAGCCCTTGGGAGGCCGCAACTGGGAAGGCTTCGGTGCAGATCCTGTTCTGCAAGCTAAGGCAGCTGCTCTCACCATCAAGGGCGTCCAGGAACAAGGTATCATCGCAACCGTCAAGCACCTTATTGGCAACGAGCAGGAAATGTACCGAATGTACCACTTGTTTCAACCCGGATACAGTGCCAACATCGGTAAGAGGTGTGACCGGACGACTGCTAGAAGCATAACATACCTGCTGATAGCCTTTCAGATGATCGTACCCTTCATGAGCTCTACCTCTGGCCGTTTGCTGAAGCAGTCCATGCCGGCGTTGGCGCCGTTATGACTGCATACAATGCGGTGAACGGTTCGGCTTGCTCTCAGAATAGTTACCTCATCAATGGCATTCTCAAAGACGAGCTGGGCTTCCAGGGTTTTGTCATGTCGGACTGGTTGAGCCACATCTCAGGGGTCGACTCGGCCCTGGCTGGTCTCGATATGAACATGCCGGGAGACACCAACATCCCTCTGTTTGGCTTTAGCTTATGGCAGTACGAGTTGACTCGCTCTGTGCTCAACGGCTCCGTGCCTGTTGATAGGCTCAACGACATGGTCACCAGGATCGTGGCAACATGGTATAAGATGGGACAGGACAAGAACCATCCTCGTCCCAAGTTCTCCTCCAACACTAGGAACAAGAATGGCCCCTTGTACCCGGCTGCACTCTTTTCGCCGAGTGGCCAAGTCAATTGGTTTGTCAACGTCCAGGCTGACCACTGGAAGGTGGCGCGCCAGGTGGCCCAGGATGCTATTACCTTGCTAAAAAACGACGGCCCGCTTCTTCCGATCTCCAGGTCGGCGAAGGTCAGCGTTTTCGGCACCGATGCTGCAGTAAATCCTGACGGCCCAAACGCATGCTTAGCTCGGGCCTGTAATAAAGGCACGCTCGGCATGGGCTGGGGTTCTGGTGTGGCCGACTACCCCTATCTTGACGATCCCATCTCCGCCATTCGAAGGAGAATCCCCGACGTCAAGTTCTACAATACCGACAAATTCCCCAAGATATCTACCCCTGCAGATGATGAAGTCGCTATTGTCTTCATCAGTTCCGACTCGGGTGAGAACACACTCACGGTCGAGGGAAATCATGGCGATCGTGATAACCACAAACTCGCCGCCTGGCATGACGGCGATAAGCTGGTTCAGGACGTCGCCAAAAGCTTCAAGAAAGTTATCGTGGTTGTCCATACCGTCGGACCCCTGATTCTTGAGTCATGGGTCGACCTTCCATCTGTTAAGGCCGTACTCTTTGCTCATCTCCCAGGTCAGGAAGCCGGTGAATCGCTCACGAATGTTCTTTTTGGCGACGTTTCACCCAGTGGCCATCTTCCTTATTCCATCACCAAGGCCGCCACCGACTATCCCGACAGCATTGCCAAACTCAAGGGCTTTACTTTTGGCCAGGTCCAGGACACTTACACTGAAGGCCTCTACATCGACTACCGCTATCTGAACAAGAACAACATCAAACCTCGCTTTGCCTTCGGTCACGGGTTGAGCTACACAACCTTCTCCTTCAGCAATGCAACCATCAAGCGTGTCACGCCTCTTACCTTCCTGCCACCTCCACGTCCGTCGAAGCTTCCCATCCCTTCCTATCCTACCACCATCCCACCAGCCTCCGAAGCCTACTGGCCAGAAAAATTCGATCGCATCTGGCGCTACCTATACCCTTGGCTCTCCAAGTCCGATGCTGACGAGGCCTACGCCATCGGAGTTGCCAACAAGACCCGCTATCCCTACCCAGATGGATATTCCACAACACCTCATCCTCCTTCTCCTGCTGGTGGCGGTGAAGGTGGTCACCCGGCGCTCTGGGATGTCGCGTATGAGATTCGCCTGACGGTACGTAATACAGGCTCCAAGTTCAAGGGCAAGGCCGTCGCTCAGGCCTACGTGCAGTACCCCTCAGGTATTGCGTACGACACGCCCGTTGTGCAGCTCAGGGACTTCGAGAAGACGCGGGAGCTTGCTCCTGGAGAGGAACAAGAGGTGGTGCTACAACTGACGAGGAAGGATTTGAGCGTGTGGGATGTGGTAAGGCAGAACTGGGTTGTTCCAGGGGCAGAAGAGGAGAAGAGGTTTACTGTGTGGATTGGTGAAGCGAGTGATAAGCTGGGACTGGCGTGCTACACGGACACGTTGAAGTGTGAAGTTGATGTGAAGCCGCCAGTCTAAATGCATCGCGGTCGACCCGTGTGACGACTGGCTTCTTGGAAGCATTGAGGGAATAATAGGACTGTGAATGTGCACAATTAGTTGCTTAATTACTTAGGTCCAGTTATTGGGAAAAGGCTCGTTTGTTTTTGTTATTACTTCTAGTATATGACTGCTTATACAACTTCGATTTTTTTTTTGTCAACTATGTGCATACATACTCCCTCTGAAGTTTTTCAACTGTCAAGTTCTAATCACATATGGGAGCTTTTGAAACATGAGCGATATTGAAACAGAAGTGAAAGGGGAAGGGCTCGTGATGGCACTGCAAATGCTCCTGTACATTCCCCCTCAGAGCACAAATCGGATCCGACATCGCCGCCTACACGGTCTCTAAGCCGACCTTACGATCGGCGATCTATAGTACAGAGTAATGTTATACATCATGTAAACGTATACCCTCCTGGCAACCCGGAGAATACTCAGCCGTCCCCTTCCACAACCCAAAAGCGTCCCTAACCTGAGAAGACGAAGGACCATATCCCATTCTGTACCATTTGTCCCCATCCCTCGGACTCATGCCTTCATTAGCGCTCACTGCTTTCGTTGAAACACGTGCGGATCTCTCCGCCGCTGTAGACGAAAACAGGACCCCTGAGCGTGCCTAGACAGCTTCTGATCCATGGGAACACAGGCAGCCAGCTTGCTAGGCAACTGGCCAGAATTGGTGCAGTACGTTCATCCTCGTCACTGCCTAGTCTTCAATCTGTGCACTCGGATGGATCAAAACCGCCCTTAACCCCAAAACGCACCTCGTACAATCCTCAACTACTCCTTCACAGAGCAGCCAACCTCTTCCTTCCCTTACATATCCGCCTCTTTAGGATCTTCTGCCCCGTCTTCGACCGCTTCCGCGCCAAAAACCCGTGGCGCCGCTTTTGGATTAGGCGTGTCGACCGGTTCATGGTGTTGCGCGGGCCAGCGCGGATCTGCGCAGCATCCATGGACGGGTGTGAGCCAAGGAGGGACGACTTGGGGACGACATCGGCAGCAGCTGCTAGTGACCCATTGAGGGCTGATGTGGGCTGGAACATGGAGGTTGTGGAGGTGGACGTGGACGTGGGGGAGCGGAATACGGGAGAGGAGGGAACGAGAGTTGGGCGAAGGGTCGGGAGGTGGGAGAAGCTCCTGTTGTGTTTGTTTGCGGAGTAAGCATATTGCTGTGTTCCTGGGTAGCCGTCGGGGAGGAGCATTCGCCTACCGCGCAGTGGGCTTGCTCACGATCGCCATCGCCGAAACGCGGGACGCCAGAAGACGGGCGGTTGGGCGGCGCAAGGCGGCCTGGAGGGCGGTCGTGGTGACGCGGGACATTGTTGCGGGAGTGACCTGAACTTTAGTAACGCTGACCATGGAGTCGTTGCGCACAATAGGGTTTGTCGCCGCCTTTGCAAGCGGGTTCGCGGTCGAGTTCCCTGAAACGCCGTCGTAGTCCCAGAGTTTTTGGTCGAGTTCGAATTGGCCGTTGCGATTGGGGTTCCTAAGCCGAGACTGCTGCACGGACCGGCGGCAGCTGCCGAACCAAATTTGCAGCTGTCAGCAGCAAGAAACAACAGTGACACATCCACCAAGGATTGTTATGGGCAACGACAAGCTTCAGGCAGCAGTATGGAGCTTACCAGAGAATTGTTGCTAGCAAACTTAATAGGATATAGAGTTAACGATGTCTCTTTGGTAATAAGAACCGAGTACATTGTGTTACCTCCAAATGCTCGAATGGCAGGGTTAGGGTTTTAGCCGAGTTCTCGCTTTCTAGTCGACGTCTTCGAAGACGACGCCGTATAAGCCGGAACTACCAGTTTCGCTAACAAGTCCTACAAAAGTATCTCTGTATCCCTTGTGTCAAACACAAACCAAGATGAAGTTGCTAAATTACAATTGAGAGTGTTTACAGCTCATCCCTGCCAGTCGCAACAGCAACATCCTCCTTCGTATCCTTCTCACTCTGTGGCTTCTCGACCGCCACCTTCGATGTTGGCACCCACTCAAGCGCCTTGAGACGTTCCGGGAGGATAGGGTGAGAGAAATGGTAACTGGCGTACATCCAATCGGCATCCATGGTGCTCAGGTTCTGGATTTGCAGCTTAATCAATGACCGTGCCAGCTCAGTCTTATAGCCAAGCTCTTTGGCAAAACCATCAGCCTGGAACTCAAACTTGCGACTGAGAATATTCATCATCAGCTTGATAACGTTATCCATTGGGCCGAGAATGTCGGAGAATAGCAAGAAGCCGATGATAATGGGGTGCTGGTCAGTGAAGCCAAAGTCCGCATAGAGAGAGTTATTGTTGATGAAGACGGAGAAAAGCGCGAAGATGTAGAAGAAATGGGCCTTCAACTGTCAGTCATCAATTAAAACTGGACAGCACGGTAGGTCACTTACTTGAGAGATGCCGAAAATCTTGGTCGTGTGGCCCAGCTTCCAGTGGCCGAGCTCATGAGCAAGGACGGCGACTACCTCGTCATTCTCGCTCTTCTCGATCAACGTATCATAGATGACGATGTGCTTCTTCCAAGGAAGACCGAAGAAGTAGGCATTGCTATGAGCGCTGCGCTTGCTGCCATCGATGACGTAGAGTTCATGCAGTGGGAACTTCAGCTTCTTTGCCAAGTCCTCCACATCGGTCTTGAGTTTGCCCTCCTCCAATGGAGACAGCTTGTTGAAGAGAGGGAGGATGACAATTGGGTAGATGGTTATCATGAACATCTGCAGCCCGGCACCGAACATCCAGAGATAATAGAAGAACTGGTTGCCTGTCTTCTTGATGATAGACAGGAACCCAAAGAGGATAGGAGGAACCAAGAAGAAGAAGAGCATGTTGGTCTTGATCAGGTCAGTCACGAACAGTTTTGGAGTCTGCTTATTGAAACCAAACTTCTCCTCGAGCACAAATGTTTGATAGATGCTAGAGGGAAGTGACAGGACCTGTTGGATGACGATGAAGGCCAGAATGAAGACGATGGAGTGTGATATTTCCCCACTGAAACGGGCCGGTGCCCAGCGAAGGAGCAGGTCGCCCGTCCAAGACCAAAGCTTCGGAAGCACATCGAAATGGTAGAACCCCAGATTCAGAAGCTGACTATACAATCCATTGATCGCAGAGAACTTGGCCTTGGCCCGCGAATAGGCCTGGCTCTTGTCGAAAACGTCCTGTGAAACCTCATGCTCGAGCACCTTGGGAGGCTGTGTCCGCTGCAGGACCTGATATTGACGCCAGCTGAGGAAACTTTCAAATAGATACTGACCGACTGAGAAACCGATAATGAGTTTCTTCCATGGGAAGAGTGGGCGGTCCAGGAAGCGCGCGAGGCGCTGAATGATTGTCGGTTGTCAGTAGTGGTCATTCAACACCGAATCTAGATAGTCACATACCTGAAGAAAGCCCAACATGGTGAACGAGGGGACGCGACTGCTCAGCGGCCGCGGGCTCGGTTCACAAGCTTTGATTGTTGGGGTTTTAGACTAAGGCGTGGTTTTGTTGGATGGAGGCTAAGGTTTGGTAGGTCCCCGGAAAGGGAGGGTCCCGCAAGCTGTCCTTGCGTCCCCACCAACCATCTGCAGCGTGCAACAAACACGCTGGCGTTTTCGTGTCAGACGGGTCTTTAGGACTACATCTTTGGCTGTTGATTGGATAAAAATTACCGAGTCTTTTGGGGAAAAGCACAGGCCAACTTTTATCCTATGAGGCACCTGTTATGTGGTCCTACCTAAGAATGCTCAGAATAATCTCCATTTCATTGAGAGTCTCGCAAGTGGAGCCTCTGTGATTGTTTTTGTGGTTACTATGCCTATCATCTGATAGATCTCTTTATTTTTACTATCCAATCATCATTACCTAAAGTATGATATACTTGGCGCCTTGTTCTTAGAACCGCTCAAGCTATCCTTAGTTTGGGAGCAGGATTTTTCATGACCTCATCAGATCTTTCAATCTGAAGCTTCCTTTCCCAAACTTTCAAGCTCCCCTACCTGAAGCAGACCCACCAGCCTGTTGCTTAACCTTAATCTCATGTGCTCTAAATTGTCCCAGATGCTACAGTAATAGGAGCAATATATATGAACTGGCACGCATGAGGAGTGACCTGCAGCCGTTTGTTTTATGACCCAGACATTCTCATGTTAGCTCGGACCCGCTCCAGAAGTTGTTCCCGAGTATCGGAGTCTTGCGGAAATAGGTTCCTCTGTTACTCAAAGTTAGTCGGTCTTGTCGCCCTAAAGATACGTAAAGACTACTGAGTCATACGGCGGCCAGCCATCTTCTAAGCTCTCCTCGAGTCCATGTTTCCGGATCGCCTGTGGGGTCTGGTTCCGGTGGGAACAGATCGCCTCCCCATATCGCCCACACTGCAACACTTGTAACTAGCCCAGCAAATGCTTTGGTATAGGTCAGCTTCAACTCAATCTGTAATATCGGGAAGCATAATATTGCTTACCAAGCAAGGTATTCTAGAACTCAATGATTGTTAATGACTCAACGAGCAAGAGAGTATATCTAGTTTGGATGTGTTCATAGCGGATCACTCACCTTTGACCTCATGGCTCTGTCCAATGGCGTTGCCATGCTGATGTTTGGCTTCTGACTCTAATCTGTGCTTTTGGATTCTAAAGGTGAAACAATGCTACAGATAATGCTGCCAACTCTGTAGAAATAAGAAGTCAAGTAGTTAGCATACCTGGCAACAACCCATTGATCATTCCCATAACAACAAGGTAGCTGACGCCACAGGACGTCACAGCCACAATGGGGAAGTTGTGGCAACCCCTACCCCTGTCAGCCGGCAAACCCAGAACATGCAGCTGTCGAGCCGGAGACCCCACCACCGAAAACCCACAGAAAATAATTTCGAGAAATCCAAACTCACGATCTTAAACCCCCAGTCCCCTTTCGACCCGTACAAGGAGCCTCAGCACAGCCAGTCAAAATGCCTCAGGAAGTCAGCGACATTAAGAAGGTGAGGAATATCGTTTTATATATGTATGTGAATAAAATCTAACTTTTGCCCTCGTAGTTCATCGAGATCTGCCGGCGGAAGGACGCTTCTTGTACGTTACATATGCTCCAAAAATCGACATAACCAACTCTTGAAGACAGCGAAGATTCTGACGATTGCGTTTCCTCCTCCTCTTACAGCTGCCCGGATCAAGAAGAACCCGAAGACCCAGCAGATCAAGTTCAAGGTCCGCTGCCAGCGGTTCCTGTATACCCTTGTGCTTAAAGACTCCGACAAGGCCGAGAAGCTCAAGCAGAGCCTGCCGCCCAGTAGGTTCCCCTGGAACACGGACTGATTCAACAATGCCGAACGTACGAATAAGACTGACGGCCGGATTCCTTTCTCCGTCAATAGACCTCCAGATCAAGGACGTTCCCAAGCGCAATAAGCGCAAGTCCTCGGCATGAGCTGTTAAAGGGTCTCTGAAAGGGGATAGACGGTGATGATTGAGCGCGGGGTTATTGGCGCGATGGAGGCACGTATGCATCATTTGCCGGTTCAAGGGTTTGGGTTTTCAACTCACAAAAACGGCGTCTTGGAACGGGTTACTTTGGAGCTGGGTGTGTTTACTACCACGATTAGGCCACAGGGCACGGTAGACGGCGAGGCTCCCCAGGAATGAATTGCATTCATCGGCCAGGCCCAGGCCCAATCTCATTCGGCCTATACTTCCTTTCCCCACATTGCTTGGCAGCAGTGACAATGGAGAGCTCTGCCTTTATTCTCGTCTGACACCCACATAATCCACATCCCGGAAGGATTACCCTCCGCAGAATGCTGGTTTCCGTTGGGCAGTAGGACATGACTCTTCCCGGAGAAAGGCAATATTCAGGAATTTCTGTAGCCCCACAGCAAGATGAATAAGGAATAACGTTCGAATCGAAACCGACTGTCTTTGGTTGCTAGTGTGATCAAAGAGGGGATTGAACGGATCAATATATGAGGGGATCTTCACTAAATTGGAACTTGCTTGAGAGGAAGTTTTCATGTCACTGAGACGATGGTGCCATGCTTCAAAAGGGTTCGATGCCCCAAAGGTCCGGTTCAACATCCGCTTCTACTTTGCGGGCGCTCCTTTGGAGTGCCAACGAGTATTATAATATACTCATAATCGTTGACGAGCGAGTTTGTTTAAGGTGCTGACTTTGCGCAAGATCCAATCAGACACCATCCATTTTGCATCACCACAGTCTTTTGTAGGGTGACACAAGGCCTCATGCGGCTCTGGTAAGACCATGATTTCAGCACCGTTGTTGGGTAGCACAGCAACTGTCGAGGATTCGTCGATCGTGTCCAACAATACATCAGCGTTGAGCATCAACACCCGAATGTGTGTTGGGCAGCATCAGTGGCCCGCTGATGCGCAGCTGTTGTCCGAGAGCTGCCGCCTGAGAGGCATCGGGCTGCCCACAGAAGGTCTGCTCTTGGTTGTTGGGGTTATCGAGCAACAACCCTTTTGTCCCCAAGAACACATCAAGGAGTTGCTATTGGGGCTGCCTCTACCTGTTACTTCTACCGATGCCATTGCTCAAGCTGTGTGCTATCGGTGGCAACTTAGTAGTTCAAGATCGTGTTCGATAATTACCTACCCTTTGGCGCTCCCTCCGAAATGGATACGCACAACAGGCAGTGTATCTGCAGCCAAGCTAAGGTCAGGTGGCTTAGTCCAAAGAGCCGACTCATCGCTGAAGGCTTGTGGCTGCCCACGTCACGGGCCAGTGGGGTGTCGTTGGTAATGACAAAGGAGTTGGGCAGCGTTGACAGTTTACGAACATCACACCTTCCAGTCTACCACTTACACTCAACGTCAAAGAACGAGTGTGAGAGGCCGTCATCTGCTACTCTGTACGTACTTCGTAAGTACCCCGAAAGTTGATAATTGGACGGAGCGTCATTGGACAAGGTTGTCTCCCACACACCCTGCTGCAAGGGGCGACTAGAGCGGAACTCAGAGCCATGACCATGATTAGCTAAGCTGCTGGGGAAAAGTGGGCCTGTCAGCCGGTTGCCCAGCCCAATTGACAGCACGGACCAATCATGGTAATCGAGAAGTTCGATTGCGACTCAACAGATACCCCTGTTCGAGCTCAACCAACGCCCCACCGCTGTTATTTTTTTCAATCTGGTTTCAATGCAAGTTTCCAGCGCGGCGCTGCAATCAGTCACTTCCACTCTCCAACGTTTTGCACAACTGCCGCTTCTATTGGGACTCGCTCTCGTTACTGCTGTGCGAGGTCGCCTGCGGCGCGTCTGATGATCTGATCAACAGTAAAAGATACGGGACGGTTTGGATAAAGCGACTGCTTAACCTCAACTGTCAACAAGCCCGCCGTCCCGCCCATCTTTGGCCTGGTTTGGTACTCCGTAAATTAAACGGCCTGTCCGTAGAGGGGTCTCCACCCGCTTCTTCCAATCCCACTCCTTCCTATCTCGGCTCATGGCGTTGGCCTTGGTCTCCTGAACCTGAATGCCCGTTCAGCTCCCTGTCCTTCCAACCAACTTCACCTGTGAAGCTCATCACCACCCACTTCTCCTTGTCCCACGACACCCTCAACGACACCACATCCATCTCCCCGTCAACCCCCTGTACCTCGTCTCTCACCGCCTACGCCAATCGCCAGCTCCCCAGCGCTGCAACTGCATCTCTTGACTCCGCGACTGCTTCTGGCCCCAGATTGCACACAACTTCCGTGCCTGCTTTCCTGGCGAACGGATTGAATACGCGCAGTCGCTTGCTATTGTCCTCGACGAGTTTGACGCGATATTATTGTGCGCTCCCGCTACCTAGGTCTTCGCACCGTCCTCGGTGAAAGCGCGCTGGCATTGGGAAGGGATGACAACGCAGAGCGTCACAAACGGCCAGCACGGCCTGTCAAACGGTTGCTATGGCTTTTTGAACGGATTCGATGGCTCAGCGAACGGCTATAATGGCCTGACAAACGGGCGTAATGGCTGCAACCATAACTCGGAAACGAACAATTCCACACTCAACGGAGGCCATAGCGCGGGCCTATCTAAGGGTTTTGCGAACGGAACGGGGCCCCATGTGCTTAGGATGGCAAATGGGCTCGGATTCAAGTCGATTGGGTCGAGGGAAAGAAGAGCTCTGTCGTCTCCTGTATCCCCTCCCGCAGACCTGCCCTTCATACAGCCAGTGTCGGCCAAACTGAAGCCAATCATTAAGACCGATTTGGCAAATGGACAGCCGTCACGGGCCGCAGAAGACTCGACAGAGCCCAAGACGTCGTCTCCAACAGACTCGACCTCTACATTGATAGCCGACTCGGTCCCCATGGAATCGGCCTTCATGGTGTCGGCGCCCGGTAAGGTGATTGTCTTTGGAGAGCATGCTGTCGTACATGGCAAGGTGAGCACAGTTAGAGGGATGAGTGATGAGACGGATGCAGAGTATATTAACCGTTACTTCTCTTTGCATAGGCCGCAATAGCCGCCTCGGTGTCACTGCGTTCGTATCTTCTGGTCTCGAAGCGCTCCAAGCCGGATGGGACGATTACGCTCAAGTTCCCAGATATCAACTTTGACCACTCATGGAACATCGACGATCTCCCATGGGACCTTTTCTCGCGCCCAGACAAGAAAAAACATTACCATGATGTAGTGACAGAGCTTGACCCAGAACTCGTGGCAGCGATAGAGCCACATACTGCTGATGTATCACCCCATATCAAGTCAGAAAAGGAACGCAAGATCCATCAAAGCTCTGCCGGCGCCTTTCTCTACATGTTTCTCATGCTTGGAGACCCAGATTGGACCTTCAGGGGCACGCATTTTACGCTTCGGTCTACCATCCCAATCGGTGCGGGGTTGGGCAGCAGCGCCACGATCGCTGTCTGCCTAGCGACCGCTCTGTTGCGACGGAGTGATGCACTTGCTGGACCACGTCCAAACATGCCGTCTAACGAGGCGCGCATACAGCTTGAGCGCATCAACAGCTGGGCATATGTCTATGAGATGTTCATTCACGGTAACCCGTCAGGCGTCGACAACACGGTGGCAACCCAGGGTAAGGCCCTGCACTTCAGGCGCCCTGATTACAAGAAGCGTCCCGAGGTTGAGCCCATCTGGAGCTTTCCCAAGCTTCCGCTTCTCCTGGTGAACACAAAGGTGGAGAAATCAACCAAAAACTTGGTCAGCAAAGTTAAAGAACGCAAAGAGGAGCTTCCCGAGGTGGTAGAGCCCATTTTGGATGCAATCGGAATGATCACCGACATTTCCCAAAAGTTTTTGGAGCCGACTTCCTGCAACAAGCAGCCAATGGGCAGCCAAGGGCTCCGGCGCGAACTGTTGGCCATCAACGACCATCTTATGGTATCGTTGAAAGCATCAGAGGCACAGCTTCAGCGTGCAGAGGAGTTAGAGATGGTCGAGCCTATTGCCGAGGCTAGCAAGAATATCCTTGATGCATATATCAATGTCTCCAAAACATCTGACTGCGACTTATTATCCGAGGAGAGCCGTTGTCGCCTTTTGGGTGAGCTTATGAGCACTAACCATTGCCTTCTGAAGGCACTAGGTGTGTCGCACGAGCGGCTGGAACGCGTGCGCGAACTTGTTGATAAGAGAGGCATCGGCTGGACCAAGCTAACAGGCGCTGGAGGTGGTGGCTGCTCCATTACGTTACTCAAGCCAGGGGTATCACGCGAGACACTGAATGACCTGGAGACAGAGCTGGAGAAAGAGGGTTATCAGCGGTTCGAGTCGACATTGGGTGGCGACGGTGTGGGCGTCCTAGATCCTGTGATTCTCGGCAAACCCGGGGAAAACGACCATGGTGCACACATTGACCTTAACCAGTTCCTGAGCGCCAAGGGTAACGAAGGAATTGAGCGGTTGGTAGGCGTGCGCGGGAAAGAGGGAGAGAGGATGGGGTGGAAGTTTTGGAGGATTGACAGCGGGATCTGAGTGCTTAGCTTCTAGGCAAGCAGATGCCATCTACAGCCACCTTCCTTCAGAAAGACCTACAGCCTAAACTATACGACACAACGAGGACGATAGGCTTTGCTGATTCAGGAGCTTGCTGGGTTGACGGATGGGTGAGTGTTTGGGATCAGGGTAACGTTCTTGTACCTATTACTAGATGTTTCGTGCCCCACGGACTTGGGACGCTCTAAGTTCTTTTGCGGTATGTTTTGCTTACTTACGGTACTTGATGTAATAATTATTAGTATCTCTATAGGCGCGCAGGGAAACAAAGTCCGAAAAGCTGCAAGCAGCAGCAGTTAGGAGAGCAAACAACAGAACAATATGTGTGATGGCTTAGTATTGTTCTCTTTTTCTTGGTGCTGAGGCGGCGCATCTCAGATTGCCGCCTCTGTTCCCCGCGTCCCGCTGTCTCCCCCTTGCTACCCCTCCAGAGCTCCCCCTCACCTGCCACGAAGAGAGCCTCATCCAACGGTGGAGCTCCTAAATGAAACTTTTCATTGGCTCCTCTCTCTACTTCCTCCACACATCAGACCGCCCTACCTCAACCTACCTGTCTGCGCCCTTCTTTGACCTGTTGGAGCCTGGTCACGACGAGCATCTATCTTTTGTTTTATGCTGATGACGCTCGCCGCTACTGGTATGCCACAGATTCTGTCACGAAAAAGATTTAGAGCAATAGGACGTATCGTGTGAGTTCAAGGATCAAAGGTACTTCTTTTGTTGTCCTGAAGTTGAAGGCATCAAATGTACATGGTGCTATCCCTTCATTAGACAGTTCCAAGTGCTTTCTCTCATTCGGTCATGTGCTTCGGACTGGGCTGACACTATTTGACTTCTTTTTCACACCTCAGCATCCAACTCAAACAACAGCATTGCCATTGCCATTACCTTTACAACTGCCACTACTTCTCCCCTATCTCACCACCATCCCTCCATAACCGCAGCTGGTCTGTACACGACAAGAACTGTCCACATTCGGTAGCTGTGTTTTTATTTATTCCAAAACACATCGATTGTCGGAGCTTCTACCCTCATACAACATCTTTAAGACCAGCTTGTCTGGTATCCCTGCGTTGTGGCTATATGAAGGTTGTCAACAAGTAAGATGGCACTGCTCAAGCCTGAGTTATATGGGGTCAGAGAGGGTAGTAGGTTGGCCGAGGATCCAGAATGGGAAGATGTCGTGCCGATTGCACACCAAGAGCCTGAAGGGGCGCTTGCAGCGATTGCATATCCGGAGGAATACGCAGAGGGTGAGTTCTGTGACAACAATGAAAAATTGATAGCTCAGTGCTGACCGAATTCAAGCAATGGCGTATTTGCGAGCAGTCATGAAGGCTAAGGAGCACTCCCCCCGCTGCCTGCGCCTGACTGAACACATTATCAACATGAACCCAGCACACTATACGGTTTGGTTGTATCGGGCGGCCAACGTCTTCGCTCTCAACCTCTCCATCCCAGACGAGATCGCGTGGCTCAACGGTGTTGCTCTCCGCAACCTCAAGAACTACCAGATCTGGCATCATCGCCACTTGCTCGTCGAGCATTACTATCCCCAGCTTTCTCTGCAAGGCCCCTCCGCCATTGCCGAATTTGCCGCATCCGAACAATCCTTCCTCCGCGACATTCTCGCCGAAGACACGAAAACTACCACGTCTGGTCCTACCGCTCCTACCTCGTATCAAAGCTTAACCTTTTCTCTGATCCAGCTGAGCTGGCGGCTATCGAAACTTTACTCGATGACGACGTGCGGAACAACTCGGCTTGGTCGCATCGTTTCTTCCTTGTCTTCTCCAACCCCGCACACTCAACCCCAGGGTTGGCTGCCAGTGAGCCAGATCCGAAGGTGCCGCAAGAGATCGTTGACCGAGAGGTCGCATATGCGATGGCCAAGATTCGCCTTGCGCCACAGAGCCAGAGCGGGTGGAACTACCTTCGCGGAGTGTTGGTTAAGGCTGGGAGGAAGTTGGCCACTGTTGAAGGGTTTACGAATGAGTTCGTGAAAGGACTCGGTGAGGATGGTGAAGGGGAGGATGTGAGGAGCACGCATGCGCTGGATTTGCTGGCGGAGATCTATGCTGAGAGAGGAGACAAGGATAAGGCAGATCTAGCTTTGCGCCGCCTGGGCGAGAAGTGGGATAGGATTCGGGTTGGGTATTGGGAATGGAGGAGAAAGGGGCTGGAAATTGGTGCGGAGGCGTAGAGGGATTCTTGTCATGGACTTCGGTTTTACTGTTTAGGCTATGTAGGCACTTTTCATACAATGTACTTGATGTATATCAGTTTGGTTTACCGACCTCTTGAGAAGAGTATGGAAATCAACGGACTGGTGGGTGTCCTGAGATAGGTTGTCGTGATTCCAGCTCGTTCATCAGGCGTTATTCCGTCAAAAAGATTAGCCCCAATATTTTCAAACGGGGAGATGTGATACGCTGCTGTATTATAGCAGGCTTTAAGAACCCTAAGAAAGTCATACCAGTATCTCGTTGAACCCACCACCCAAAAGTGACATCCCTATGATTTAACACACCCCCTCCCCAAATTTTTTCATTTGTAGCCTGTTCCAATGCAGCAAATCCCATGGAGAGATCTTAGTCACGCACATGAAAAGCTGCTCCAGGGATTAAAGCCCATGCCCAGATCCCTATAGAAACCGTGCTTTGCAGGTAGCTTTCCAGGTAGGACCTCAATACGCCCGGTACTTGTGCGAGGCAATCAGATACTTCCTTCCGCTCCTTGCCCCTGGTTTCTCTAGCACGTCCCAGTTAGGCACTAAAATGAATACATCGTTGAAGTGTTGCTTAATGACGTAGTCATCTGTGCTTCGCGGGCTTGCCCCGAAATACACCGATCCGCTGACAGTCAGTGCCATCATCATGCGCACGCCATCCGTCGGCGCATGCTGCTCGATCATCCTCTGAGGTGCAGCGAAGCGGTAGTCGGCGTTGATGACGTGGACATCGAAGCAGTCAACGTCGTAACGAACCGGCTTGCGGCCAATGGGGAGCGTTGATGACGAGGAGGTGTTATGCTGCGCACGCTGCTCCTTCAGCATCGTGTCCCACTCCTCTGGCGTTGCGACAACGCGGCCGTTGATGGTGATATCAGCCGGCGGGTGGCCTGCCTTGGTATAGGTCGCATTGTTGTTGACGTAGCCAGACGCGACGGGCTTGTTTTCGTTGATTTGCCGATAGTACCACTCGACGAACGACTTTGCTGCTATAGAGTTATGAAGACAAAAATGAGCTTTTGCTTTCTTCTGTTATTAGAAAATGGAGAGGTGATCCGAGGGTCGCATGATTGAACAAGGCGTTAAACAGAAGGGTAGGTTTTATGTAGATGGGGGTGTGTTCGTGTCATGGACTCGGATCGACCTTTGCGCGGTGCGGGGTGATGGTTCAAGTTACCTGACCATACCTTCGGCTGAGCATCTGACATTTGTTTCATTCGCGGCAGCCATCTTCGACGATAACTTATCTATCAAGCGTTTTAATTATAGAGATGAAGAGGATCAAGAGTTTTCGGCCTCTAGGTCGCAAACTGGCGATGCAGCAAGGGAGGTGTTTACCAGGAACGTGGCTCAATGTGCAAAGATACTTCAAACCCGCCGAAAGCTGCGCTTTTAGATAACAACTCGCAGAATGACTGTCGGCAAGGCAAGTTTACTATCGAGCACTGTCCATATATATTACAGTGGATGTCTAAATCGATGCACCTACAAACGACATGAGATGAACCAGATGAGATCATTGTTGAAAGATTTTTGTGGAGTTTGTAATCCGTAATGACGCGTAATCTGTAACCCCTACTGTGGATGCTACCTAAACTCTCAATTGTCATCTGCGATTGCGGAGACAGCATATCCTCTGTTCCACAATATTTATGTAATGTTACAGAGCTTTCGTAAATTACATATCCTCGCAACATTGTACAGTCGACAGTCGCAACTCTTTTTTGGTACTTGTCCCTGTCTTACAACTTGAACCATTATCGACTCCCCTCGGCTAAACCATCTTCCTTTGATGTAGACAGTATACCTATCCTGGTTGATCTGCCTCCAGCCAAGCTCCAGATTACATTCCACCGTGCTTTTGATACCGTGCTTTTGATACCGTGCTTTTGATAAAATTCATTCTCTTTCAACCAAGAAAAAGACAGCTGGAGAGGTGATGATATGGTAGGCCAGGAAACAGCCTCCTAAGTCTCTCCGCAGCAATGCGCGGATAACGAGTTTGTGGTTGGCTACATCAAACTATGTGTACAGCGTTTATTCCAATCCAGAAACCCAGTTGAGTTTGTTGTCAGGCATTATACTGGAGCTCGATGACCTTAGTTTTACATATCGGTGGCACCATCTTCCCCAAACAGTCTTGCTTCACTGAAGAGTTTTGACTCAAGTCTCGTTTTACTTCTAACTATTAACTGTCAACTAGCGAGTCTCAAAGTTTTGAATTTTTTTTTCCTGGGTACCGAAATTCAAGCTTGAAATGCGAGTCTCACAAGGTCCAACGCCCGAAGGCTTTGAGGGAGTTTATGCTGGCTGGGAAAATGCCAGTCTCTCCAACTCAGGACCAAGAGCAATGTCCATAATACGCCCTAAACCAACCACTTGTGTACCTCAAGTACAAGGTTTCATCATGGAAACTGACGATAAATAATACCATCTTCATCCATGGTTTAAAAGGCCATCCCTAAAGGACCGGGGAAGGCTCCGATGTCACCAAATCTCCAGCTATCTTTTGGCCGCGAGATATACTACCAACAGACTCTCCGGTGGCTAAAATGTGGACATATGGATATAATGCTAATCCAGTTGGTTTCCTGAGGTCTCCTAACAAGACTACGGTGATATATCACAGAGAGAACTTTGCTCTTCAACTCGACCAACAGCTTGAACTTCTTAAAGTTGTGTAAACAGGTTTCCTTACACGTTAACATATAAACGTACCGCATCTAAGACATTATAACATAGCTTTGATGTCTATAATGTTTGCGGCCCATAGCGTGGGTGGCCATTGTAGTCAGAAGTGGTATGCATCTCCCCCACTTACCTCGGATGACTTAGGCGAGTCCTGTTATCCCGAACAGGCGATTCGGCAATCAAAACTTATTTCTAAGACATACAAAAAGGTTACAATTGCATTTCTGGGGCTCCTTATAGAGGAAGCGAGACTGCCAAATTAGAACACGATCATCTCGAGGATCTTCCGCGCCGTAATAATCAAAATAAACAAAATGCTCAAGGCTTTGCTGAAAGAGAATGACAAAGTGTTACACATAATTCACCAAGGTTTCCCAGTGAGCGCTTGCAATCATAAGGTCTTGATCTCATATCATCGAGAGATGGTTAAGTGCTGCAGAAGGGACGACAAACTATATAAGCGCATCCGTGATGTCCTAATCGTCCTACGCGATATCGTTCTGGAGGAAATGACAGTTGATGTATCACAATCATTCAACAGTAAACACTGTGGCAGTCTATAACACGAATACCGTTTTGCACAAGACTTGTAACTTGACTGTTTAATTCCACTGACCATTGTCCACGTGATTGATAGTCCATCTGGGACACACTATCACGTTCCTCTCGGTAAGAATTCAGAATTTGTAGGCAGCGAGTCGATCATCCAACGACTTCAGGCCATGTTATCTGAGTAAAACAGTACCTTAAAGGCTGCAATTACTGGCCTTTGGGGTGTCGGAAAGACCCATATAACATTGCCCTTATCTTACTGGGTGAAGGAACACCCCGACTTTCTGAGTTCGGGCCTCCGGCGTAACATGGCCGTCTTAGCAGATAAACTTCATACCCAGTCAGCTCGAATAGCCAGGATCTTAAAGTATTGGCACGACAATGTCTCGGCTCTGACAAGTCCGGGAAGTGGTTTCTTGTCGTGGATATTGCGGATGGCAAACAACTTGCAATGGACTATTTGCAGAAGAGCAATGCTAGCTGTATACTGTTTACAACAAGATTCCGTCACGTTGACCAGGATACTGATGGCCACAATGCTATCGAAGTAGGAAAGATGGATCGGATGCTACCAAGCTCTTTATGCCACTGATACCCGACTCGCTTTGCGATAAGACGACATGAGAAGAGCTTCTACAGGAGCTTGCGTACCACCCTCTGGCGATTGTACAAGCGGCTGCTTAGATTAACAGGAACAAAACACCCTTTAACAAATACCTTGCTCTTCTTCGACAATCAAGACCTAGGATTCCATTCATCTTTTGAGCGAGGGGTTCTGCGACAATTATACAGATCGGAAAAACCATGCTGCGGTAGCAACCTGGTTCATATCGTCGGAGAAGATCCGGCTGTCTTCCAGTCCTGCTGCTGGTCCTGCAACAAACTTTCTTTCCCTCATGTCGTGCATCGAGCCCAAAGAGATCCCGCAGTCACTTTTGCCATGCCCCGAGAAGGCAGAAGCATCTAGTACAAGCTGAAGAATGCTATAGGAATTTTATGCGCCTATAGCTTTCTGAGCAGGAGCGGCCAGTACGAGAATTACAGGAGCGATGAAGAGGTTTTTGACATAGATCGTCTGGTGCAGTTGGCAACCTCGGACTACAGAGAGACAGTGAGACTGTGCGAACGACAAATGAAGAGGTCATTCTGCGTTTGCTGGAAGTCGTGTCGAATGGACCACGCTTTGAGAATTGTAACAAGTAGGAAGTGCACTTCCCCCATGCTTCCAGGGCATCAGGGCTAAGGCAAGGACAGGATTTGTCAGCCCGACCCTTGTTGCTTGAAAGAGTTGGATAACATTTGTTGGATGATGGGAGGTACCCAAAAGCAGTTCAGGTTTTCAGAGACGCCTACAATTACAACAGCCAACATTCTAATGCATACACTGACTGACCTGTCAAAATGTCAAAGAAGGCTGATCGAGGCACAGTACTGGAATGGCCAGTCCAAGAAATTACCCAACTCTTTGAGTAATTCGAAGACTGCAATCCTGATTTTCTCAATCTCGAAATTTCCTTATCCAAGCCTACCGTGACACCGGACAGGTTGAAAAAGCTCTTCAGATATTCGAGTACATTCTTGCTATCCAAAGAAGGAATGCTACCATCAAGCCACCTTGATATCCTCGAGCTACAGAACTATCTGGCCCGGGCTTATATCTGCAACAATGGAATGGACAAAGCAATCGCACTCCTCGAGGACGTCGTTATCATCCAGAAGGAAACCCTGTCTCCAGAACATCCCATGTTGCTAATGTCCATGAATAATCTAGCCGAAGGGTACACGCAAAACTATTGGCCTGATAAAGCTCTGACTCACCGACTTCAGGGGTGGCGCGTCGCTTCAAAAGTGTATACAGAGGAACACCCTTTACGCCTGGCATGGATACGCAAACTTGGGATAACATATATGCTCAATTTGGATAGTATGGCACCGCTGTCCTCTATCGAAGGGACAGTTCAGAAGATGGAGAGGGTACTTCACCAAGACCACCCGAATCTTCTGTCTGCATAAAGGATCTCGCGATGGGCTATGTAAAGAAAATTAGGTCAGAAAGTCGATTGAGCTTGTCAAACATGTTTTTGCTGGAAGCGTTGTGCTCTCCCCCGAAAAACAACAGCGAATGAGCCCGCACATTAAGAGTCCCTCATCGCATGGAAAGAATCGCTTGAATGTTATGAGTCGAAGTACAGTGTCTCGACGAGACTAGCGGTTGGCAGCGGAGAGGAAAAAAAAAAAAAAAAAAACTGGTTCCCTGCAGCATCACGGAGATAGTAAGCAATAGGTCAACAGCCAAAGGACAGACACTAAGCCACTTGAACACAGCTTTGGATCTTCCTTCAAGGGCCAAGAGCTCCAAGTATGACCGCATAAAGGTACTCTTCAGCAGTCTTCTGAGTCTCCATGGGAAAAGCTATCTTTATTTAAGGAAATGATGATGTCTGCTGAAAGGGTCAAGTTGTGCAAATGCTTGGATCTCTCGCTAACAGCAAAATCAACATCCCCGCTAGATTTGCATTATATCTTTATGATCGTATAACCATATTAGTTAGGAAAAGGTAGGTTAATGATTGCACTCACCAATGGGGAGTTGACACGACCAATTCTTCGCACGCCACATTACTTGCGATTGGTATCGTAACAATAATTGTGAGCATCAAGAAATGGGCTTCTAGGAATTTAGAGTAAGATTATGTATATTAATTTGTAACCGGATGAGAGTTTTCCAAAGGTTTTATGCTTGAGAAATAGTTGCTAGCTTGACTTGTCAGTTTGGAAATCACAGCCATTACAATCTAATTATCCCGGAATAGAATGGGAAGCTGATACCCTAAGACAGGGCCAAAACAATCTAGATGGTAGCCGAGCGAAGGAACATACCTGGGCTATATGTACTTGGCTCTTCTCAACAAACTGTCGATCACTCTTTGATCAAAAATTCCTCGATGTCCTTGTCTTCTTGCTCCTCCTTTGTTTCCTGTAACCGCTTTTCCAATTGCTTGATCAACTTCTTTTGCTGTTTCTTCTTCCTCTCGCCCCACCGCGGTCCGGTGAACTCCTCTATATCATCTTCGTCTTCACTTTCGCCATCTGAGTCGTATGGAGATTTTGTCAGGCCGCGCAAGTCGTTTGGTGTAATTTTAACTTTGGCCCTAGCCTTGGCCTCAGCTTCTGCCCGTGCAGCTTCTTCCTCGTATCGCTTCAGCTGCCTCTTGCCACCAAGTTTGATCAAGTACGGCCTCATGAGCATGTCTACATATCCGTCAGCTTCCTAAAATGGGAAAGGAGGGACATTCGGGATGATTCCATTGGAGAAATACGCACAAGTTCCCACGATGATGACAATGCGGATAAACTTCTCAGGTGTCATGTCCGCGAAGGACCCCTTCAAGTTGGTCACAAAGCGGTTGCCTATCATGGCAGTGAAGTTACCAAAGCCCTCCATGGTGTGTGCTCGATGGTGATGCAGACCGACAAGATGTGACGTTTTGCGACTGTCGAGGCACGCGTGCGGCCTGTTATAAAGAGGATAGGTGAATAACAAGGTAAACGTTTGGATGTTCGATACTGAGGGCAATTGATTAGAATCACAAGATGTAAATAGAATGTCAGATGTGTTAAGGACAAATCGGAGATGTTGAGATGTCAGGATGCAGAATGATAGATGCGCTTTGCGTGAATTCTGCTGTTGTGACGTTGTGCCGCTATGAACGCCAAGAAGACCCCACCGACCACCGCTCCGGAAAGCTCGGCTTTCCTTGGAACCCGGTGAGCTGACAGGCTCAGCTTGAGCCTCGGGGCAAGGCTGGGGTGGCTACGTTGTCAAGAGAGCACACAGAACACGAATAAGCAGTCTGTCAGTTGGCGTCTAGTAAATATCTCAGGTTTTGCCAGTTCATGCAGCCGTCCTATTCCAGAACAGCAAGGTCGTCAGCCAGCACGGATACATAAAGGGTGGGCTGCAGGGATTACGTCTGCTAAACCTAAAGTGGAATGGCCTCACTTTAAACCGCCATTTGTTGCACTTTATGACAACACAACAGACGCGTCCGGACGCGTTCTGTTTTGCCACCTCCACCTGTAACCCATCACCAATAAGACGCCAAGGCACGTGAGGACGGTCATGGCCAACAACCAAGATGATGAGGTGCGAGAGGTGAGCACCACAAGCCGCCTCAGATTCAACTTGTGCCACATGAACTAATGCATTACAGCGCCTCAAGGCAGCCCTTTGGTACTCTATCGGAAAGATTGTCGACCAAGAGTGCCTACAACGTAATCGCAATGCCTCTCCACAATTCATTGCGGCACTGACAGATCTGGTCTGGCACCAAATTGGTATGCAATCAGAGACTCCTCCAGGTTTAGTGTAGCTTTTGATTTGATGCCACAGATATGGCAGTCACTGATACCAATTCTTGTAAGAAAATGTCGCTCTCGATCTGGAGACTTTCAGCCGGCATGCTGGCCGGACAACAGTCACGACAGACGATGTGCTGTTGCTAGCTCGGCGCAACCAGGATTTGTACTCAGTCATCAAGGATGCCATTGACCGGAAAAAAGCTGCAAAGGCAAAGGGAAACGCTACCAGGCTAAGTGGTAAGCGCTAGATGAATGATGAGATGGCAATGAATTTAGGGATGGACGTTGCCATGCAATACGAGAAACAAGACATCGTTGGCATTGTCTGACTCCCACCACACAAGTTGACGAGCAAAGTGGCCAATAAGACATCGATTTCTACCTAGCTAATATCGAACTCCAAGCTCATATCACATGTTTCACTTTCCTACGGGACCTTCAGATGTCGGTGCTCTCCCTTGGCACTCCCATCCTCTCATACCACTCCTCCTCACTCATTCTCAACATCTCTGCTACCGTCATTACTGCAGCCCACGCCTCCCCATGAACAACTGCAAGCAGCAACTCCAGTCCGAGCAGATTGATCAGGCCCCTCGCTGTGAACAAGCCTGCAAAGAGGCTCCTCCTGCCCTCTGCCACAGCTTTACCCACGTCCAGCAGCCCATCAACTGACATGCCCATCCGTATCATGTAGGGACGGGCTAGTCTCAGCCAAATGACCGCCGCTAGTGGCGTCATAATCAAGCGTGCCGGTGTGATGGCCAAGACATCCGTCGCCAGCACTGCCGGCAGCCGGGTCAGCATGGTCTCTCGATAGAGGGGCTCTTGTCCGCCGTTGACGCCATTTCCTCCTGCGCCTGTTCGTGTCATACCATCGCTCGGCACGTTAGGGCGAAGTTCGGCGGACCACACTCCCGGGGTGTTAGCTGGGGGACCAGTGGTGCTGATTTCTTCGCTGGAGGATTGGTTTTGATGATGATCGGGCATGGGCTCGGTGGCCTCCACATCAAAGCTGATGAGCGTTGCACTAATGATCTCGGTGTCCTCGTCGTCGCTAGCGAACTCGTCCGAGGGATTGGTCCCACGCTGTGAGGCAGCGCTATGGCGGCGCGCTGATGCGCTGCTGGGACGGTGCGTGTCGTGGGTTTGAAAGACCTCATCCGTGCGTAATTCAATCGGGATGTCGCCCGCTGGCTGATGTGCCGATGCGGTGTCTCTCCGGGATCGTCGTTTACTGGAGTTGTATGGACGGGGAAGCCGGCGATAAATTTCGCAGCGAAGGGTTCGCGTGATAATGCTGTATAACTTCGTATAGAGGTAGAAGCCAGCGAAAGGAGCCGCGCCGATGGCGAAGAGGCCGAGCCATTGCAACAGGCTTTGAGGACGAAATGGTCTCGGGAAAGGAGGAAGAGGTATTGGGGATATATTGGTTCCTGGAATGAAGAAGCGCCAGTTTGGCAAGAGGTTTCGAACGGGGATAATACCGGTCCGTTGAAAGAATGTGTAGATGGCGAGGTGCAAGCGTATGTATGTAGTCACATATTGGATGCTGCGCCTGGTTAGCAGAAGCTCCATGGTTCTCAGCACAGTTACTACATAGGCGGTGAGACATACATAGGGTACTTCCTCGCTGCCGGGACCGCTAGCTGCTCAAGGACACTGCTAGCTATGAACGAAGGTAGACCACCAAAGAAGTAAGAGCTAATAGACTGCTGGCTGCGGACAAGCCTGAACATTCCATAAAAGGTAGCATTTGAATACTCTTGGTAAAGCTAAAGGGATGTCAGTCAAGATGTATGCCATCATGACAATCTAGAACCTACAAGAATGCGCTGCCGTAAACCGTTTACTCCCCAAATGGCAGCCGTCTCGAGCATGCCACCAGCTAGGAGCAACCGTCTGCCGACGCGTTCTTCGAACTCGTAGTGCTTGCGGGCAGCTTCAGCTTGAGCTTCAGCGATGCCATTATCTGGTTCGGCAACGCCGATGACCATCATGACCTCGTTGTGAGAACGAATGACATCGCGGTTGATTCGCTTGGTCTGGGGGTTGTAAGGTCGCCCGCGCTCATCGTACATTAGTTGAGGTGCGCGAGGGTCCGCAACACCCTCGCCTGGAACCACGTCGTCATATGGCGACCGACCCTGCTAGCTGTCAGAATATGCGGGAAGGAGGTGAAAGTGAGTCGGCAAATGAGACTCACAAGTGCCAACGATGTCAACGGTTCCAGCCGTCCCATGGTGTCCGGGAGTTGAGGTTATGAAATCTCCACTGGAACCGTAGGTTAAAAGATTGAGTCAAATGAAATAAACGGAGTGCGCCGCACCCCCATTTCGAGGATTGGGTACGCGGTGGGTTGGTCCTGGCTGAGATGATGAGGGTGTTCGGTAATGAAGTGGGAGACTTCAATGTCTGGTTGGCTATTGGCCTGATGTGGGTCCACCTCCAGGGGGGATACATGCCAAGACGCTAAGATAACCTTATTTTGCCCCACTTCTTTGCTTATCGTACGCCGCCTGCTGCGCGCTGGGGAAAAAAAGTTTGGGATCGCAAAACGGCAGATACATTGCACATCCACCATTATCAGGATTCCAGCCCATCTCCTACCGCAGCTGCAGGATCACCGCCATATCCGGCAATGGCGACGAAACAGCCTGCAAAGACGACCTTTGAGGTCGCAAATGTCATCCAGCCGATCTACACAGGTGGATCTGTCGCTCTTGAAAACGGCGCTCGCATCCTCGCGTCCACACTCGGCGAGAATGCCATCCTCACTGAGTTGAATACGGGCAAGCGCCTGGCCGAAATTCAGGGAGATGGCGAGCCAATTTCAACCCTGACCAGTATGTACTGTTTGCATCCGACCATTGTTGTGTGTTTTGTGCTGACGCATCTGTCCAGTCACCCCGTCTGGGTCTCATCTCATCGTCTGTTCTCGATCATTAACAATGCGCATCTACTCGCTTGCCATTTCTCCAGATTACGATTCCGTCGAGCCGACGCTTGTCAGGACAACAAAACCCCATGCTACCCCAGTCGTAGTTCTTGCTGTCGACCGGACCAGCACTCTGCTTGCCACTGGTGCAGCTGACGGAGCCATCAAGATTTGGGACATCATCGGGGGATATGTCACGCACACTGTCAGTGGGCCGAGCGTGCTTGTCTCAGCGCTGCATTTCTTCGAGATTGCCGTAACCGCTGAGAGTCAATCATCCAATAAGAAGCCAAAGAAGGGCTCGCGAAAGGGCCAGAACGATGACGCCGACGAGATTGCATCCCGTTTCCGGCTAGCCTGGGGCACACAGGACGGCCGGATTCGCATATTCGATCTTTACAAGCGCACGACGACCCCGGTGTATGCCGACCCGAAGAGGAAAAAGGAGGCGCACGAGTCCAACGTGCAATGCATCGCCTACTCTCCAGAGCAACACGCCCTATTGAGCGGCAGCAGAGACAAGACCATGACCTTGTGGCTGTGGCGGGATGGCATCTGGCAAGGCACACCAATGTTGCGCCACGAACTGTTGGAGTCGGTCGGCTTTCTCAACGAAGGCAAATGGATGTATTCAGCTGGTACCAGTGGTGTGCTGCGCATCTGGGACACAACAACGCACCACGAAATTACCAAGAAGCAAGATGCAAAGTCGGAGGGCGAGGCTATCCTTTCCGCTGTTTCCCTGCCCGAGAGGTCCCTGATACTTTGCGCACAGGCGGACTTTACTCTCGTCCTGTACCGTGTGCCATCGCCGGCAGACGTCGTCTCGTCATCAGAAGGGATACTCCTGGAGCCATTCCGCCGTATTTCCGGTACACACGATGAAATTCTTGATCTGACTTACATCTTGCCCGATCAGTCCATGATGGCAATCGCTACGAACTCTGAAGACATCAGGATTGTATCTGTCAAGGATGCCCAGGCTTACTCAGAAGACAACGCAGAGTGCCGTTCCGGCTCTTACTTTGGGCACGATGTAGCGTTACTAAAGGGGCATGAAGATATTGTTATGTCCTTGGACGTCGACTGGTCCGGGCACTGGATTGCTAGTGGCTCTAAGGACAACACGGCACGGTTATGGCGTGTCGACCCCGCGAATAACTCCTACACATGCTATGCTGTTTTCACTGGTCACCTTGAGTCCGTGGGAGCTGTTGCGCTTCCTAAGGTTGTCCCGCCAGCGAATTCAGAGGCATTCAAAAACCCCCTCGATCACCCACCTGCGTTCCTTATCTCTGGTTCGCAGGATCGTTTCGTCCAGAAAAGAGACATCCCGCGGCAATTACAGAAAGGCGGAAAGCTGACGTCGAGTCTTCGACGTCTGGCTCATGATAAAGACATCAATGCACTTGACATCAGCCCCAATGGGAAGCTCTTTGCTTCAGCATCTCAAGACAAGACGGTGAAGATTTGGGATGTGGAAAAACTAGAAGTGCAGGGTATCCTCAGGGGTCACAAGAGAGGTGTTTGGACTGTCAGGTTCGCGCCACTAAACACACCGGTGATTCAAGGCGAGCAAGGTTCAGTTTCGGGAAGGGGCGTCGTTCTAACTGGTAGCGGTGACAAGACGATAAAGCTCTGGAACCTGTCCGATTACACCTGCATCCGGACATTCGAAGGCCACTCGCATAATGTCCTCAAGGTTGTGTGGTTGCACATTTCCCGTGACGACTCAATTACCAAGACAAAGGTGCAATTTGCCAGCGCTGGCGCTGACACGCTCGTCAAGGTGTGGGATGCCAACACTGGTGAGACTGAGTGCACACTTGACAACCATGAGGATCGGCTATGGACGCTGGCGGTGCATTCCAAGACCAATATACTGGCCTCTGCCGGCAGCGATTCCAAGGTGACTTTCTGGAGAGACACCACCGCTGAGACACAAGCTGCGGCTGCCCAGGCAGCGCTTAAGTTAGTCGAACAGGAGCAGACATTGGAGAACTACATCCATGCGGGTGCCTACCGCGACGCCATCGTTCTTGCTCTGCAACTTAACCACCCCGGCCGGCTGCTCAACCTTTTCACCAACGTCGTCACAACCCGCAATCCTGACCCAGACAGTTTGACTGGCCTCAAGGCGGTCGATGACGTGCTTGCTAAGCTCTCAGACGAGCAGATCTTCCAGCTCCTGCTGCGCCTGCGTGACTGGAACACCAACGCGCGCACTGCACCCGTCGCACAGCGCGTTCTCTGGGCATTATTCAAAAGCCACCCGGCCAATAAGTTGTCCAGTCTGTCTGTCAAAGGTGCTCGGGGACACAAAAGCTTGAACGAGGTGCTAGACGCCATCAAGGTTTATACGGAGAGGCACTACAAGCGGATTGAAGAACTGGTGGACGAAAGTTATCTGGTGGAATATACGTTGCGTGAGATGGATGCTCTCACGCCGCAAACTGAGGCACTGGAGGCTGGTGAGGACGCTGTAATAGCAGAAGCGTGATAATCGAATCACAGGGTTCGTTTGCATGTTGCTGGAGCAATTGCAGGGGTGAGTAAACATTGACCATTCAGGGGCTGGCAAGGGTTAGGGTTATATGTTGATGGAGCATCAAACAAAGTTTTAGCACTCCACACCAAAGAGCAAAAGGGACACAGGGAGGAGTATCTATATAAAACTTCACGTGGATACTTTGCATAACAACCTAGTCATGGAATTTAATGCCCCTCTCTATCGAAGTACCACAACATTGAGCAGGTAGTGTGAGAACTATTGTCTCCAGGTGGGTTTGCCGATAGCCACTTGACCTGGATTGATTCACAAGGGTTGATGGGCCATAATATAAGAAGATTCAGTCCATTCCATTTCTTTAAACCTACCAAAATCTCAACGCGAAAGGAAAGCAAAGAAGAAGAGGAAAATTGAAAGGGTGAGGGGAAAGAGAAGAGAAGGAAGGAAGCAAAGCAGAAGGGAGGGATTCCGTAATCGAGATAAGTTAGGAACCTTTCTCACTTTCGTGACCTTTTCGCCTCAGTTGATCCCTCCAGATCTGTACTCAGCATTGAAACATCTTCCTCAAAATATGCCCCACTTCACCTCCTGGTCTTTGATATTTCCCTTACACTTCATGAAGCCTAGCGCACCCACCTTACCGGTCTTTCCAAACCTTTGGACGGCATCGTTGATGAGATCTATGACATCTTGCCCCCCAACATCGAAGAAGATATTGCCATTTTCATTAGTCGCTTCGACGCCAAAACTACAGCCCCCAAATTTGGCGATTGTGCGGTGCGGTTTGCCGAATACCACCGGGGATCGCCATGATGTCTTCCCATCACCCTCGATGTTGCGAATAATCTGCTCACAGTCCTTGACACTGGGTGATGCGCCACTTGTTTGGTCCACGAACGTTGAAATACCACAAAAGCTCAGACCGGGCGGGATATCGCAGGGGTAGTTGCGCGTGGACCCTTTCTTGCTGGTGTCCCACGATTGATAGGCACGCTCCGGACTGCAAACTGGGAGCCTGATAAGACCAGACTCTTTCACGTCTCCTCTCATCAGCTTCTTGATGTCCTCTTCATCGTTAGGGTCCGGAAGCCGAGCGTCATTCTTCCAACCATTCATCTCCCACGTCTTGAGGGCACCCTTGATAAAATCTTCCAAGCGGAGTCCTGCCCATTTCTCGCCATCGAGTTCGTCCAGCCCAGGTGGTCCTGCAAAGGGGAAAGAGCGACACTCCTCATGCAGACATAACCCACGCAACTCGTCGAGATTCGTGCACCAACAACGTCTTGTGGGCTTTTGCCGAGGATAAACGAGGTAATACTGTTTATTTTCTATACAAGCGCTCGTTTTCTTTATCACGTCATCTTCCAAGTACTGTGATAACGGAGCAGTGCTATCCGAGCACTTGAGCCCTGAGTCCATCACAAAAGCGTAGTTGCCGGAGTAACGCCAAAGCGCTGGTATCCCGAAGGCAAATACTGTTGCTTGAGTTAAGTCGCGTAAAGTCTTCACGCGGTCGCCATCCGATAGTGTGGATTGGCTCAGAACTTTGCCTTCAATGAGCTTGCCGTCGGACATAGCTTTCCAAAGTAAGTCGATGGATGAGTCACTGCCGTCAAAAATTTTGACAAGGGTCATGTTTACAATCTTGAGCCATCCATCTACAACATCCCCCAAGTAGTGTGTGAACTTGTCTTTTCCCTCTTGTGACCATTTCTTTTCCTTGTCAGGCAATACATCCTTGGCAATCGTTGTGCCCTGACCTATCAAGATCTGCGTGACGTCCTTGATGTTGTCGAAAACATCACTACCGCGACTTCTAAAATATGCAGTCTGCTTGAGAACCGTATTGAACCACCCTGCACCAATCGAAAGAGTCCCCAACGTCAGGAGATCGACGAGTAGGTTTACCAGAGACTTATCGTCAGGCTCAGGGACAGGAGCAAAGGTGTTCTCCATGTCGTCAAGTGCCGTGTTTATGATCGCCATCTCGTCCGTAAGAGCGCGATAGTAGTCATGGTACATTCTGTGGATCTCCACAAGAGAGTTCATAATAAATTCAGCAGCTGGACCAGACTCGGGGTTGTTTGCTTTATTCGGGCACTCATATCGCCTGTCACATCCGCAATCGAGGACACTATCGCATCTGGGTGTTGCAAAACCCATCGTCTCGGTAATTGAGGTGAGAAATGACGGTGCGAAGGTGTCTCCTTGATTGTCATCTCGGACATTCTTCCAAATTCTAATGATATCTTCCCAAGCAGCATCTGAGTTGAGCGCCTTCCATCTCACGCTGGGAGGATAACCAATTTTCGACCTGGTGATATCATTGCTGCAATCAAACTGAACCCAGCTTGGATCCCGAGTGTGATCAAGCTTGGGGTTCTCCCCAAGTTCGATCAATCGCTTGAAGGTCTCCCAGTCTTTTGCCGGTGCGGGAACCGGGTTGAATTTCTGCAAGTCGGTAGCCCAGTCTGTCGTGCCCCCCAAGCCCCATGATGCGTAGAGGGCTGCGCGTGCGTGTTTAGTGGTATTACTCATGTAGCCCACCCATTGATTTGTGTCATAAACTAGGATGTCACTGTCGCTATCCTTATCCACGAAGCTCCGCACAACACGTTTCGGGTCTTGCAAAATTTCAGCTACCTCCGCATCGGCGATATACCCGGATGTAGCAGTGCATTTTCCCTTCTTCGCGTTGGTGTTGATGCGGTTGCCGTTAAAGAAGCAGTCAGGACCCCAACATCCCGGCTGGAGCATATCGAATGAGCGTCCATAGCTTGACACACCAACTACAACCTTTCTGCCAGGGACACCGGCCTTCGTGATCATTGCCAAGGCTAGCTTAGTCTCGGTCAGATTAACATGACTGCGCAGGCAGTTGCCTGTGGGACAGCCTTCTTGAGACCATCTGTTACCAGTGTCCCATGATCCTGTCAATCTGTAAGCAATATCCTTAAAACACATATATCACGGAGAATCAAATGCAGGACAGGGATCCAGACGTAAGAACTGGAAAGACTAAACGAACACCTTACCATGTAGATCGTAAGTCATGTAAACAATGTAGTCCACCACTTGGCCAATTGCATAAATAGGGTATTGCTTCAAGTACCAATACGAAGCTGGAGCTGCAATCGATACGGTCTTGCCAGGAAGAAGGCGTTTGAGAAGGATGAGGAACCCAAGATAGTTAGTCCCGTCTTCTTTATTCCCAGGAGGTATGCCGGGGATGTCAGGGGCACCCGGATATTCCCAATCAATGTCTACACCATCCAAGTTGTGTTGCTTTATGAAGTTAGCAATATTTGTGGCACACTTGATACGGTTCGCTGGTGTAACAGCGTTTCGGAAAATGTGATAGGTTGATGGATCGGTCGAAAAAGCCCAACCACCAAAGGACAAGATCTTCTTGACGTTCTTGAGACGCTTAAACTCCTTAAATTGGTATGCAGAGAAAGGATCCCCAAACTTGACATCGAATGCATCCGTCAAAAGACCGAATGCAAAGTGGACGTGTGTGAACTGAGATGTGGCGATCTGAGAGACGTCTTGGAAAAGGCACTCCCGACACAAGCCGAAGCCTTCGTAATAGCCAATTCTGATAGCTCCAGTGCCATCCCCTTTCACAATGTCAAGTCCACAATTTGAGATGCAGCCATAAGTTCCGGGGGCGGCGGTCCCTGGAGCACCTGTGTTTGTGTCGATACAGAAATCCTTTGTAGTGCCGCACTGACCCCATATGTTGCAACAGGCCCTCAGGGGGCAAGGATTCAAGGTTGAGATATCGGTACCGTCTGTTGGAGGCTTGGTTCCTGGCTTCTGTGGACCGCATACGGCATTGGAGATGGGAGCTGGAAACGGAGGAGTCCCAGAGCTCAAACACATCACAGTACCAACCCACAAGAGCTTACAGCCATTCCATCCCCAGGTTTTCTTGTTGAAACGTTCGATGTCTTCTATCGTAAGGCCATATTCAACTGCCAAGTTCGCACAATTGTCGTCCTTCTGGATCTGGTAAGCATGACATGAGCCGTCGGGATTGGGTTTTGGCCGCAGGTCAGGCAGCTCCCCGCTCGTGCAGCAAACACGTTGTCGGGGTTTCAGAGTTGAACAGAAATTAGGCCCAGGGTTAATTTTCGCAAATTCAGCACCGGAAATGCCGCATTTGAGCGCGAGCGAGGCACAACTATCTCCCGCCTCTACCTGGACAGTTCGACATATTGCATGAGGACTAAACCTGGATTGCGAAATGCTAGTAGCGTTGGAAGAGCTAGAGGTGACATTGGTCCCTGATGATTGTAAAGTAAACACCACCTGACCCGGAACGGTGGTCGAATTGGAAAAAGATAGGCATCTTGCATTCATCCAGTTTTTCATGGCTTCCTGAATTGCTGAGAAGGTTCCGTTACTTGTAGCCACGACACCGAATATTTGTGAGCTCCGAAAACGCGGCCCACAGAACTGCATGGCTAGAGTCTCAGTACGAAAACTTTCCAGATTGGAATGGAAAATCTCCAGAGCAGACTGGCTGATGCTTCTGCCCAGCAACTCTTTGCCGATGTAAATTCCGAGAGTCGCCTGACCTGAGCGCCCGAAAAGCGTAAAAGAGGATCCCAAATCTCCATAGCCTTGATCAAGATAGGTTCGAATCTGTCTTATCAACGAACGGATACCTGCCGCTGGCAGGCCAAAGCCCTCTTCCCACCAACCAATCTCTAATGTAACAGAAACCGGTCGTTCTTGAAGATGAAAACCTGTGATGTTTGTTAAAGATGGTAATGCTGAGAAGTCGGGACCAAAGGATGAGCAAGCGTGGATCCGATGGTTGAAGTTTAAGTCTACCGGATCATAGAGAGAGAAATGCGCAAAAATCAGTTCCTGACATGATTTTATCTGCTTGAAGTTGGGGTAGGCTGGCCAATTTCTGGGATCGCCACCAGACTCAAGACATCTGGCTGGGCATGGCTCAATGACTCCTCTGACATTTGATGCCCTTCTCGAGGGCGGGCGATATACCGTCCCACTGACCTTGTTAATAAAACAGAGCCAAAAAAGTAGCAGTCTGAGTTGCGATAATAACAGCTGCATCTTTGCTTCAAGTTGGTTGAAACCAAGTGTCAGAGGACAGAGACGCGAATAGCTATGTTGAAATTTCCCATTAGTCACGCAATTCTTCAATCACTCTGTTCATGTTCCAGCATGCCAGAATGATGAGAGTGAAGCAACAGTAAAGGCGTACTTACTAACTATGAATAAGGCTTTGGGGAAAGGAAAGGAGAAGGAGGAGTTGCTGAAGAAACTTTGAATTTTGAAGTTGTGTCGAAGCCGCCAATATTAGGGTTGCAGTTTGCGTTTTATATGGCCTCTCAAGAGTGAACAATGATCGTAAACTCTGGACGGAATCACGGTCTTATGAGTGTGGTTCGATCTGACATCTAGTATCACGCTGCTGAGTCGAACTGAGAAGCGCGGGCAGCACTTTGAAACTACCAGCCATGGTTGGGTTCAGCTGCCAATTCAACACATATTAGGTTCTGTTTCTAATAACCCCTACAGTAAAACAAGAGGAAGAGTAAGCGGTGGTCTTGGAACTACTAGCAAGCATATTGGCATTGGCAATTATGCTCTTCAGACCGTCGCTAACCAAGTCAGTTCGCTATTGCTCGAGCCATCGTAGTTCAAGAACCATTGTATTCAGTCGTGTCTCTGAGATATGAGCACATGACTAGGAAGCTGAACCGCAGTCGATTGAAACATTTCCCATGTAACCCCAGGAAATGGCAAACGGACGCTGTACAAAAGCCAGAGCAGGAGCTGTGTGCATTTACGCATATAAACAAGACAGCTTCTTGAATTGCGCCAATCTAATCGATACATCGCAACATTTTCACCTGTCTTGTGACTCTGCAAGACTACTAGCATCTTACACCTCGAGACATCAGCAGTGCATGGAACGTGGCGCATGACACCAAGTACTCTGTTACCATATCGTTAATTTAAGAGAATGGGAATACACAGGTAGCTTGAGGCTTCTATCTCCATATTCCCTTCTTCTGCAAAATGCCTCCCTCTTCATTCTACCCGCCATATTAGTAGTGTGTTGAATGCAGCGAGCATATGACAGCGCTGGGATTGAGCTTAAATGTTTAATGTACAAGCAAGAAGTTGTCCTATTTAACCTCTCGTTAAACCAAAGGTACCAGAACCAGTATGCCTAATCCTACTGTAAGGCATAACCATAGCAAATCAATCACAGCAGAGCGTTGTGAAGAGTTCTCCCTGTTTGGTTTGCAGTCCTTTGGAGCCCAATGACTATGACAAAGCTCTTCATGCCAGACGGCTGACATGCTAGCAGCAGTGGCCGCGTCAACACTGACTTGGCAAGGCCTCGGTGTAGGTGTTGGACTGGGTGCTAGGATTGCGCATCCGGTAAACGAGTTTCGAGATGGATCAAGCAGCTTAGTTTGTCCTGTGACATTAATGGCAACTCCGAGCTTCCCATGGCCACTATTTGGAGGGCACTGTCTTTGTGAAGATGTAGCAACCACAAGATCCAACGTTTGGCCACCGTATTTGATGGTAAACTCAACATTTCCCCCGTCAGATATGCCAAAGGTGTCGTATGGTGACCATGCCCATGTCTGAGTCGTCGCATCACTGCAATTTGCCCACCACAAGCTCCAGACCAGTATCCACTGACCGTCTCTTGGGAAATCACGGCGTTCAGAAAGTCCCGGGAGAGAATGATGTGCAAAGTAAGGATTCTCGGAGGACAAGCTGACGTTCTGAAGGTCGAGAGTAGCTGCTACCTCGGGTAGTCCGTTCCTTCCTGGATATATCGAAGAGTTCCAGATTTCGTAGCTCAATCGAAATTGGAGGAAGTCTGCGAGATATGGATTTTGAACAGCAAATACAACTGGCATCGATTCGGAGAAAGTGTAAGTGTCGTTTCGGGGAAATACAAGGTCGACCTCTACTACCCCCGGGTCTTTTGCGTCAACTAGATGTTCGGACCACGCCAAATGCACTGTTAGCCCATGGATGACCCAACAAATTTTGGTCATGTTGTCTATTCTGAACGATGGGAGACGATAGGTCTAAGCCAGCAAGGGCACAAAGATACTCAAGATGTGGCTAGTTTGATACTGAAGATTGGTTGATTGTTGAGACTTGCTAGATCGGAGGGAGGGCAAGTGATGCGAAGGCACAAATGAGGTAGGATAGAACTCTTGCTTTCATTCCACTCTCACGACTGATATCAACAAATATTAAGGTGTTTGTCAAACTGTTACATGAATAGCACAGCCCACATGTTATGTTGAAAGAGGCAGGTAGCACAGACTACGGTCATTGGTAGTCACATTTTGACTTAAACAGTCCAACGTTGGCTACACGCTGTTGGGGATCAAGATCAAGTGATAGGTGGAAATTGAAAAACCCTTTGACTTGTGACCCTCGGCTACAGCCGTTCCCTCGAGATATTCAACAACCCGTGCTGTGTTGTCTGTCGGAGGGACCCTAATTCCGTAGGGCAATGTACAACACAGAAAGAGGGATGTAGGAGGATGTGAGAAATTGATGCGTTTCCATTCTTGACTATCAGCGCTGATGTAGTTGATACAGAGGCAGTCTTTTCGTATATTGAATGTAGGCCCCTGATATTATAGGGTTGAGCTCCTAAACAATGGAATGGAAGGAAACATGACTCCCGGTAACATGGTAATTGCTTACGTAAGCATAGCGCATACGCCAAGTTTACAACAAAAACCGTCGGCAGCGTTACAAACTGTAATTTACGAAAGGCCTGTCAGCCTGAGCAGTGGGGCATGGCCTCGGATGCAGTTGCAGCCAAGGCGTTGCTTGGAACATCACTGGGCGCGTTGCTGCTTAAAAGACTCCCAAATCAACAACAATATCGACATCCCACAGCAACGCCCCCTCTCCCCCCTCCTCCCCAGGCAGTGAACAAGTCGTTCATATCTTCTTTGCTTGTACGTCTGTTCATCTTCAAAATATAAGATCGAATCCATGTCCAAGCGCCAAGCATCAGAAGCCCTTGACGAGGGCCCAGAGTCGCCGGCATCAAAGAAGTCGCGGTTTGACGACTACAACAAGAGCGCAACCCCAACCAGTCTAGGAGAGCTTGAAAGCGAAAACGACGAGCAGAAGCAGAAGCTGCGCGAAAATGGCACTGGCGCTAGCACCGAAGATGTATCGGATCGCGAGGAGCCTGATGAATTCGAAGAGGAAGCAGAGGAAAAAGCGCCTATCCGGCAGTCGGCGCCGACCGCAGGCTACGATGACCTCTACCTGGACACAATTGACCGCAATGTTCTCGACTTTGATTTCGAAAAGCTATGCTCGGTGACTTTGTCAAATATCAATGTTTATGCATGCCTGGTGTGCGGCAAATACTACCAAGGACGCGGACCCAACACTCACGCCTACTTTCACGCGCTTGACGAGGATCACCATGTCTTCATTAATTTGAGCACTCAGAAGGTATATGTGCTGCCAGAGGGATACGAAGTCAAGAGCAAGTCGCTGGATGACATCAAATATGTGTCCGACCCGCGCTACACTCGCCAAGAGGTGGCCGAGTTCGACCGCAAGCCGCGTACCTCGTACACTCTGCAGGGCAAAGAATACACCCCAGGCTTCGTTGGCATGAACAACATCAAGGAGAACGACTACCTGAATGTCATTGTTCAGGCGCTGTCCCATGTCTCCCCGCTGCGCAACTTTTTCCTGCTTGAGGACTTCAGCAACGCTCCTGAGCTGGTCAAACGCACCTCCATCCTGTTCCGCAAGATCTGGAACCCGCGCGCCTTCAAGGCACACGTTTCTCCCCATGAGCTGTTGCAGGAGGTTTCGCTTTGTTCTAACAAGCGATTCACATTGACTGCGCAGTCGGATCCGGTGGACTTTTTGTCCTGGTACCTCAACAACCTGCATCTAGGCCTAGGTGGCAGCAAAACCAAACCACAGTCCTCTGTGGTCCAGCGCATCTTCCAAGGGAAACTGAAAGTTGAGTCGCAGGCTATCACAGCGCGCGCCGACCATCTCGACCGGTTGCGTTTCGAGGAGGCTACAGAGATCAAGGTCGACATCGCGCGCTTCCTACTCCTCACCCTTGACCTCCCTCCCGCCCCTCTCTTCCAAGATGAACAGGAGCGCAACATCATCCCCCAGGTGCCCCTGACGACCCTGCTTGCCAAGTATAACGGCGTCACAGCGCAGGAACTCAATGCCCAGCGCAAGCGCTACCGCCTGATGCACCCCTTACCCCCCTTTCTCCTCCTGCACATTAAGCGCTTCACCAAGAACCGCTTCATCGCTGAGCGCAATCCGACAATCGTGGTCTTTGACCCACGCAGCGGTCTCGACATCTCGCCGTATGTCGAGCCAGACCCGAGCCAGCACCCGCCAGACGAGCCCATCATCTACGACCTGGTTGCGAACGTGGTACACGAGGCGGTGCGCGCCAAGGAAGACGTGGCCGACAGCGCGGTGGGCGAGCAACGCAAAGCTTGGAAGGTGCAGCTGCGCGACAAGGCGACAGGAGAATGGGTTGTAGCGCAGGATCTTTTTGTTGAGAAGGCACAGGCCGAATTGCTGTATCTGGGTGAGTCGTATCTGCAGGTTTGGGAGAGGAGAAAGACACCCCAGAAGGGGAAAGGGAAGGTCCTCGGAAAGTCTTGAGGATTATGCGTATAAAGTGTTCCGAGGTTACTGCATGTATGGCAAACCATTGAGGGGACAGGGTTGTAAAAATGTACTGAAAGTAGGAGTTTGGAATAGAAGCTGGGAGATACCATAATTTATCAGGAGACTAATTTTGAGCAGACGACACATTTTCCAAGCTGGAAATCGAGCATGTTGAGGGATGGCAGGTCAATGGATGGCCAGGCTAATCCGAGGTAGCTCCTAGCCCATTTCCTTCCTAGTATCACATCCAGGGGCCTTTCACCATACCCATTTCGCTGAGACCTTGCCTCTGAAAACGACGCTTAATCAGAGCCCCACCCAGACTTTCCGTTCCCTACCTGTCAACCTGACATCAATCCATACCCTAAGCACGCCCATAAACACCCCCCCCCCTTCCGGTGTCCTTTTCCCTATGTTTTTAAGCCGCCCAACCGTTCCCATCCACAGAGCGTCCATCTCAGTTCAGCCATCCCGACCCATCACCGCCGGTAACTGAAAAAGAGTACAGATACAGAACGAATGGTCAGTGAGCAAAAATGAATGAGCAAAGAGTGTCAGCGAAATCATGGAACGCAAAAGCACCTCCTTGTCGTAATCCCTTTTCTCAGCTCAATCCCAATACCACAAAGCAGGACCAATAGAGACAAGACTTCGAGATATGCCCTCATCATGTAAAGCTTTCATTTATCTCCTTTTGCAAATGCCCGCTGGGATTTCTCTCATCGAAAATACTGTACATACGAGCGAAGAAAAATCCTACATATTTTAGCTTCCATCGCGATGTTGCTGTACTGTCGTTCTCGCCATCGGGCCGGGCACATTATGTCGCAGTGGCGGTGTTGGTGTTCTCCGCCTGGTTTTGGTTCTGGTGATGGTGCTGCTGGGAGTGGTGCTGCTGGGAGTTGTGCTGCTGGTGGTGATGGTGCTGATTATTTTTGGTCAGCCGACCATGGTGGTTATTTGCCTTCTCGCGTCGCGACTCTTCGATCGCATTGCGCTGCTGGATGCTCGTATCGTGGCTCTTCCACTCGAGCTTTGTGTCGGGGGGGAACGCCAGGACCCGCTTCATCGTCTCACTGCAAGGTTGGAGGTCAACAAAGGAACGGAAAAGATGCGAGGGGGGAGGGAAAACGAATCATGACATACCGAATTTTGAGGACCCGCTGCCCGTCAGCGCGGGCCCAGATGCTGAGGATATCTTCGCCATTGCGAACACTAAGAACGGCGCCACAGACCTCATCACTGGCGTCGCCGAACTGGTCGCCGATTATGGCAAACAGCAGGTCCTCCCAATAACGGTCAGCAACACCCTTACGCAGGCGCACTACCCACTTGCCACCGTTCTTATTCTCTTCGTCCTCCCATATTGGACGAATGCCCTTCTTGAACAGGTGGTAGTCTGACACCAGAGGCAGTGATGAGGGGCGCTTCAGGTGCTTGTAAATCTGGAAAAACTGCTCAACCGTCTCGATCGCAGCGATTGGGTGCAGAGTTTTCTCGTACTCAATGTACCCGTTCGCTTTGGAAATGGGCGGCCGGAACCAGAACACCCACTTGTTGCGCAGCGGGTGGGCCGTCGGTCCCGCCGTCGGCTTCGGGTCGGCCGCCGCTTTCGGCGCAGAAGTATCCCGCAGCGAAGCGCTGGAGGCCGGCTTGCTAATGGCCTTGCTACCAGCCCCGCTGCCGTTGCCGCCGCTGGAAGACGAAGCTCCGTCCTTGGCTGATTTCTCAGCCGTTGACAAAGTATTGGTCTTGGCGGCAGAGCCCAGGGCCGAATCGAACGGATTCCCGGGCGTCTTGGGCGTCTTCGCCGACGACGAGCTGCCGAACGACGCGAAGGCGCCCGAACCTAGACCAAAGGCGCTGGATGCGTTGGTCGTAGGAGACACCAGGCTGCCGCCCGGTGTTAAGGAAGCAAATGGGTTCTTTCCCAGCGACGAGCTGTCACCGCCGAATCGCTTAAAGGAAGTATTACGGCCCGACGGGCTGTCCTGACCGGACCCTGGTGTGGAAAGAGAAAGCTTGCTCGAGCTTCACAGAGTCAGCAGAGCGCCACAGGAATGCAAAGACAACGCAAAAAAAAAAATCTCACTTGGCACGGCGACTCCATAAATTATCCATGAAGAAATTGAGAGCTAGGATGTGATCGAGGGACGACGGAAGATGGGACTGAGACGGGAAGGAGGGCCGTCGGACGAGCACCAAGAGCACGGGGAACGAACGGCAGCGGCGCAGTCACTACGTCTCTTGGTCGCAAAAAGGGGGGGATCCGGGGCTCAGGACGTTGTCGTTATGCGGGCTGTGATTGCTAAAAGGGTACACGTTGACCAATATTGGCACCAAGGATTACGATTCTGGCGGGGAGCGAAGAGGGGGGGGGGGCGCGCAGGTGATGTCAGGAAGTCGAGGTTGGTACAGTGGCAGCACGGCGGCGTTTTTTTTCGAAGGGCCGTATCGTATTCGAGCGGAGTTGCTTGTTGCAGGTGACGGGACGCTGCTGGCACAATACAATGGATCATAAAATACGAACTCAATTATAGTGGATGGCGATGGGATTGTGGGAGAGGTAGCGTCGTGTTGAGTTTGGGAGGAGTGCGCAAATGGCAATGGTGAGTGAGAGATGGAATCTCGGGAACTGGTCTCAATCATTGAAAAACATCGAACAAATCTTCAGGCCAGAGAAAGCGTCTAGTGGCCGAGTGGCGGGTCCTCTTTCTCAGACGGCTCCACCACAGTGCGATTTCACAAAAAACATGACTGGCCCCGGTTTCCTTCCGCTTGCGTCCGTGGCTGCGTGCAGGTGGCCCGTGCAGCGCGCAGGGCGACAAGCCCACTGGGGCTCTAGGCTGATGGCTCCAACGTTGTGGGCGGTGAGGGCTGCCACAAAATTGTGGCATGGCTTGGCGCAGTGGGGTCTGGCGATACAAGAAGGGGGGAATTTTCAGGCATGGTCGATTTTTGCTCCTTTTTCTCTTTTTCTTCATAACAAACCCAAGACCACAACTCAAATCCTCGCCAGCCTGCCACAAACCCACGCTGCTGGCGATTCCGAATGTGTGTCGAGATCAACTATAAGCCCTTGTTTAAAACCATCATCATGAGCGCCCCATTTGCGCGGCTGCCATGATGCGATGATGACCTGAAGCAAGTTTGGACATACTCAGCCATTGGCACTCTGGTGTTTTTTAGGGGTCTGCCTGGTGCCACGTAGCATCCAGTGTCAATCCAGTTCGTGCCTATCCACTGCTAGGCTCACTTAACATTTGGTTCCTTCTTGTCATTAACTCTGGCAGTAGTCAGAGCCATGGTTGTGTAGGAACTGCTGTAAGTTGTTCTTCGATGCTCCTATCACCCTGCATAGATACATATCTGCCTTGATGATGCATAAACAATCCGGTAAGCCGACTCAGCAACGAGAGCCCTGCTGAGCGAGACTCTGCAGGACCGCAGATCGTGGGTTGAGCGTGACGAGGATTTCTGGCAATCACTGAGCATTGTTCCAACTATTTCAATAGTGCCCTGCCCTCGGGCTCACATTAACGGAGGGCTAACTAGTCAGCAATATCTAGGTTTTTGGGTCCAAAAAAATGAAATTTGGATGCCATCGGTGCCGGAGACGGAGTCGGTGGAAGAAACTGAAAGGCCTGCCAGCCACCACGCCGGGCTCGTGCTGAAACCGCAACAACAAAAAGGTCAAGACAAGACGCGCCGTACACGATCTCATTTCACAACCTGCTGATGCGGGGGCTCTCTGCCGGACTTCGGTTCGGAGACGACGGCCGCAATCCTGGCGCTTCCTGCAGCTGTACTGTCCCACGCTGATGCAAGTTGAGGTCGCAGCATCTCCGGGTACCGCTACCACAGGATCAGAGGTCGCTTCAACCTGCTAAACGCCATGGGCGTGTTAGCGCGTCTCCATCTCGAAACGATTGAAATGAATGCCGTTGATAGCCATCCCTGACCCCGAAAGACAGGACCTTCGTGATGGCCAAACATCCCCAGAAGAAAACGCCTGTTTCAACAGCGACCAGTCTCCATCCAACCCCACGGGCCCCTCAGCGCTACCTTACCTATCAGGTACCTTAGTTTCATACAGTACCACAACAGCTCCCTCCGTACCTACCCCACGCACGCCAGCCCTCCAACGGCACGTAAAAAGGTGGGGTCGAGTCCAAGTAGGTTTCCGTGCTCCTCCAGTGCCTCAAGTTTCTCCAACCGTTGCCGTGTTGTAGTGCCGCTGTGCGATAAAAACCCCAGAACTCCTCGTGCTTCGTTCATCGTAGATCAGCTTGTCACTGCGACAATTGCAGGGACGACATGCAGCGTTTTGAGTCTTGACGCCGTCAGGGCGCGCACGTTATCGAAAAGCTATTTACAAGCCTTTGCGACCCCGCGACGACCCCGCAACCCCTCGACACCTCGACAGCTGCGAACAAGTGCCGAAGCAAAACAATCCGCTTCTTCGACCCCACCATTGGAGGGACCCGTCCATTCTTTCCTAATCCCTCTCCCATCTTTCCAACATCCGGCTGCCGACTACCTACCCTAACTTTGAACCCATTCCCATGGTTGAGCTTGTTCCCAGCCTCAAACACTCCCCCGAGGCGCTCAGAGCACATCACACAATGGAGAAGATTACCGACAAGATCGCGGCGCTGCCCGCGGGCAGCGACTACTTCTCGCTCGAGTTCTTCCCTCCCAAGACTGCCATGGGCTTCGCCAACCTGCGCAGCCGTCTAGATCGCATGGCGCGAGCTCTGCGTCCCCTGTTTGTTAATGTCACATGGGGCGCCGGCGGCTCTACAGCAACAAAGTCCCTTGAACTGGCTGAAATCTGCCAGCGCGAGCTCGGGTTGACGACCTGTCTCCATCTCACCTGCACCAACATGAGCCGCCATCTCATCGACAAAGCTCTTGACGATGCGAAAGCCCTTGGCATCTGCAACATTCTTGCCCTCCGGGGCGATCCTCCACGGCGATCCGAGTATCAAGATTTGACTGACCCAGATGCGGACGGCGAGGAGTTCAACTGGGCTGTCGATCTGATCCGCTACATCCGCAAGAGGCATGGCGACTATTTCTGCATCGGCGTAGCCGCCTATCCCGAAGGACATGCTGATGAAAGCCACCCGCTTGGCCAGAGCCTGGAACACGACCTGCCCTATCTGGTCGAGAAGGTCCGGGCTGGCGCCGACTTCATTATGACCCAGTTGTTTTTCGACATTGATGCTTACGGGCGTTTCGAAGAAACACTGCGTAGCCACCCGAGTGGCGCTTTTAAGAACATCCCCATCATACCGGGTCTGATGCCCATTCAGAGCTACCAGATGATCAAGCGCACCACCAAGCTCAGTCATGCCAAGATTCCCGAGTCTATGTCTGCCCGCCTGGACGCCGTCAAAACCGATGACGAGAAAGTCAAGGCGGTAGGCGTCGACATTCTCAGCGAACTTGTCGAGCAGATTAGGGAGATCAAGAGTAGGACCGCGGCAGAACAGCCGCGTGGCTTCCATTTTTACACTCTGAATCTCGAGAAGGCTGTCACCTTTATCGTCGAGCGTACCGGTCTCCTGACCCCCGTTACTCCATCCGAAGAGAACGAAAGCGCGATCGATCTGAACCCGCTTCCAGAAATAAACCTCCTCCGTGTCGATGTCAACGGTGCCAACGCAGCTCAGGCTGATCTGCGTCGTAGGAAGGCCTCGATCGGCTCTGACCCCCACGATCGTGTTATCGTTCCCGGTCGCTCACCCTCACATCCTGACTACGAAGCAACTGCGCTGGAAGCATCTTTGCCAGCGGAGCCCATCAACACACGCGCTAACACACTTGCCATCTCTGAGGGCGAGGGCGTTCTTGGCCGCGAAGCCACCTGGGATGACTTTCCTAATGGTCGTTGGGGAGATGCTCGCTCGCCCGCCTACGGTCAGATCGACGGCTACGGCGTCAGCCTGCACGTAACCGTCCCGAAGGCTTTGCAGTTGTGGGGCCGGCCAACCACAGTCCAGGAAGTTAACGACATCATGATCCGACACCTGCGTGGAGAGCTCGAGACGATCCCCTGGAGCGAGGAAAGCTTTTCCCCAGAAACGGACAAGATTCGTGAGCGACTGATTGCCTTAAACGCAAAGGGTTGGTGGACGCTTGCCAGTCAGCCGGCCGTCAATGGCTTACGGTCCACCGACGAGACCTTTGGCTGGGGCCCGCCCAACGGGTTCGTCTTCCAGAAGGCATTTGTCGAGTTCTTCTGCCCGAGCAAGGACTGGACTGCTCTGCTCGAGAAACTGAGCATCCCCGAGGTTCGCGATGTTGTGTGCTTCTATGCGACGAACTTGAGAGGCGACTTCATCAGCTCGGATACCCTCCGCCAGGCCGAGCGACAGCAATCCAAGCCTGAGCAATCAGCGACATCTCAAATACCGAGGGATCAGCAACAACCCGACGAAGTAGCCTCAACCAATGCAGTCACCTGGGGTGTCTTCCCCGGCAAGGAGATCGTCACTCCGACCATCATCGAGGAGGTAAGCTTCCGCGCATGGAGCGAAGAAGCCTTTGCCATCTGGGGAGAATGGGTCAAGATCTACGAACGCGGTTCTGAGACGGCCAAGTTCTTAGAGAGCCTGCGCCGCGACTGCTGGTTGGTAAACGTGATACATCATGATTATGTTGATGCGGAGGCGTTGTGGGAGTTGTTACTTGGGTGAGCGATGGGTAGCCATGTAAAGCCTATGGCAGTTATGTATAGGAAATATGGGATAGATGGAACGGCTAGGCACCTATGGAATGGGATGTATTAAGGCTCTCATGTTAGTCTTACCGAAGGGAATGGAGGATGAGCGCATCCGGCATTGGCCAAGTTTTTGGGTGATACAAATCCTCAATGTATTTGCAATGAGTGACACAGCTGCTTCTCTTCATGTACCTACAATACGGCAGAAAATCACATTAATTAATCTCAAGTCGAGCATCATGTTGATGTCTTCCACTAATTTTTTTTTTGATACGTTGTCAACATGTCCATTATATGTCAAATGCTAATGACTATCCTTATTTACCCGAGGAAAGGTGTTTTGAGAGTGCCCTAGAACACATGAGCAAAGAAAAGCAAGACAGCAGAGTTTGTGAATCTATTGGTCGATCGATCTGCTTGGTTCCTTCCTTTCCCCGAGTTTTTCGTCAAATTCCAGCTCAATCGAACAGAGCGCCACTTGAGGCTCTTTGGTAGGCCACTTTGACTGTGTGAAGGCTGTACCACCCGACTTGAGTGGACGATATCAACAAGCCCAGCCCAATATACTTCCTCCGGGTATGTGTTGTCATGCGCAGCCTCTGTTCCGTTGATGGCATTGCCCCTCCAACCCGACTGGAGATTGCAGAGTAGAGGAAAACTTCTCTCCCCAGACAAGAAACACCTCCGGAAAGCCAAGTCGGGCGATTATGAGCAACCTCATTCGGCTCTTGTCCTAAAGGAGTTGGGTCAACTGAGGACCCAAAGCATGAGCAAGAACCTTTTACTTCAGGCCAGTGGCTGGAAACAAGAACAACGCACTTGCGACTCGATTAAAAAGAAAAAGGGTGATGTGGAAAATAGCATGCAAGCAGAAAGACAAAAACACAAAACGCAGAACCGATAGATCATTTGCTACCTACTCTCTAATCATTTCTGAACGGCTAGACGGGGATGAAAGACTAACTTGAATTGTGAACCCTCAAAAGGAAAGAAACCTATTAGGTGGGGACCCTCTTAGAGATTCCTTCCCATTATGTACCCCAGGCGAGCAAGATGACCAAAAGAGATAAGGGTATAAGATCAGGCCCCCAAAGCCCATCATACTTGACCTCGTTGTCGTCAGGCCAGATGATATGCCTAAACATCGCCAGCATCCCACTCGTCGTCCCCATCGACATCATGGCTGTCGAAGTTAACGGAACCAGTACCAGCATGGCTTTGGCCAGTGGCACTATCGACAGCGGTAAAATACGTGGCGACTGACTCCGACCGACGACCACGCACCACAGAACGGTAGGTATCATGCAGGTCGAGCGCTTCGCCAGCGGAGTTGGTAACCTCTGGCTCTGACTCATTTTCGAACGTGAAGGACTGGCTCATGGCCTGGACCGGGGTCTTAGAGCACGAGCGCGACTGACACTGCGAAAGAGACACGGTCGTGGATGGTGCTTCCGAGTCGGGCTTGAATCCCTTGGCCTTGCTGCCGTTGATGGTGACGGTTGTATTGGAGGATATGGGGGCCGAAGAAGTTAGGATAGACCGGGCGGCGGAGTTGGGACTGGCGTACTTGACGTTGTCTGGAAAGGAGGCCAGCGAGGGAATGATGGGCGGGCGAGCAGGGGGGAGGTTAAATAACGAAGTGTTTTGGGCATCAAGAGTGCTCACATCGGCAGTGGAAGATGAGCCAGTGCCTGGGATAGGAGGCAGAGTAAAGCTGGATGCTGCTACGAGAACATCATCATCCTGCTGAGGACCGGAATCCTGGTCCGTCGTAGGTGCTTGAGCAGCAACAGCACCCTTGGAGGAAGTGCCCGTCTCACACACAGCATGAATACCTCCAGCCGTGGCTTCGTGAGCAGCACAATCAGCCTTGACGAGCTTGTTCAGAGTGCTCTTTGTGCTAAAGGCAGGCTTGTCCAGATTATCATCAGCTGTCAAATCGACGTCGTTGATCTTCTTAGCACCAGATATGGGCTTGTTCTTGGTCGGAGTGGTGTCAAGATCTGAGTAGTCAGCATCGGGAGAATCCTCATCGTCGGTGATATCCTCAAGCTTGATCTGCTTGCGGCGCTTGGAAGCCGGAGTAGTACCAGGCGTCTTCTTCATGGATGGAGCACGAGCACGCTTGGCACCACGGCCGGCCGGGGTGGCAGGAATACTGGAAGAACCGCCGTTGTTCCACTCATTAAAGGCCTGAACAGGGTCCTTGCCATTGTTAACGGCATCAATCAGGACTTTTGCACCTTGCTTCACAGAGCGGAACTGAAAGCCAATGCCATCAGGGGTGCTGGCACCGAAGTACTTTTGGATTTCTGGACTTGTTAGCTCCATGGAAATGCATGCTATTTGAGCAAAAAATACAAAAAAGAAAAAAAAAAAGAGAGCGAGCGGGTTGCAAAGGCAATAAGCAGGACGGCTGGCAGCAAGCGCGGTGTCCTTACTCTGCTTCGTGTCAAAGTGCTCATAGATGGCATACTGGGCGGGGTCCTCGCCAGCCTCAACCAGCTTACGGCAGGCCTCGGCCATGGCCTTGACCGTGCGCATCCGGTGTTCTACGGAAGGTTCAGTAGCACTGCCGCCCAAATACTTTGCAATCTCTGCTCAGCCCAGATAGGGCTGCTGTCAGTTTGGGGCTGTTATCGAAGAGATACAAGGACAAGGAGATGGGATATGGGAATGGAGTAATAACCAACTCTGGCTATGGCCCCATCCCTCTCCGCCGCCTATCCAGCCGTCATGCCCACAGAGTGGCCGACATCGTCAAATGAGTTCTGGGTAATCATGCTCCATCAGGTAACAGCCTTGGGGCCGTGGGTCTGTACGATGGATGGGATGAAGCACACAAGATCGGAATAGACTTACTCTTGAAGTCGAAACGTTGGTTCTCCAAAGAAGCAACCAGCGCTGCAAGAAGACGCGCCTGAGCGTCGTAACTGCGGAAGTTCGTGGTACGCGACATGATGGCTAGGCTTTTGATTTTCTGGTCGAAATTAGAAAAGTCGGATGGGGTGTAAACTAGTGATCGTTGTGTCAGTGAACAATGGCTCAGCAGAGGAAAGGATGCTTAAAAGATCATAGACCTTTCCAAATTGGCCCATAAACCGCCTTGACAGAGTGGACAAGCTCAGTTCATCAGGGGAATACACACTCAAGCTAGGGCGGATTATGTGTTTGCAGAAGACAGAGGTTAAGCAGAAGTGAAATTAAACAGGACAAAGCAAAACTAGGGAGTCGCATGGTAGGGTTGTCTTCCCTCTCATCTCCTCGGCTTGACTTGGAGAAACACAGCCAGAAGTTCACTTCTCAGGGAAATAAAATCTAAAATATAGACAAGATTTTGAAGTTGAAGAAGACATACCTTAAGGACTTCAGATATCTTGGAGCTGACTGGCAGTTGAGCGTGTCTGAGGAAGGTTTGCTTTATTGAGACTGTTGTTGAGCGGGAGCCAGTCGATTACCACGAGTGATGGTTGAAAGGGAAAAGGGAAAGTTGCAGGATTTGTAATGTTTGAAGCAATATATAAGCCCAGGTTGAGGGAAACCCCACACCCTGGGGGTGTCGCGATCTAGGAGCGTAATACCACTTGGGAATCGACAATAAGGTTCGTGATGTTGCAAGCGTAGTCTGCCGCGGATAGTTCCTTCCTGAAACAGCACAAAACGTCAGACCAGATCTCGCAAACTTTTGTTAGTTTCTGGAAACAGGGATTCCTCGATAAAAAAGGCAATTTAATTTTCTCTGAAAACCTGTCATCAGATGATGAGACCGGAGTGAACGGATCCATCAATGATCTGCCACGTTTTATCATGGCATAGTAACTTAACTGAGTCCCGTGATCCGATTTTGCGTTGATTGTAAATGTTCGGCCTGTTGTTTGGAAAGCACTTGCTTTCACTCTAATATGTTAATGTGATCGAATGTTCAATTATGAAAAGAGGTCATGTCGTGTTTAAGTAGGCCAGACGCGTAATGGCGCACAAATGAGACAAAGGCAGATACAGTCTGCATCTATTAGAGTTGCGATGCTTTAAAAGATATGGGAACTGGGAAGAGATCGACAAGAGGGATGAAGCCGAGCACAGCTCGTCATCCAGATGGCTCACATTCAACCTCACTGCATGCCGCTACACCAGGTTAATACAGACAGATATGAAGTGGAGCTGAACTTACTTGAATCTTAGTATCATACATTTGAAGATATGTACAAGATTTCTGAGACTCAGCGTCTCAACCATACCATATCCATGCACTGGGGGTGGGTCGTAAAAGCTGTGTGCTCTTTTCTGGCATAGAAGAGTGGCGCGTGGTGCTCCCAGATCTCAAATGACTGCTTCCGTGATGTAAATAGACACCAACGTACCAAAATTAGGGATCCACACAGAAAGATTATGCTTATCAAGCACGCAACGAGAAGCAGAGCCGTGCTCCTAGTCGTTGACACCTAAGTTCAGGAGGAAGAAAACATTCCTTCTTGGCTAAATGGGTGGAGTCATTTGGTCTCCAAGGGAACGGACGTTTACCCCGGTTTGAAGTGACTTCAACAGTGTCTCCAAGGTCTCCCCAAATAATTAAGCCTTATTCAATAAGACAGATAATGTGAGTATTCCAACTCTAGTATTTGTACATTAAGAATAACAGCTTATGACTAAATTACATATATGCTTGATGAAGAGAAAAACTAACTGAGTTTTTGCGTTTGAGGTACCTCCCTATCATATGCTCCTGACCACCTTCCTGCTCCACTCTTGGCGAGCAGCGGCCCCTGGAAGCCAAGACCATAAGGTGCACTGACCACACATCAAACAAGCAAACCGTTGAGACGTGTGTTTGCTGCCAGTCACTCTGCCGGAACCTGAAGACAACAGACTGAAGATAAACTGAACATCCCATGAATCGGGCACAACAGACAAAGACGGATAAAGAAGCAGATAAATCAATTGGGCGATTTTCACCGAAGAGAAGTTGATTATTCATTAAATATCTATATCTATCCCAAAATACATCGGGCATTACTCATACAGGTCGTCAACCATGCGTCCTCATCTCAGTTCATGTGTTCTTCTCCGTCACGGATATCCGGCGGCCAGGATGGTGAGCATGGCCACTGGCTGTGGTGTACCCGTTTGGCTTAAGCTCATGCAGGCTAGTTGCGCGAGAGCGAGCAGTTGAGGTGGGTGCCATGGGGGCCTCGCTGCTGCCACTGCCATACATCATGTATTGAATGCCAAGCAGGCAATCGCAGGAACCCTGGAACAGGCCACACAGCTTGAAGGGCCAGGGGATGGTTGTTTTGGAAGTGAAAAACCAAAACATCTTCATGGTGTCTCCCAGCAGCCAGCTGGCCAGCACCGAGAAGCGGAAGCCCTTGCAGGAGCGCACCCGCCGGTTGGCCAAAATCTGGGGGATTGGAAGAATAGCCTCCACTCCCAGACCAAAGTACCCGATAAATGACGAGTACGATTGGTAGACAGTTGGGAATGGAGAAAGAGTGAACTCGCACACGAGAAGGCCGAGGAACAGGCCTGCCAGGAATTGCCAATATCTGGATAAAACAAACTCACACATTAGCACGGGCCGAGAGGAAGACCCCAATGAAGAGAGCCAATATGTATCGGGTCACTCACGGCTTCGACGACCTCCACTGCCAGAAGTTAAATGGTCGCGGTGTCTCGTGCGCGCGCGCAAAAGGTGTCGCAGCATCTCCTCCGCGGGAGTACGGCGGAGGGCGATGGTCAAGAGCAATCTTGAGGAGTACAATTTGCATGGCAACCATGACGAGCGACTGGATTAAAAGCGCAGTGTCGTACTTGGCGCCTGGGTAGTAAAATATCCTGCGGGGCGCTCCGCGTCAGCACTGAGTATAACGAGCTTTGACACCAGGAACAATGGCGTACCTGCACAATGACGCGACTAGCATGATAAGCGGAATATCGAGCGAAAAGCCCGCGCTCGACCGGTTCCGATGCATCGAAAAGGCCTGGTCGCTGTACGAGAGTATTGGCGACATGACCAAGAATGCCGGCGTCAAGTACCCAGAGAGGGTCTTCAACCAATCCATCAACATCATGACTGTGCAACGCTGGCAGTTGTCGCGACTTCTTTTTGTTTTCAATAGAGCGCAAGCAATTCCGTAATGGTTTAATGGTTCCTAATCCTCTGTCGACGTGTCTGACGGTTCCCACAGGAATTTAACGACAGAAAGTAGAACGAGAGGCGAAAAGAACAAGTGTCTCGGCGACACAAAAACTGGGAGGACAATACGGAACGGAAAAACGGATGGAAGCTAGAATATGCTAAGCGTTATAACGGGTCTAGGAGCTGTCCATTCCCCTGGGACCGCAACGGCGCGATTATCAACGGGATAGGCTAAAAAAGAGGGAGGATGAAAGAAGAAAGACGGGATGGGCCGTTGCGGATGGCGGAATGGGCGATCAGGAACAGGATCTGCGATAGGGGTTCGGGCGTCTCGCAAAAATCGGAGTCGGAGGTTTGGATTAGGATCCGCAGCGAAACGGCCTAGCCAAGTCCGACGCGGCTAGCGAAAGCTTGTCAAGTACCGAGGAGGCTGGTGCTGGTGGCTTGCCGGGAAGTGGCTTGATGATAGGTCGTTCGGCAGGAGTCCCGGTCAAGTGCCAAGCGGCCTTCAGTTATGTGGTCACATGACAACCAACCAGACATCGAATACCTGGTGCCCTCTCTGTGATGCTCATTGCGGAATGATCAGGCATGAAAAGCACCGAATTTTCAACCGACAATGCCATCACTTGTCAAGTCGGTCAAATGTACGTTATTCACTTACTGCAATACAATAAGCTTCCCACAGCATTTCCGCGGTACATTTTGCATCATCATGCCTTTGGGTTGAGCCATCAAAATTATCCCCATGCCTGTGTGTTCCCAAGTATGCTGTCAAGACAATATACCCGTTTTGTAAACTCCCTGCTTCACCACTTAATGCTTCAATTTATTCCCAAACTCTGTGTGATCAGCAATGAGTAAATGCTCGTGGTCTTGCTGCCACTGACAAATCGCTCTTTACACTCTCCGAGGAAGTTGCTAATCATCTTCCATCGCACATAATGACCATTTACTGACTAGCTATCCATTCCCCAAAATTTTAGAGGCTGGCCCATCAACCTAGTTATTGTGGTGGCATGCAGATCAGTAAACTGATCTCATCATAATGGCCGCACTTCCTACTACTCCTGCGTATCTCTTGTTGCAATACACTTTGCTGACAACAGATCATCAGTCTCTCATATTGGTCAGTCTACCACTTGAGTATCAAGCTACTAATAACACTCATTATCGTGATCAAATAATGAAAGCTTGTTGGAGATATGCAACCAGTCCCTGGTGTCTTTCGCCTTTCACTGTTCGCTGGGATCTCCCTGAACGATGAGATATTACTTTTTCGCAGGAGAACATTGTCAACTCTTGAGAATAAAGACTGGGTCCCTTCGTCGATATTCTTTCCAGATACTAAACAGCATTCAAGCTCTGGGTCTTTGGAAGAGGGCTGCATCCCTCCTCCACGGCAGTAGCCAGCTCAGCTATTAGTGTGGCAATGAACAGGACCATCAAAACAGAGACAAGATGATAAAACCATGTTTTATGTATTCCTGGTATGACATAGAACAAGGTACCTATGTTATAATTAGTTAAATAGCTAACCATGCCTCAAAGCTGACTTCTTTAGAGCAGATTGTATGTGGCCAACACAAGACACTCAACAGTAGAGATGTGTGCAACTTCATGGGAACTTCCTAGTCAATGTGATGCTTCAGGGGGCATCCACAGCATCAAAACACTGTGTGTGCGCTGACTAAGTAACTGTTCATCTGTATTTGAACTGCAAGACCGCCATACCAGTCTTCTCGCAGAATATGTTCTTGTCTCTGCCTTCACAGGTAGAAATCTGCTTCACAATATTCAGTGTGTTCTACATTGCTAATCGGTTAGATGCAGGGATTGCTTGATGCAGTAAGCATAAGTATTTCATTGCTCCATGAGACGTTAAGCTGGTATTGATGCTGCATGCATCCCTATTTGACTTCACTCAATGCCTTTAAATGTGAACCTCACTCATGCTTGCCTCTTTCCATATCCCAATATTATGTTTCACTCAACTTAAGATTTTTGACAAATAATGACTCCGACTAGTTTCTTCATCAGATTAAGCAGGTAACACGCTTGCACTATGTCAGACACTGAATACTAATTATGCCATTCCTATACAGTCCACGGACGATGACAGTTAGTTGTTGAGTCTGAAGATTACACGAAAACCAAAGGATGGAACTCAAATTCTTCTATTCCGTAGTTTCAACTTGCCTGCTAAAAACCTGGTAACCCCAGGAGCCTTTTTCCATCAGATCCAGAACTCAAGCGCTTCACTGATTTGTTAAATAATGTTCCCGCTGTTGGCACCCCGCCTCCAGACCAGACAAAACTCAGCTCCTTGGCTTTTCCCGGAAATCACCACTTATTAGACAACATCAATGAGTCTACAACATGGAAACAAGCGTCCTCTTTCCATGAGAGTTATGAGCTGTTCTGCAGTGTCGAAGGCACTCTCGTTTTGTACGTCATCGGGAACTTTTCCGCTGAGTTCTTAGAATTCTTATGGACATTGTCTGTGTTGCAGCCATCGGACTCGCTAACCATCCTCTGACCTTAAGCGCGAATATGTTTGTCGGAGAAGTCTCATTATGGAAGCCCTTAGCGGCCAAGCAACTTCCATATCCACATGCTTGCAGCATCTGTCGCTCTTCGAGATCCCTGTCGCCGTCACCTGCCCCAGAAGGAACCAACTGACGAAGCGCCGACGATGACATCGAAGCTTGGACTTCTCTGTAGATCCAACATCTGCATCTGATGGTGTTTTGTGGGCAAACTGCTGGTGCCCCTGTCTGGCCACCCTGAACCCCTGACAAGCGACCCGAAATCGTGACCTGTCCGAATGAGAACACTATTGTCCCTTCGGAAAGTCGGGCCTTCAACTCCTGTCGAATTCGGCAATTTGTCCAATGGAAGCTCTAAATTGCTTGGCGTATTCGCAAAAGTTGTAGCAGATCAACGGCATGGGCTGTTTTTGAGCTTACTGCAGGCTTTTGGATATGTAAGCTTGTAGATGAGCTGGAAATTTCCCAAAGGGGCTTCTTAGATGCTTGAAAGTTTAGTTTTCCAAGTTCGGTCCTGCCAACAGCGTTATCCTGATGCACAACGTCCTGAGAACGGCCGATTCACCGAGATATCGGTGCGCTCTCGGCGTCTTTCCTCGCCGCTGACACGCCAAGAGATTCTCTCCGCTCGGAGGGATACCTGCTACTGCGGGTTTGGCCGAGAGCGTGTCGCATTTTTTGTTCGATTCAAGAGCAGTGTTTCGACAGCATCTTCTCTTGGAATAGGCTGAAACATCTGGTATGTACAATGGTTTTTATGGCAGGTAAGCTCAACATTCCGACTAGCATCGGCCCAGTTCTTGCTGCAAGACCAATTCCTAACCGATGGTTTGATACGACATCACCACGGATTTTGGCACGCTTTGTTGATGCTGACAACCATATCGCAAATCGTGGGATAGCTATTGCTTTCTCACCAGATCAATGAAGACGATGTTTACAACTTATCTACAGCCAAGCCGCCACATACGAGACCATCGCTATGTTTCGGAAGCCGCAAGCCTGACTCTTAGTCTATGTTGAAAATACTCATAGCGGACGCATCATTAAGCCTCACTAGAAGCATGGAATCATCCATGCCTGCGTATGAAAGCTGCTTGAAGAGATCTGAGAGTTGACTTTTTACCGATCCTTGACTGGAACCTGGGAACGATCGCGCATCATTCTTGATCCCACTTTATGCTTTCATGCATGGTTACGTGAGGATCGCCTGTTGTCTGCTATTGGTCTCTATTTTGGGCTCAAATTATAACCGGGCGGAACCTGGCCTACTTAATATGTGCTCCATCATGAGCCCAACTACGCAACACATCTTGGGCGATGTCGCGGAAGGCTCCATCAGGGCCGTTAAAGGAAGTATGGAGGGGCTCCTTGCCCATGGCGTGCAATGTAGGAGTAGCGTGACCATCCTATCTCGATATTTGTCTGCAGGTTGTCACCGCACCTGCCACGCGCATCGTCTGATTGAAGCAAACTCAGGCATTGGGGGAAGCGTCAAAGGAAGCGGCATCATTGATCGAGAGAAGATCATGTGTTTTTCTTCACAAGCACCTTGGTTGCAATGACGTCTCATCCTCCCGCTTAAGTTGACAACCTCTTGGTCTATGGATTCAGATGAAGACTGAAGACCTCCTGGAGATGCAGTTCTCGATGGTGTGATCTTCATATCCTATCTTCGCTAGTCTTCGCTAGATCAATATCATCATCGGAGGACAGGAAGGTGAATTTGTTTATGAGTTTTGTTCGCGGCTCATCTGTGGCCCCTGCATAACGAAACAAATATGTTTAGATACTATGGGATGATGGTAATGGGAATAACTGCTAATCCATTAACAATTTCAAGAGCCTACCTGAAGATAAGGTTGATGACACTAATCTTCAGGTGGGATGGATCATAACAGTGGTCATTAAGCCCGACGGACGGAGACCTTCTACCGGCGTCATCCCCGGTGCATCCCCAGATTCGGGACAAACCCCCAATGCTACTTTTAATAGCAGCTTGGACGGGACCTGAGAACAATGCTCATCAGCAAGCTGGCATCTCGCTAACACCCTCGCACAAATGAGTCTCAAGATCGGGAGCGTTGTGTGACAAAACCATCGGAAAGAAGAGCGAATAACTCAGGATCTGAGAGCTAATCTCTATGATCAGAATATTTCTGCCTGACGGAGAAATGACTGGGGAAACAATTACAGCGGAACGGAATCAACATCGTGAACCCCTAATATGTGCTGGCAACAGGACGTTAATTCATCCCAGCCCGTGTGTTGGGCGTTCTCATGCATCCGACTCTGCCCGCAGCGGCAGGCAAATAGCAAGTGAAGGTGTCCTTGAATTTATTGAGCGATAGTGCATCGGTATTATCGTGCAGGCTGTCAA